TTTCAACAGATCTGAACAATCACTGCTCAGCAGATCTCTTGTAGGCCAGTGCAAAAGTTCTGCATTTGTATAATTGTTATAGGTCTTACAAAAACCCTCTGACAGCTGTCGATTATCAAAGAGCTATTAAGCAGTCCAGTTATTGCAGAGCGTTATACATTTCAATGGAGGAGGAATGATGCTCATATTATATTTTTTCTTGATCATGATCTACAAAGCACAGCTAATTTTGCTGTTTGAGAGTGATAACATTGGTGATGGCTGCTTCTATTAGAAATGCTGTTACTGGACCCTTCTTAGAGAGTCCGTTTCTTAGCAGAGAGCACCACCGTCTGGTCATACTCAATAACAGGATAAATTGGAGTATTTTCACACAGAGGCCTATCCACTCACTGTTGGATATGAGCTCATGAGAATGAAAAAGTAACTGCACTTTTCCTGTCAAAAGCTTTAATTTTTTTATTATACATAATATCAAACAGGTTTCAAGTCATCAGTTTTATGATACACTTGACACCAAAGTAGGAATGAATATTTTTGCAGAGCAAGCCAATCGCAAACAACTTAAGTCAGGGTATTTTTCTTCACAAAAGGTCATTACGAACGGGATTGGGTCTGTTATTGATCTTTATTGATTGCATTTATATTGTATAGTGTGTAGAATAATCAGTCTGCATGTAGATTTTTTTCTTTTACAAAACATAAAATATAGTATTTGTTTAGATATTTAATTACTTTACAGTTTGCAGTTCCTTTCAGGCTTTTTCACTAATCCAGAGTCGCCATTCGAAGCAGCCTTTGTAAAATACATAGCTAATTAGGATTATATGAAGGTTTACTGTAGCATTCATTAAATATATGAGATGTGACACCCAGTCAATGTTAGGAACAATTGAGTATATGTACCTACAGGTCTCACCTATACCAGCCATTGTATAATTCAGAAAAGTGCTGAAGTGTGGGCAGGGAAAAGTGTTGCAGTTTGTTTTATTTATTTTTATTTTATTTTGCACAGTTTAAAAAAAAAACATAATATGACAGTAATAGATAGATTGAAGTGCAGCAAGAGGCAGAAAGTTCACATAGCTTATTTGAGGCCTCCACCTAAATACATTTTAAAAAATGAACGCCGTTGAAAACAAACAAAGAAACCTCAAGTTTAGCTACAAAAAGTGATACAAACGATGATTAAATAATTCTGAATATACAGTAATAATAAAAACATCTCAAAAACATATTAAACATTGATTGTAAGGATATTATACCTGCATGTCCGAATGTGATTGAGTACAAGATCCACCTGACCTCACCTGTATTTTCATTAGAAAACTAATACAACAACTAGATACTTGAATTGAACAGAAATTAGATCCACGTGTAAAACAACACTACAGAAGTTAGTTAACAGCTGCCAAAAGTTTTCTTTAGACATTTAGGGTCAGGGTGGAGTTTGAGAATAGCTGTTTTGAAAAGAGGCTATAATTGTAGCATATCTATTTTCATCGCCAGATTACACATCCAGCTCCTCATCTTCAGACCTACTGAGGAGGAGAAATTCTTTCACTGACCAATGCTGCTGGACTCTGTCCTACTCCTACCCATTCTCTGCTATCCTGTCTAACAACATACATAAGAGCAAACACTGAATCATTTATTTGTCATTTATATGCATAATTTTTGTTAATTGAGATGCCTAAATCAGTCAATCGTGTCTTATTTCATCTTATTTGGTTGTTGTTATGGTTAATGTTTTAAGTAAGGCATATCTTTCATGAGTGTGCCGGGTTGCCATTCATAAAACCTGCACAAAACCATGTGACAGAGAGAATGAGTCCACAGGTCAGGCCAAGTCAACAATAACTAACCATAAAAGACTGTCATCTTTCATTGGAGGATATTTGCATCTACAAAGTTTTCATTTAAGGATTGAACAGTGAGACATCATCCATTTTAATCCTTGTCCACCTGCTCCCACCACCATCTCATTTCTGCAAGAGACTGGGAAAGCTCTAACCCAGACAAGCTGGTGACCTTCTTGTGAAGTTCATCAAGGTGAGGTCAAAGTTCAGTGGTATTAAGAATATCACAGATCTGTACAGGGACATTGTAAAGACATCTACTTATGTATATAAGACATGATCAAATTTTCTATTTCTATTTTCATAAATGATTGAAAATCAAATTGTATTAGACTGAAAAAAGAAAGAGTATGTCGTCTATCAAAGACAGAAAGGGTCCAGTCACTCATTTTATATCCTGTAAAACTAAAAACTGTTTTTCCTTGGATTTTTTCATTTTTTTAATCTATTACACTCAAATGCCTCGCTTGCTTTTTATCCGGTGGCCTTTTTCCCACCGTATCTCATTTTCCAACTCCATTCACCCTTTTTAAAATTAGGTTATGGTCATGCGAGGATCACCTTTACCTGTTTAACTTTTCTCAAACTGTGAGTTTCAGTCTGGGACTCCTTTACATGACAAACCAATCAAATGTTTGTCTAGGCATTCAGGGACATCTGGATAGCATCATAGAAAACATTCAACCCTATCCATATGTTGTTTGGCCTCTTACAACCAGGATCTGATAAACGTACCACTTCTTGCAAGACACCATCTATGAAATTGATTTTGATACCACCAAGGTGAATCCCAGATGGGGGCTGATGTGGCCCTTTGCTCAAACTCACTGTGGTTTAGTCTTGTCAGTTTAGCCTTGCTTGTCTCTTGTCTTATTTAAGGATTTACTTTAATCCAACAAGTCTCACCTCGGGCCTTGTTTGCTTAATTTTTAGAGGTAAATATATTGAATAGTAAGGGGGAATGCAGCTGTTTGAGTGCTGGTGTGTGTTGTTAGGTATTCACTTTTGCTATTAGAAAAACAAAACAAAAAAAAAAAACTCATTTATACCCAGATTGACTATTATTTAAATTGTGCATCTATAGGAAAAACGTACCTTTTCAAAACCCAAAATAATGGGAAAACACCCTTGAAGTATCTCCAGAAATTATTCCAAAAGAGGAAAATGAACAAGTTTTTCATGGAGTCAACACGATAAAGTTTTTCATATTTTTAATCTGTACTTTATCATAATGCTGTGAATTTTATTTTTCGAATGACATAACTTGACCAGGTTAACCAAAATTACATGTGATTATACTTCTAACATACACAGCAAATCTGTTGTGCAAATATATATAAAAACATCTATCATTGTACAGTTATGGGTGATAAAGGTGTGATAATTGTAATTTGGATGCAACCCAAAAAGAAGTGACCCTATAGGTTAAAAATGCAAATAACGACAATGTAAACATGTTGTTGTGGTTATGAATGTCAGGCCGCTCAGAAATGCGAGTTTGGTGTTTGGTCGATGGGACACGTGCAAAGTCCACAAGATGGTCCACTTAGAAAGGTCTTATGCAGCGTGGTTGACCTCTCAGCTTGATCAGACAAGAACCATCTAATTTGTTTGCATTTTACTCACAAGTGCTTTAAATTTACTATTATTGTGAAATGTAGAGGTAGGGCAGGTGTAACAGGAGGCTGAGTCACATAAGTATATTTGCACGTTGATGGGACTTTTAAAAGTTGACAACCTGAAAAGGTGTATGCTGCAGTGTTTTATGAATGGGAATTATTTTTGGCATACCCCATTACAGCATTTTTTTTGCATACACACACTTAAGTATGGGTTCTATGCGCAGTGTTACTCAGAGGTGTAATGCTGCCAGGCTGAGTTATGGTTGAGTTGCTTTAGTTTTTTACAAGAGTCAATATGCCACATAAAATTAGGTCCTGGGTGCATGCACTATATGAGCATCACATCAGTTGATTTCCTCATCCTTGCTTGACATCACAAGGGTCAAGGCCTTTTAAATCCCTCCCAGTGCTCTGTCTGCCTCACAATAGACCCCACCTGCATGCAGCTGAGATGGTCAAGCTTATTTCCATGGTGCCCACGCTCCTCCAGCTGACCCATGGGAAACAAAACGTAACCTCCGGTGAGTCAGACTCACTCTTTCTTCTGTGCAGCCTCATTCATTTTAAAATTCTATACCTATCACAGTATCATCCATTGTATTTAATAACAGCAGACCCTCACCATGTCTCAACTCAAGCATGAAATAAAACTGTAAATGAGTCATAGTCATTATTATGTCCACACCTTTGCTCGAAAAGGAATTAAATTTCAAAACAATGCCATAGTCTAATAAGTTTATATTGGACTTACAATTAAGATATGTTATAATATATAAATATAAGCATTTTTATATTTGAGCGTGACAACAGTACGTTTTTGTAAATTTCTGAACTGATGCAGCTCCTTTGTCTGTGTGTGTGCGTCTGTCTGTGCCAGCTCTGAATGCAGTGACACCAGCCTCTGACCACTCCTTGTGAACCTCTTGAATCAATTTCTCATGACAATCCTCTCAAGGCCGTTGTTTGTGAATCATTCTCTACCGCACTTTTTTCCTTCCAGACAACTTCTAATGAATGTGAACAGTCAGCCAGGTCAGCATCAACGATCTGCTAACTTGACAGATGTTCAGAAGATCATTTACAGACCATTTATGAGAAAGTAAGCCTGAGTCTTCACCATGATTTTACCAAACTTAATTGAGAGCTACACAGTAATTAATCAAAGAAACATTATGAAGAGTTTTTTTGTGTGACCCTTTTTTAAGATGTGGGGCAAAATGATCGGAAAAAAAAAACAAGTTAGAATATTTCCCATTGTTACTTTCTTAACTTTGTTAATCGTTTTATCACAATATTCCATTTTTGTTAAAAAGCACCTGAAGCCATTTTTTATTTTTTCAGTCCGAAGGGGTAAATAACATTTTTTTATTATTTCAAATGTCAAGTTTATTTATTCTGAACAAAAAAAGGTGATGCATTAAAATAATCTCTTTAATCAAAATAGATTAAAATCCATGATATGGAGTCAGGGTTGTTGTAGTGAAGGTGTCAAATAGGGTTGATGCATCTGTGTTGGCCCTCAGACGTTGTCTGGATACATGTATGAAGAGAGGCACTGTGATCTCCCGTCCTCCATGGAAACACACAGCAAGTTTGGCAGGCAGGGGCAAGTATGGTGGAGTCTTTTTCCATTGAAAGGAATCTGGAAACAGAAGCAGAGACTGTTGGTGTGATATTTTATCTTCATAACACAGTGAGTGTTGTTGGATGGCCATGATTTTGATGGGATCGTCTTGCTTCAGAAGTAACAACACAAAGACTACACTGGTTTTAAAGCAGTGTTGGGTTAAGTGGTCACACATTTATCACATACTAATAGAAATATGTCAAGACTTGTTTTTGCAGTGTTCTTTGGTGAGTTATATATTGCACAGCTTTCTTTCGGAGTGATGATGAAGTTTTGTGCTTTGTTCTGGCAAATGATCGTCGCTGAGGGGACTGTGGGATGCTCTGATTTTGTTAATTTTGTAGAGTGCCGACAAATCAAACTCTGCTAAGGCAAGGGCCTCACTTTGGTTAGGTGCAGCTCTGGATGTGACACCCTGAACAGTCGAGGTGAAACTTCTTTGTGTTGATGGCCTCACCTTGTGGCTCATAGGGTGACATTCATCTCCCTCCTGTCCCATGGGTGTACACATACGCAGGCTGCGGATCCACAAGCTCACAGCACAACACATCCCCTGACTGCACTGAGAGTCCTTCTCACAGGCCTGCACATACACACATAGAAAACACACATTTTTTCCACAAATAAACACACACCAGTGTACACTTGCTTTAGTAATGGATTCTTACACAAATTCAATTGATGTTTTATACAAATACTACAAATTTGTAACCTTTAATCTCTACCATTATCTGTAATTAAACTGAACTTGTCAGAAATGAATCAATTGCAGCAGCTGGTATCATGAAAGTATAAATAGCCTCAGTTGTGGTTCACACATTTACATACAAACATTTGTGCAGCTCTGCATAAGCAGGTTGTTGTAACAGGATGAAATTAGATTTATTAGCTGGTAATTGTTCTGAGACATGAGCATGAAATTACACAGTCCCTTCTAAAAAAAACACTGTCTTCAACACTGATTTTGAAAACCACCTCCTGTGTTTCATAAAAAATGTGCATGAGATAATATATCAGTACAGATAAATCGATATGTGATATACTGTTAATTGCTAATTTAAGTTTCAAAAGTACTTTCTGCTGCCAAACTTTAAATTTGTTTATGCTTTGCCCTCAGTTTGTCTGGATTTACAGTCACTTATCCTCATACCTTTTTGTAATAATCTAAAAAGTCTGCATTGGTTTGGGGTAAAGTAAGCATATTTATTATAATCAAACTTGTTTTTTTAGACACAAGTTCAGAGAGTACTTCTCCACCTCTGCCTTCAACCACAAGACCCTGTAATGCAGACACTAGTTTCACTTCGGCCTTGGGGAACAAGATAAGTCAGGTGAAGAGGAGGATTGTCACCACGTGATAAGGTTTGACGTAAGAGCCGGCTCTTCTTTGCCACTGCTGAGCCACCCGCATTTAGATATGCATAATAAATGAAACACTTGGATTTAGTTGTTCATTGTTTATGTTGTGTTATCCTATTATTACTTTTGAAAGTTTAGGTTTGTAATTTTTCATGTTACTCTATCCTTATAGAACAGAGTTAATCTTTAGAAATGTATGAAAGAGTTCTTGTCAGAGTCAACAGTTCACTTTTGAGAGCCTAAAAGTTCAAAAAATAAAGGGAATTTTTCTATTCTCACCGACTATATCTTCATAAAATATATTTGTGAAGTAAATGTTATTTTCTATTCGACAAAAACACAGGGATCATAATTAAATATTGTTATAAACTAGAATCAGAACCAAGATGGATAAAATTGGATAAAATGGTACCATATCCTAATGGTACCACTTTTTAACAGCTTTCCTTCCTGAATAGGTCATCATCATGCATTGAAAGAAAACTCTAGTACAGTTACAAGAGAACAGATGTTGTGGAGTGTTGACTGGATTCATAAGACTCATTAATTTAGACATCAAGTGACCAGCAGAGGGAGGCAGTGCGCACCACACAAAAGCAAACGCTTCCCTGACAGGGATTATCCACTGAAGCAGTAACATATGGTACTGTTAGAGATTTATCATTGCAGAGAAGCTGCACATTTTCAACTTTATCAAAGCACTGGAAGCCCAACAATGGACAGAGCCTTAAACTCTGGAGCGATGTCTAAATTAGTACATAATACTTTCTACATACAGTAGACATAACCTTTGACAAATGTATATTTTAGTTTTATTAAATAAATGGTTGTTTCAGGTTTAATCCTCAGATAAATTGTATGAGCCTATTTCACATACTTTTTTAAATCTTGCAAAACAAAGTATCGTTCACTACAGGGTTGTGAAGATTCACCAATCCAAATCAGTAACGGGTTACCCTGGAACTGTAAAACTGTCATACAAACTGGTTAATGACCCAGTTTCAAAGATGTGATCACATTTACTGAGGCTGTGTTGTGTTTTTCAGCATATTTTGGTTCATAGTAAGAAAATATCATAACAAGGCTGGTAAAGCGATTTATGGTCTTGGACTTTAAGTAAAAGGACAATAAGCTGTCCAAAAGTCTACTGTCTCTACGCTGCAGGAGAAATTTTACCTGATAAGACCAGAGATGAAATCAGAATGTTGTTATTCAGATTTCACATGCATACGTTAAATCTGAAAAACAACATAACTGACTGTACTAAACTAAGTGTAAATTATCAGATTCTGAATTTAATAAAACAGCACCACTCTTCTATTAATTCACAACAAAATCTTCAAAACAATAGTTATTTTTCATCTACTTTAATGGGTTGATTGTCATTTTTTTGACCACGGGCAGATAATGCTGGCAAATTTTTGCAAAACTAGTGAAAGCAGATATACAGAACAGATGTACAAGACATCTGTATGAGTGGTACCAATCTTTCCTCTTTCTTTGTCAGGCTATGACCACCTTTCATATATATCACACCCAACTACCCGTCACACTAAGATAACAGGGCATGTACACTTTCAAGGCCATTCATAACCTTGCCCCCCCTTACCTCTCCGATCTCCTCCACATCGCCACCCCCTCATGCTCCCCAGATCCTCCTCCTCCCTCCACCTTTCTGTCCTCTCTGCCCGGCTCAGCACCATGGGGAGCAGGGCTTCCGGTCACTCTGCCCCCAAACTCTGGAACTCTCTCCCTCCGGATCTCAGAAACATGGACTCACTACCCCACTTCAAATCAAAACTCAAAACACATCTGTTCCAAATTGCATATTCCCTTGAACTGTCCATCATCATATCTGTATGTTGTTTTTATTTATTTTAACTGTGTTTTAACTGTGTTCTTAATGCCCTGTACAGTGTCCTTGGGTGTCCAGACAGGCGCTTTTAAATAAAATGTATTATTATTATTATTATTATTATTATTATTATTATTATTATTATGTTTGTATGATTACAATTTATTTATCATTATTTCAGCTTGTACAGTAGTTACAAAATTTTCCATCAAGTAACGAACAAATAGGACACATAATCATTATCTGTGTAGTGACAGATTCCTTCTCTAACAGTTTTTAAAAGCCACTTGGATGAGCCAAGCCTTACAGATGTCCTTACACGTGTCCAACTTTCATTCATAAAATGGCTCCAACACTCACTGGTCCATGGCTCACAGCTCAAAAACTGCACAAAATATCAGAAAGCTCCCATTTCACGGTCAAAAAACATTTTCATGCTACTCGTCTTAACTTGGATCAAACAAAAGACTGCCCTGTGCACCTGTGCCGGCTGACCCAAAATGATTGCGACTCCACCCATAACCAAACATCCTTTAGAAAGGTGTATTTGAATCTACTAATCAACACAAACAACCCGTTTAATTACTTTTGAATCATATATTTACTTTAATTTGTTTGCTTAAAAATAAGATTTTGACATAAACTAAAAAATGGCTTCTACAATTTGTTACATTAGTTTAAAATCTTACTAAACCAAATCAAACTGAACTAAATGGGGCTAAATCCTCTGTTTTTTTACTGACCAGTCTTTAAATCAGTTTCTTGCCATCAAGGATCAAGACCAAACAAATCGTCTTGACCAGAGGAGATGCACAGCTCCGATTCTTTGGTATTTACTTCTCTCGTTACTGAAATAGGCTTAGTACAACACATCACCCTGATATAGGTCTGCTCTGAATCACTACTTAAATTAATCTCTTTCAGCATTTTTTTGGATCTAGTTTTGGTATTTTAATCTCAAAGAAAACATAAGTGTTGGTGAAATACATGTGTGACATTCCTCAGAAAGATAAAAAATGTAACTACATAATCAAACTTTATTCTTCCTTTCTGATAGATGTGTCCTTTTCTGACCAATTCCATTATTTACATTTTTCATTCTGAGCTTCAGAGACACAAAAGTGTCTGCATATTGCATGATTGTGGTGTGGCTACAGTTCAGCTCGTACGTCTAACTGCATCTCTTGAAAACATTTTAAATACAAAAACTAACTCTACGTATGCCCTTCTCAATGACAATTCCTCCGAGCCCTGAGAGGTATGAAGCCGTCGCTCCCACTTACCCCGGTAATGACAGCTGAGGACCCATGGGACACCAACAACAGAGAGAAGAGTAGTGCAACCATAGCCCTCATGGTGAAAGGATGTCTCTTCGCTCCTGTTCTCTCCAGGTTGAAAAAGGATGTCTGTTTGCAGAGATGAAGCTGTTGGACTTTTCTGCATGTGCACAGGTGACAGCTCACCAAGAAAGCTGGCCTCTGAACTCCTGTGTTGAGTGCTTGAGGGGGTTCATATACCCAGCCCACCATTCAAAACACTCTGACTCACCCAAGGCAAAGCTGTAACTTAACAGCGCCCTCATCATCGATTGTTCAGACCATTTTCTTTAGCTAAAGAATGAATTCTTGAACCAGAAATAAAGACTATTTTACATTACATTATGCTGACCAAAGTCAGTATAGCAGCCTGCTGTATAGGTGGTGTCTGTCATCCTTTCAGAGAGCAAGGTCACAGTTTTGAAAACATCCTTTCAACATGCTCCAGTGTTCATGATGAAAGGCCTTTATACGTAATATTACCTTGAAATACTCTGAAGTGATGCATGCCACAGACCTCAATCAGTGAGTTCTGAGTCTGAATATTTACTACATCATTTAGTGACTTTTAGAGATCTAACTACATAAGAATAAGAAAAACTTTATTTACTCCTGAAGGGAAATTTAATTGTCTGTCGTCTCACATGTCATGTCTCAAATAGTCATCTACTATTTACAGAAGAGTTATAAAGTCTGATGGCTGTGGATACAAAAGATCTTCTGAACCTTTCTGTCCTGCAGCAAAGAGAGAGGAGCCGTCCACCACCTTTTGCCCTTTGGTCCATTAAGGTGTTGTGAAGTGGGTGATCCATGTTCTTTAGAATAGCCTCCACCTTCCTCAGTGTAGATCTCTCCACCACATCCGCCACTAAGTCCAGCTTGAGTCCAACCGCAGAGCCAGCCTTTTTCACCAGTTTGTTAAAACGTCTTGCATCTTTGGATCTACGGAAGTCCATCTCCTTTGTCTTTGAGGTGTTGAGGAGGAGGCAGTTTTTGTGACTCCAGTCACTAAAGGCTCTTATCAGATCTCTGTATTCAGCTTCTTGTCCAATTTCTGATAAGTGCCACAAAAGCGGTGTCATCTGAGTATTTCTGGATGTGGCAGGACCCAGTGCTGTATTTGAAGTCTGACGTGTACAGTGTGAACAGGAATGGCACCAGCACTGTTCCTTGTGGAGCCCCTGTACTGCTCATTAATGTCCCAGAAACACAGTTCCCCAGCCTGACAAACTGTGGCATTCCTGTCAGGTAATCTGTGATCCAGGAAACACAGGAAGGATCCACTCCCATCTCTGTGAGCTTGTCTTTGAGTATGGTAGGTTGGATGGTGCTGAATGCACTTTAAAAGTCAAAGAACATGATCCTCACATAAACCCCAGGTTCCTCCAGATGAGACAGGGCACGGTGAAGCATGTAGAGGACAGCATCATCCACTCCAATGTGTTCTTTGTCTGCAAACTACATGGAGTTCAGTTTGTCTTTGACCTCAGACCTCAGAAGGCGTAGAATCAGCCACTCCAGGGTTTTCATGATGTGTGAAGTGAGGCCACTGGTCTGTAGTCATTGAGTTCAGTCGTAGTCAGTACGACTGTAGTCAGTGAATTCTGGCACAACGCAGGATGTTTTCCACAGAGCAGGTACCCGCCCCAGCTGTAGACTCAGGTTTAATATCTTGTGGAGAGGTTGACACAGTTCTGCAGCACAGTCTCTAAGCAGCATTGGACACACACCATCTGGGCCAGAATGCAATTAAAGGAAACTTGATGATAACATAGATGCACGCTCAAATACAAAAGGCATCTAACTCTGTTTAGCACAGAATTTACATCATGGGACACTATGTGACTTTGAAGAGGAAGATTAGGAAGACTGGGATGCTGATGCAAGTATTGTTGATATTAAAGGGCCCATATAATGCAAAACACATTTCCCTTGCCCATTCAAATAAACTTTTTTATCCCCCAGCCAAGCAACTCTAAGAATGTGGAAGCGAATAGCTGTTGAATTATTTCTATAGGCAACAGACTGGGGAAACATGGCTGCTAGCAAGCAGTTTGAACCAGCAGGACAGATTTGCATTGGCACACATGCAAAACCTGTAGTATTACTTTGTCAAGGAGTGTTGATGTAGGTAAAGGAAGTCTGTGTCACTCACTGTGTAGGTACAGCATGACATGTAAACGCCTGTAAGGAGGTGATGTTCCAGCAGGGGGCAGCAACTCACTCTGTGGATCAAAGAGAAGCAATACTAAAGGACAATACTGCTGGACTTATTTCTGTTGCAGTGGCTGTGAGCTTCTCCACTACATATACATTTGGTCAACTTTGCAATTTGTTTGCATAGCAGTCAAAATTTAGGGTAACACTTTATTTGACGCCTTTCTCTATAATGCATTATAAATATATTTACAATGCTTTATAATCACATTATAACACTGTGTAACTATAGTTATAAACACTCATAAATGATCATAATGCTTTAAAGCAATAATCATAACACATTATAAAGCATATTATCATGACTTACAAGGTCAGGTATTATAATGTGTTATAACTGTTAACAACAGTTGCATTGCATTATCTATGTGGACATTGTTAGTGAGTTGTTAACAGTTATAACACATTATAATACCTGACCTTGTAAGTCATGATAAAATGCTTTATAATGTATTATAATTATATAAAGCATTGTCATCATTTATGTGTTGTGTCTGTTTATAACTATAGTTTAGTGCCATAACGTGATTGTAACGCATAATACATATATTTATAATGTGTTATGGAGATAGGCATCAAGTGTTAACAAACTTAATTTTGTTTTTGATCTTAGCTTGGTGCTGTCCAGATTTGATCCATGAAAAACAAATTTTGTCCTACAAAATTATGTATAAATTTCTGTGAAAATTTGATATAATTAATTAGTTGACTCAGCGGGGGCTGCCATCTTTGTTTTAGTTTGCTGACTAATAAGAGGCTGTATTTCTGACCAACCTGTTGAGGTCCACTTAGAGACCACTTTGACCTGAGACCAAGCGGCAGCTCCCAGCTTTGAGAGATGAAGACAGTGCCAGTGTGCTAAAAACTGCAGTTCCTTTGGTGGCAATCTGAGGCTGGCTTTAAAAGCACAGAAAACCACACACACTAATTCAGTGATAAATACATGCAGAGTTCAAAAATGTTTTTAGTCAGTAATTCAGGGCTCTCGTGTCTCACACTGCATGAGGAACGAGGTCAGACTGGAGAGCAGCAGGAAGTTTTCTAGTGGCCTGTCCTGCTTATTGGCCCACCAATTGAGTGAGTACTTTTCAAGTCTCCTGAATGAAGCACTGTGCAATGCTGGTCCACACCACACTGAAAGCAAGCTGCAACAAGAGCACAGGAGATATGTGACCCTGTAGTCTGACGGGCAGAGAGACAAGCTGGTGCAATCCCAAGTGATATTATATTTCTTTTTGCAAGCACCTGCATGGTGTGATCACTCTGTGGAGAGCTCTTATTTTGAAACCCCACAACTTCTCACTTTTTAATGTAAACACTTCAACTTGGCGTTTCATCGATAAACAGCTCAGCAGAGTTTTAAATTGATGCAGATCTTACATGCAAATTCCAGACAACCACAAGACAAACACATCCAACCTGCAGACTTTCCCTTTAAAGCACACAGGCTGTGAACTCACAGCTTGGAGAGTGTCACCTGGGTGAGAGCTTGCAAGAGGAGAACTCATACCTGACATGTGGGGGATACTGTACTAATGCAGGAGTTAAAGCATCTTTCAGTTCCAAATTAGCGAGCTCACGCACACCAACATATCCAAGTTTAAAATTATTATTTTATGGTGAATTTTATACCAAGAAAGAATTTATGTTTGATATTGTGTAGCATTTAAACGTATTTTTTGTATAAAAATCAAATGCTGATATTTTGTACTAACCAGTAAAGATGAGTGCTCAATGACACTGAGCAGCCTTCATACATGATGTAAAGACAGTCTGATAAATGCTAAATAATAGAAGAGACGACTTTTTCTAACTGTGAAGCCAGAACTTAAAATCATGTTTTAGAGGGGTAAAAGTCTTTATTAAGTGTACTCTTCAAGTAGTTAACTCTTTTTTAAGTACTAATAGTTGCTTCTTTTGGCCACATGAATGACTTGAAACAAGTTGAAAGATACATAGATGATGTTTTCATTCAGACAGCTTTATTAGTCCCCCGAAGGACAATTCATTGTTTGTTGTTTTCATGGTAGGATGGAATGGCAGTGGATTGGGAGCGTTGTTCATTCATCAGTATGTCACAGACTTTGCTGGCTCAAGGCAAGTGCACTTGCATTTGCACTTGCAAATCGGACATATTCATGCTGCAAACACATCTCTGAAAATGAATCTAAAACAGCTTTGTTAGTTCAAAGCACTAACACAGCACAGTTTAAAGAAATCATGTTTTTGTTTGTTTTGTTTTCTGCTCTAACAGTGCTGAACTTGTATATGTTACAGATATAATAATATTTCATGCTGCTGTTAAAGGTAGAGAGTGATATTCTTACAATCAAGATCTAAATTGAGCATAGCATAAAAGTCCTTATCCACTGCTGTCACATTCAGGGATAGTGCTGATTTCTGAGGGTTCCAAAATTAGGGTTTAAAAAAAGTATTTTGAGTTTGACCACAAGATGGCGCAGTTGGACAGAATAAGGTAATTTGCCACTTTATTTATGGAATTTATTGAGGTTTTTGTTTTGGACAACTGATATTTTCAGAGGTGGCATCACAATATAAATGATATATCTGATGAAGAGTGTTGACAGTTTATCAACAGACATAGAGACTGACTTTCAACAAGATGTATCAATCTCACTTCTGCCCATCTCTCACACTGATTTTAGACAATAAAAATAATGACATCAAAATCTTAAGTTGATCATTAAAAGGCACCAAGATCAATTTCAGTCTATTTTATTCATGTAAAAAAAAAACTCATCTTAAGAAAAGCATAAGAACAGCTGAATAGTTAAACATGTAATGAGAAAAATAACTCCAAAACTGAAAATAATCTGATTATCATAACCTCTGTATCTTTCTTGAAACTGATTTGTCGATCAGATTTATTTCTGTAGCATGAAGGGAAGTTTTGGGAGTATTTTTTCAGCCACTGCCCTGACAATGAAGCTCTGATGTTCACCTGTTTTAGTCTATATTGAAGGAGAATATCAGGAAAGCATGACTGATAAGTTTCAGTATTCAAGTAAAATCATAACAAGATGCATGATTCAGCTTTTCAAGTCTTGATACCAATACCTGGGCACCGATCAATACCAGTTTGAATTGAACAACATCTACTCCTTATTGGGAGGATGAGATGAGAAATTTTGATTCCTTGTATTGAGAGGACGTCATTTTGCCTTCTCCCGTCACCTCTTGATAGTTTGTGAATGAATAACATCAACCAGGACACAAGGCGGCTAAAAAGTGCATCTTCAACAATTTATTTGTGAAAAACTACAAGCAAAATTCATAAATAGACATTTTCTATTTGAAGCAGAGGAAAACGATTAGGTAAGCATTGAAGGGCAGTCGTGCACATGCTAGAAACATGAATTATTGTAACATTATAAGCTTGACAAGAAGCTCTGATCAACTGAAAATGCTGCCTACATTTTCACATCAGGAACAGAATGTAACCATTTCACAAGGAGGGAAGCAATGACACATAAGAAAGAATGAAAAACTATAACTGAATTAAACAAAGAGTGGATTATTGGCCTTTACCTAAATCTTTTTTTTCCCTTCGTTAAACCAAGCATTTACTTAAAAGCATTGTACAAGACACTGTTATAGAAGAAATTAGTTTTATATAATACACTTAATTGGAAATTCATGGTTTAGATTATACAGTCAGTAAATGAGCCTCGAATACTTGGATCTCTGACAAACAAAGCTAAAAAAAATGTAACCATCTTTACACAGTAAATTAAGGTTACTGGTCACACACAAGAACAGAACTGCTTGCGCGGAAAGGAAATAGAGAATTCAGTTTAAATGAATTCAGCTCCTTCGCCATTTTCAGTGTGTTTGCTTCTATAATGGTTTAAAATTCTATATACAAGCCGTAACTCATGTACTCAACAAGTAGCAATTCAGAGGTTAATTATCAAAAAAGGCTTTCTGTTGGAGCACTCAAAGAAGCTAATGTGGCTATAAAATTAAAAAAAGGCGGTTAAAAGATGGCGTGTAGGGCCCATTCTTCCAGTATAAAGAAGCCTTTAGTTCTTAATAAGAATTCAACGTAATGCTTTCAACCGTATCAAACTTTTCAGCCTTATTCACAGAAGTTTTCTTCACTTTCAACACTGACTTCATTGTTGGATGCAGTGAATCACTCGATAACCGTTGGGCAGAAAATGAAAAAAAAAACTCATTTACACACGTCTTGGACTTCAAACAGTGCTGAAACAAATTATCACCCCTGTGTGTGAAGCAGCAAAGCTTTAATCCTGCCTCTCTGATCCTATAAGGACATATTAGGTTTTCTTTTTGGAACTTGTAAACTTCAACCACCAACTTTTATTTATTTTGTTTTATTTCCTCTTTGGGAGCAGCTCAATTAGTGAGTCGAGGCCTCTTTTAGGTGAGCACTGTAGTCAGTCAGAAGAGGAGGAGGGATTGGAAGTGGAGCGGTTTCAACCGTGCAGACCCAAAGCTCTTAACAGCTACACAAACACACCGAGTCTGCGTCCCATCTCCTGCTCAGCGAGGCAAAATCCACCGCTCGATAATCATCTATATAATAGTTGGCTCCCTTGATTGACAGTTCTCTGCCCCACTTTAGCCATGCACCGAGACACTGAATAATAATAACACCATTTACATGGATTATATTAGTCTTTATTTAAGTTGATATTCATCTCATACATAAGATAATCGCATTTCAATTTGTTATTTATCTGCCTATTTATCGTGAATATGAAATTCCTTTGGTCCTTCAATAAATAAAACTACAATATATATACATTTATCCTTTGTACATTTTCATACATTTTAATGTAAATTATGTTGGTCTAGTATCAGTTATGGTAAAAGGTGAATCAAAACCCTTAACTAAGTCTTTCAGTAATAATAATTCAAAGGGCAATCGTAGTCTTTCGACTACCTTAAACATTTTTTTTTGCTGTCAATAATTGGAGTCTTGAATTGCTTTTTTAAGCTTATTTAAATGACCAATCTTTGTAAAAAATAAAAATAAAATAAAAAATTGAATGTTTGCTTTAGTTTATGTATGAAAAGAAAAAAGTAATTGCAAGTTGTTTTCAGGACCATAACAACAGAAACATTAATTCACAACAATTTGACACAGAAGGTCTTTTCTTTTTTACAGTTTGATATGAGTTTACCAAGTGGAACTTTGAGTATCCATCCTTCAGTTACAACAGAAAAAGCTAGCTAAAGCAACTTCAGCCAGGAAACTGGATATATAAGCATGGAATGCAGAAAACATCAAGAGCTTTTAGTGTTTCACACAACAGCCAACACTTTACAGCTAAGGACATAGGATACTGTATTAGAGATCTACTATAGCATACCAAATCAACAAAAATGTAGTCGGAATAGAGTCGGACAAATGAATGCCAGATGGCCTTCTTCTTCTGCTGCACATTGACCTGTACAAAACAAGAAGACGGATTTGTTAGAGGTCCTGACAGTCTCTAATGTGAGACAGTGTTGCTGAGGTAAGAAAATGAGATTTGAGCTCATCAGCACTGTGTCACATTGGGTGAATGGGTCTGCAAAATTCCGGGTCTGCAGAATAGCTCACAGTGTATCTAGCACCAGTGTGTTTATTCATATATGCGTCAAAATGCGCCTGCGTGTTGGACTCGAGTCTTGTCCTGCGATTCTTAAAATGTCACAAAAACACTGACTGGATGATCAATTGGCAGAGCTGCACTGCAAAGCTTCAACATAAAAAGGACATCAAAGTATACAGATGCAACAGGTAATAATAAATAAGGGTAATAATAGTTTTTTTAGTCATTGAAATGATGGTGGTTATTGTGCCCAGCAAAGAAATCTTTTTTACAAAAAAATTGTCAACTTGGCCTCACATCCACATACGAATACAAAAAATTAAATAGAAGTGTCTGGGTGCTACTGCAGGGTAGTTTGGGTGGGGGGTGGTATTCCTTTTAGCCCAACTCTCCACATCTGTGCCATAGATAAAACCATGACGGAGTTCCCCCAAAATAGAGCTGCTTATTCCCCTTACAGGTGCACCGCACTGTTCCACTCAGGCAGCTAGCTCCTCTCAGCATCGAGAGCCGGTCGTGGTAAGGAGCCAGGTCAGCAGTCGGAGAGGTGAATCTCTCCCCCTTACAAACCAGAATATCCAGAAAAGTGGAGGGAGGAGGAAATGATGCAAGGTGAGGATGGGATGGGGGTGGGGGTAGGGGCGGTCGGTGGCTTCAGAATGACTCGTCATTCCCCAGAGAAAGATCCCCTTTAGGTGTCGAGGCGCGTGATGAGCCTTTGTCCATGCTCTCTGAGCCAGAACTCTGGTGCTGTTGTTCAGAGCCCATACTAGATGTAATGGTGGAGGAGGATGTGGAGGAGGAGCGGGTCTTCTCCTTAAAGTCTGTTATGATCACCGTCACGTTCCCTACAGTGATAGCCAGTTGCTGGGCGGTGCTCCTGTCAATGTTCTTCAGCTTGGGCCTGACGGGGAAAAGAGATGATCAAGAAGAGATTACTGACCACACATGGAAACCACAGTAGGTATGCAGGGCCATGACGATCATACCTAACCCCACAGTGCTGGCAAACTGTTCATGCAACAAGATCTGGACTGAGAGAGAAAACACTTATAATCGTATAAAACTACAAAGAGATCGTACTTACTTTGAAGCAAATGTGTTTCACTACAAACAAGTTTTGTGGTGCTACTCTTTCACCAAAAAGACACACAAAAATAAAAAACACACTGCAACACACACCTGGAAATGTGAGAGTTCTTGTTGGTCTTGGTCACTGATTTGCCGGACAGTATGCTGTGTTTGTCACTGGGTGGGCTGTGATGGCGGTCTGATTTGGGCCTGGGGGGAAAAACGACAAACACCAGTAGAGATGTGATCAGTCATGTACGGTTATTATAAGGAGGGTGTTAAAACTTAAAGGGGAATATGCTTCGTTTTATGTTTACATTATTTAGTTGTAGGCCTATTTTTGATCCATCATTGACCTTCACTTTTTCAATGCCGCTGATAAAACTGGAGCTCGATTCAATAGTTGTAGAAATTTTAGGAACAAAGTAAGTCAGGGTCAACTTGACAGTTCATTTGGATCATTTGAGTGACATGTGAGTGACTTGGATTATGTGGATATTAGGATATTTTAATGAAGATTGCTTTCTGGTATCTTTGGGGGTGAGGGGTCTGTGATAAACCAAAAAGTACAGAAAACATCTCAGAGGACCATGAGCGCCGGATGTCTTTTGTCACAGTGTACAATCTTCCTGGCATCTTTGTTTCAGCTCCATCTTTTCGTGTTATTTGGTGTGACACTACTTAAGTACCTAACAATGCCAGAAATGAATGACCTTCAAATGTAATCGTGAAATACTGTTTTTAGATCAAAAAATGATTGATTGTTATAACTCTTTATTTCACCATATACCTGAAAATGTGCTGATTATAGTTGACTGTTTTAACAAAGAGGTAACATATGTAAGTATAAGTTCATATGAAATAACTTTCTTTTTGTCTCTGTCCTCATCAGCAGAATCTCTAAGTTACAAAAGTTTTATCTTCATGAATCAGTTTCGTAGCATGTGAGCCACTTGTTGCAGAGGGTGATTGTTAAATCAATTAAGGCTGGACAACATGGCCTCAAATCAATATCACGATATATTGAGCAGTTCACCTTGATAACGATAAATGGACGATAACAACTCCACAAGCTGCTCAACCCCTCCCACAATAACTTCGTCTACTTCAGCTGCTGCTCCAGTCGCTACAACTTTTGAACCGTCCTCCATCTCCTCGCCTGTCTTTCCCTCTTTGTTACGGACTGGATGGGGTGGAGTCACGTCTCCATAACCATAACCTGCCTACACAAATCCAAAACCAACTTTTATTTATTTACTTTTTTGGATATGGGCAAAATGACGTTGGTTATTGTCGTAAATTTCGGTTTCAGTAAATTCTCAGTTTATCGCCCAGCCCTAAAATCAACGGTTGAATATTGAACTTTTTCCAAACTTACAACAGAGTGTAAATCAACACCAGACCAGATGATAGAAAAGTGCCCTTCAATCAAAGCATGCAGGTAGGAGTGGATATTAAACGGAGATGCTGTGCATACTGCAGCAAAGTGTGTGTCCTGCCCCTCCCTATAACCAACTCTTTTTCCACTTCAGCATCAATAACTCAGATTAATTCACAACAAGGAAGCTGCAGATGTCACATTTCACTGAGGACTGTTGTTTCTTCAGCATGTTATGCTGCAGAAGTACAGACTGTCGTGCAAAGAGGAGGAGGAGGAGGATGAGGAGGAGGAGGCAGGTGTGTGTTTGACATTTCTGAGGGACAAAGAAAGCACGACAAGAGAAAGGCCGCAGTGATCATAAGTGATCACAAGCTAACAACTGTCAGACAATGTACCACCTCATAATGATAGTCATCGACTGTAGGTGACGTCTTGGAAAGACTGAAAGATATGTTGGATGCAGCAGGACTGTCAAAGAATATTTTATATTCCATTTGGCTGGTGATTCACAGACAGCGATGGGTCGTGTGGCAGGTACACGTCTTTTTGTAACAGTTGTGGTATAACAAAAAAGTTTCAGGAGTTTTTACATTCATCAAATACATCAAACGTAATTTCTCCTCTGGGCTTACATCAAGCAAATTTGTTGACTGTATAAGTAATGGAAGCTGTCATGTGTCACTATGGCAACAGGAGGACTATCAAGCACAGCGCAAAGGTTTGTCAGATCAACATGTTTATGTGCTCTGAAGTACATCCATTTTTTTTCTAGGGAAAGTACAAGAAAAAGCGCCAGTAAACCAAATGTCAAAGAGACCAGAGTGGGGTCAACGATCTCCTCAGTGTCTCTAACATTAGTTGAGAATACATTCTGATTTTTTCACAACTATGATTTTACAGTTCTACTCTAGTCAAAGTAAATGGCAATGCCTACCTGCAGAAGAAACACCAACACTAACTCTTTTCTGTTTTGGTTAACCCAAAACTAGCCCAATCCGCAGCGCCAACACCAACTTTTTAGCAATCTTCAGGCTCATTAACTATTTGTGTTCTGGCACAGATGAGGACAAGTTCACATTGCTTTGTGATACATTAAAGGGATATTCCAGCGTAACGTTAAGTTAGGGTCAAACACACCGTAACACCCCCTCAAGAGATGAATGTTGCCGACTGCTTGCTTCTCTAGTTATACCGACTTCAGTAACGACCGCACGGTAGCAATACAGAGCGGTCTGTGGATCCATGCACACACCTAAACCAAAAAGCCACTCTATAGTCACAAATAATGCAGAACAGCACCTAACTTCATCAACAGTACTTATAGGGTCCCAGCCACTCTCCTCCAGCAGCTGCTTATTTGTAGGGGAGCCCTGACGAGTCGATCACAGAGTGCAGCGCAGTTTCGCAGCTCAAGGAAGAACATTTATGATCATTACTTCATGGAAATGCAATCAGAGTGAAACGCTAAAGCAGAAGAACTACCACGTCTGCAATGCAAAATGATTGATATGATGATAATTACTTCATAGAAATCATCCGCTGCACTCAGTGATCGACTTGTCAGGGCTCCCCCCACAAACAAGCGGCTGCTGGAGCAGAGTGGGTGAGTTGTGTTTAGTCTCTTTGCTAAAGAAACCAGGCAAAGCTAAAAAGATGTTTGATGGCTAGTACTATGGCTGGGACCCGTTGGTATAACTAGGGAGCAAGCAGTTGGCAACAAAAATGAACCAAATTTCAAAAACAATTGGCTGAAGCTTATTTTACACAAAAGTAACTACACTGAGGACAGCTGGTGAGTACTGAGGCCTAAAGATCTCCTCTGTGGTCGAAATAGACCATCAGCTGATGTGATATGAACTTTGGCATCATCGGTCACGTTTGTGAAAAAAAAAAAAGATCACGTGCAACATCGATGCTCTGTGTACATTGCATCTCTGAAAGGGTGTATGCATTAATTCTGCACAGATTAAGTCCCTGTATGTTATTGGAGGCCCTTGCTACCAAAGCTACACCAGGGAACAGGATGTTTTCAGGAGCAGGTACCTTGTGTAGCAGTAAACATGTGCTCAAGTCTGTTGTGTCACCAAAACACAAGCATTAAGCTAAAGAGAGACACTCCATTATACAGATGTGGCTGCTGCAACTTTGTCCTGGTGCTGGTTGTGATCAAACAGCCAGACTTGTTGTCCTGTGGTGTGTACTCCTTAGTGTTTACAATAAGAGTGGCGTGGTTAAGTGTTGTGTCAACTGTTATCTCTACTTCTCCTGTCAGAGGGCTGGAGATGGCAAAAAATGATTTGAACGTCCCAGTGAATAAGAAAATGATGTACAATTGAATTTCCTTTTGACGTTGGAGAAACAAACTGGATTATCTGATATACATTTCTGAATTTATCTGTGATATCTTACAGCAGAAACAGCAGAGGGTGTGGTTGAATAAGCGTAATCCTCAAATAAATCATATTGAATCAAACTTCGGCTCTAAACCAAAAATCAGCAGCTAAACATCTTTGCTCCAGTATTCTGCCACAGTGACACTTACATGGCAGTCATAATACATCACAGTTTAGTCTCATTAATAAGAGACCTCTCTCTTCAGATTCGTCAGGGGACACTAGTGAAGTTATCAATAGACAGACAACATCCAGAGACACGAGTGAAAACTTCATCTGCACACTGACCTTGTCTTTTTGCTGGGCTTCTTTGTGACAGCGGGGCTGATGTCCTTCTCTGTGTCCGGCTTGTCTTCTATTGGCTGCTCCTTGTCGCTATTCTCTTTCACAGGACTGTCTAACTCTGGTCTCATTCTCTCCGGACGCTCAATATCCGGACGACCTTCTCCGTTGGTTGGCTCACCTTCACAGTCCGGACGCTCCTTGTCTGTACGCTCACTCCTTTCCCTCCGTTCCCTTTTAGGTGGGGGGGGCATTGGATACTGCTGGGCCACCTGCTGAGCAACAAGCTGGGAGTTGATCCTGGGTTTCCTGTGGAGGAGATTCAATGCAAAAACATGGATTAGCCTTATTAGCAGGGGAGCTAACCTAGGCTATGCCCCGACACAGACACCTTGCAGCTCCAGGCTGGTGCCAGCTATGGGAAAGTGTGGGCTCAGCCTTAGCCCACCAAAGCTGGTTTTTTACCCACCCAATACAGTTGAAAGTGGAATAAGTTGACAATGCACAAATATACCAAGCAGAGAAGCTGTTTTTGTTGGGTGGGGTACCTGTAGTCTGCTACCCCCACTCCTTTCATGCTGACATATAAGTTTATAAATACTCCTTTGAGTACCAAGAAACTAATGAAATGCTCCTGGACATGTTTCAAACATGACGAAGGGATTCATTCTATGCCCTTTTTACCGGAGGAGGACTGAGCTTATGAGACAACTTCTGAAAGAAGATGACGAGTGTCGTACAAAGGAGTGTGTAGTGTGTGCAAGGCTTGACACTAACTTTTTTTTACAAGGTTAAAAAAGTAAGACACACACAAAGAACTTCAGGGGTGCAATGAAAACTGATCAAATAATGTGTGTCTCATTGGTCGACACAAGCACTGTTATTTGAAATCAATTTTAAGTCAATTGGTCCCATGACATGGAAGCTATTGAAGGAAAACAGCCTTTCTGAAAACATCAACCGGTAATTTATTGATAGTCCCTTATTCAACACCCAACGTTGACAGCAAGGGTGACGAGTAGATTAAACCGCGCTGCTGTTGCTATTCCCGGTTATGGAGAGTGAGAAGACACCAGTAGATCAGCAGTGAATGCCAGTCAAATATCCAACCTAAAACTAACTTCACCACAGTATTTACATGAAAAAACACTTGTCGTCTAATTTTTTTTTTTATGCGTACGTGCCCCCTAAATACATTTGGCAATTCGCACACATCTATTTTTAGTTGCAAATGCCAGTAAAACGGTCGCACTGTCGAGCCCTGGTGTGGGGTCCTGAAAGCAAAGTTTTGGTCGACAACATCTGTTGTTGTCCCCTGCAATAAAATTTCTAACACAAACTGTTGCAGAAATGTTCAACAGAATATATTATTGAAGTGTTAGATCCTCAAATTGTCCTATAGGAGAACCCACAGGCCCATCTTTGAAAACCTGTGCCCCATTATGTTTAACTGACATCTGTACTGTACTCTATAAAACCAAAGACCAGCCCGGTCCTAGTTGACAAGCTAAGACTGGCTCTGCTACAGCTTAACAAAAGACGTGACTGCCCCCACTCACGGCCAAGAAAGAGAGGCTGGTTCACCCAACTGCTGCAGAAATCCACATCTAATCTGATTAATGCCACGCTGACCCTCTTTATCACAGACCCAGTTATAATAAGACTGGATTTCAACGCACTGTCCAGTCCACCATGAGGTTACCAGTCACCTTTTAGAAATTTCTTAACAGACTTTTTATGGTTATTTTGTACGGTTATAAACACACACTTTAAGACCAGTTTACACTTTGACTGTAACACATTGTGGTACAGTTGTAGATTTTGAGTTTGCTTTTTGATTCAGCATCAAAACTGATATTGAATTTCCCTTCAGGGATCAATAAAGTTCTTCTTCTTAAAAAAATATCTATTTTTCATTTATGTCATCCTTCAACATCATCATTATAAGCATTTAAGTCTTTAACTGTAAAGAAATTCTCAAAAGTGCTGGGCAAAAGACCCCTATTGCAGAGTGGGACTTTGTGGATCAGATGTTGTTGGTTGTACTCATTCCACCAAAGTCCAGCTGTTCCCAAAAGAGCTGGGTCTGAAGCTTCTTATTAGAGGTGGAAAGGGACTCTGCAGATTGGGTAAATCCTTTCACCACTAAGGGAACAACAGAAGAGAAGAGAAGAGTCTGGGTGGTGACCTGGGGATATGTCGTGGTGGGAGAACCATGCAGCTTTCATTGGAAGAGCATATGGAGAGGGAGCGCAGACCTGGATGAGGGGTTCCAGGTAGGCAGGAGCAGTTTTTGTTACTGTTTAGTAAACAAATAGTTCAATTTTATTTTGCCACACCACAACAGTTACCTTTACGCGTGGTGGTAAAACAAGCTTGGAATATCTCTGAACTTCTTGCCTCTGTACTGAGCTCCCTCTTCACTACATTAGCTCTCCGCTGAGCAAAATGTTTCGACCTACCAGCTCTTGTAAACACAGAAAAGCTTAGCATTGAGGTGAGTAAGTCGGCCCTGAGGATTGGCCCAATGAACCAGCCCTTTGTCACGAATATCTGGATCAGTAGCTTTTTGGGTCAGGATCTGGCCGATACCCGTTGCCAGGATCAGATCTGTGCATCCTCAGTAGGTTGTGTTGTTCCATTTTAGCAGTGTGGTTGATACTCTCCACAAACATTAAAATACAGAAGTATCTGTTCTGAAACAAGCTGGTTTGAAATATGAAGCACTAATCCAGACAAACAGAAGTAAACTGTCTTGTCAGACTTATAAACATGCAGGTGATTCTGGAGTCTAAGAACATATTGCTTCTACAATCTTGTTTGGTGTTTGAATATCTGACTTTCACAGAATCACCGGCTCCTAAATACATCCCTGTCACATTCAAACTACTGAGCGTTTTTACCGTGGCATCTGTCCTGTCACTGTAAACATTAGTATCAGCTGTGAGAGCAGTGGGGGTTGGGGGTGCTCTTTAATCAATAAGCATTTGAGTCATAAATATCTCTCTTCAGTTCCTCCTCTATTCACCCACTATGGTGGCTTGCAGATTTAACACACTCACCTAACGCTGTAAAAAGGAAAAACCTGCATTTGACATGTGAAGGGTGCTAATTTCCAACCCAAAGAAAACACATTTAGCCTTACAGATGTACAGAAAAGAATTATCATTAATAAATATAACTTGCCTCAAGTTAGCCTTGCAGGCTATGGAATTTCCCAAGAGAGGAAATAGGGTTTATTTTGAACCAGCTCTGAGCCAGCACTAGCACCAGGGCCACTTTCAATACAACAAAATATGGACAGGCTGTGACTATTATTTTGAGTTTGCTTCTACCTTTACAAGGTTAATATATGTCTCTTTATAAATCTCAAAATACTTCCCACTCAATTTTCTTCTTACACAAACAAAAACTTTAATCTGCTTTATAATGCTTCATTGTGCTTCTGGGCACACAACGCGTCTCACAGAAAAACAGATAAAGCCTTTTGTGAGCAATTAAAGAAAAACTAAAAGGCTTCATCCAGCCGCAGGCCGCTACTTTTTTAGCCAAGGTTCAACCCTCGATCATGAAAAGTAGTTAGAGCAGGATAAGTCGTGCCCTAACATTTTACAAATGAGACCCAATGGATGTTAAAAAGCATAAGCAAGTGCCTAATTGAAGTTTTGCTACCACTTTCTGTTATTTCTTAGGCACAAGATCAATAAACATTAAAGCTGATGCATCCCTATGATTAACACAGGTCCACACAGAAGATTACTTTTTGGAGAGCAAAAGTAATTCTACTCCCCGTTACCTTGACCTCCAGGTCTGCCTTTGACCAAAGATTTAACAGCGCACAAATAGAAATGCCTTAGTTTGCAATTTCTATAAAAAGATTAACAGTAAAAGAGAGTTTTTTTTCTTTTGATTTTTTGCATTGCTTTGTTTCTTTCTGCAAACCTGCGTCAATGACTTTGTGAACTTTAATATATAAGTGATATTTCTGGGTAAGTCGGTTGCTTTTCTTTTAAATGCTTCACCTTAGTAATGTTTGTAATGTATAATTGCCACAACTGTCATCATTATTACTTTTATCTTTAATATCAGACATTTCCACCGCACTTATTGTTTTATATGACAACATTTGGTTACAAAGTTTATGAATAAAATGTATTATCCTGGTAAACATGGCATCCATGTTTACCATCCATGCCTGAAGTCGCCACTCTTGGCTGTTTCCCGCCTACAGTCCCCACTGATTGGCCACACAGACAGCCAGTGTTAATTATTGTTATTTAATCTAATTTAGGGGGCTTTTATTTGTTAATTAATTTTAGTTACAGTTAGAGTTCATCATAAATGCTGCTATAAGATCCCTTCACTTTTTGTTGTTTTTATTTATTGTCTTTATTAAGACAATAAAACAATTGTTTGAACCTTTTCAAAAAAAGATTATTATCCAACAGTTTAAAGGTCTTCTTATCAAAGATTTTCACAGTGTACAAAGTAAACAAACAGTTTACTGTGTTCAGTCTAATCCCAGGTGTGTTATCTAAAATTTTGGTACAAAAATATAAATTTTTACAGCAAATAAATATTGGTTCTCAATATTGGTTACTGGTTTCCTTGATTACTAATAATCGGTATCAGCTCTAAAAAAAAAACATATTGGTCGATCTTTAATCTGATTTAGGAAGTGTCAAACAAATATAACTAACTCATTAACAATGAGGTCACATCTCAGCCTCTGTCTGTGCTCAAATTAAACTGAGATCTTTTCAGCAAACAACCAGCTGACAAAAAAACAAAAAACTTATGGTTCTCTACACTGTAGAGCTACTGTAAGACTTCACTTTGGCTAACACAAGCAATCTCTGTTGAGGTAGAAGCAAAGGACCATCACAGGTGAAGGTTATTAGATTGGCTAATGCACATTTACATATCTTATTCAAGTTAAATCATACACAGGCATATGATCTCTGTTTGACACTTTAATGATAGCTATTGTTAAAGTCCATGGAGCAGACAGTGTTGGTGCACACAGATACCCTGGCCACACCTATGTCAGCGCTCCAGCTGTGCCACTCCGGTCAAAACGTCTGGACAGATCCACAGTGACACAGAGAAAAACAGTAGGGCTTAACTGCTGTTGGTCTGTCAAGTCTGCAGAACAAAAGCTGCAGAGAAATATTTCTCTGAATTTTAAAGAATTGGAGAAAACTTGGCTGAACTTTCTGTCCCACAAAAGGCGGTAAAAAGGTGATCAGTATTCTGCATTTGTCTCCCACAAGCTGGTCAGGATGAAGTTTCAAGGAAATTTTCACCACACAGAGAGCTGGCTAAAAAAGACCATTGGAAGAAATAGTGATGAAAATTAGTATTTTCTTTTTCAACGATTCACGGCATATATATACAGAATGAAAAGACATACACCGTACAGCCAAATATTTGGACAGCTCCTCAGCCCTTCGTGTCAAAATGTTAGTCAATGGTTACATTAACAAAATGCTGCTTGAGTGTACCTATTACCTTAGCACCGCAGTACAATCTCAACATCTGATTATCTTATTTCCAATTAATTTTTTTACATGAGTACATTTTATAAGAGCTAGCATTAAGTCCTGTTGTAGCAAACACTGAGTAAAATCTGGTTTTAACCTCAATTTTCAGGAAAAAAAAACTACATTAAACATTTTTGAATAACAAAATACAGTGTCTTTATTTGAAGGCTTTATGTGAAAACAAATTCTTTCTAACAGTGGTTGCGATATGAAGGTATGTGGTGTGTTTGTGTAAGTAGGAAAGACAAAGGAACGTTTTAAATTGACATCAGTGATGGTAAACCTGGCTTGATTACCTTAGGTTACATATTAAAGAAGGAATAAGTCAATGATTTTGAAATATTACATAATCCTTCTGTTTGGACCAAAACCTTTACAGGGGAGGACCTGATCTCTTTGAGGAAAAATTCATCTTCTGGGGCCAAAGAGAAGCTGGGCTGACAGATGAGGCCTCCTCAGATCTTGCAGATGCAGCATCTCTCTCATCTTTGAAGGTTTTTCTTGTGATCTGTAAAATAAAATAAAAAAACAGTGCTGAATGTCATCACTATTTTAAATATTCAGATTACCCAACAGAAAAAGATGTCCATACTGCTCTTCTACAAAGTCACCCCAAACTTCTATCAGAAAATCAGATATATTTAATGAAATGCAACTCCTCTTGTATAAAACGTTACCATTAGGAAATGAAAATATTCTTCCGTAACTGTTGCTGTATCAATAACAAACACTGGTACATGCATTTGGACCTAAAGACAGAGGAGCCTAGGCAGACATCGTTTTTAATGACATATTAAGTCCTTACACAAAGAGCCATCTATATGAAAATTTGTAAATTCAGCATGTAGGGTTTCAGTAAATTCTGTGTCTACAGCCTACCTGTCACAGGCTGTGGAGGTCCAGCTGCCTCCTCCATTGCTGCATCTGTTCTTTGTTCCAGTGGTCCTGCTCCCCAGTTTTCAACCAGTCAGGCTCTGTCCTCAGAAGTTTGGTTTATGGTCCTTTCTCTGTAGCTTGTCTCCATTCCGCGCTGACTTTAGGTTGCCACTTATTCTCTAAGGTTCACAAAGTTAATCTACATACAGTGGATATAAAAAGTCTACACACCCCCGCTCAACTGCCAGGTTTTTTGTCATGTAAAAAAATTAAATCAAGATATATAATTTCACAACTTCTTCCACCTTTAATGTGACCTATAATCTGCACAACACAATTGAAAAACAAACAGAAATCTTTCAGGGAGGTGAAGTGAAAATAAACAACTGAGATCACGTGGTTGCATGAGTGTGCACACCCTTTAATAACTGGGGCTGTGGCTGTGTTCAGATTTAACCAATAACATTCAAACTCCGGTTAAATTGTAGTCAGCACACACCTGTCACCAATTGAAGTGCGTCTGATCAACCCCAAATTAAGTTTAGCTGTTCTAGTAGACATTTCCTGACATTTTTGTAGCCACATCTTCCAGCACAAGCCATGGTCAGGAGAGAGCTTCTAAAGCATCAGAGGGATCTCATTATTCACAGATATCAGTCAGGTGAGGGCTATAAAATAATTTCCAAGGAATTGAATATACCATGGAACACAGTGAAGACCATCATCATCAAGTGGAGAAAATATGGCACAACAGTGACAATACCAAGAACAGGACATCCGTCCAAAATCGATGATAAGACAAGAAGAAAACTGGTCAGGGAGGCTACCAAGAGACTGACAGCAACACTGAAGGAGCTGCAGGAATTTCTGGCAAGTACTGGCTGTGTAGTACATGTGACAACAATCTCCTGCTGTCTTCATATGTCTGGGCTATGGGGTAGGGTGGCAAGATGGAAGCCTTCTTACAAAGAAAAACATCAAAGCCCGTCTTAATTTTGCAAAAAGACATCTGAAATCTCCCAAATGCATGTGGGAAAATGTGTTATGATCTGATGAAATCAAAGTTGAACTTTTTGGGCATCATTGCAAAAGGTGTATTTGGCGCAAAATCAACACTGCTCATCACCAAAAGAACACCATACCCACAGTGAAGCATGGTCGTGGCAGCATCATGCTTTGGGGCTGTTTTTCTTCAGCTGGAACTGGTGCCTTAGTCAGGGTGGAGAGAATTATGAACAGTTCCAAATACCAGTCAGTCCTACCCAAAAAGACTGAGTGCTGTAAGCCAAAGGTGCTGCAACAAAGTATTAGTTTAAGGGTGACCATATTTAAATGCAACCAGGTTATTTTAACTTTTCTATTTTTTATTTTTCCCCTTAAAAGGTTTCAGTTTGTTTTTCAATTGCATTGTTCAGGTTATCGGTCACATTAAAAGGTGGAAAAAGTTGTGAAAATATTTATCTTGCTGTCATTTTCTTATGTCATAAAAACCTGGCAGTTGAACAGGGGTGTGTAGACTTTTTTAATCCACTGTATTTCCACTCTTTACCTGACCCAGCTCCAGACTATGGCTGGAGACTCCTGGAGACTCACCCACTTTGTTTGACCTATTTTTCTCTGGATCACTACAACTTCACTAGAAAAGTACATTCCTAACTGGCTTTGGTTGTACTAACTAAAGCTACTGTAGCTCACTTGGTCCACAGTAGCATCTACAGTACCAACAGTACATGCCAACGGTACAGGACAGGATCTCCAGGTCAACTGTTAATCATTGTAGTCAATGTTATGCTGCTGGATCAGAGGTCTATTGTGTGTCTATTTGTGACCAACTAATCTTAAGGTTCACAATGCCTCAGTTGCTCAGTCCTACCAATCTGCCCTCTATAACATCAGGAGGTTCAGACCCTACCTGACAGAGCACACAACTACTGCAGCTTCTTAAAGAGATATTCCAGCTAAAAATTCTTTTGGGGTCAAACACACTGTAACACACCGAGTTAGACAACCCCTCGAGAGATGAATGTTGCCTCTCTAGTTATACCAACTTTAGTAACGACCGCATGATAGCAATACAGAGCGGTCTGAGGAGCCATAAACAAACCTCAACAAAAACACCACTCTATAGCCACAAACAATGCTCAGAACAGCACCTAACTTCATCAACAGTACGTATAGGGTCCCAGCCACAGCACTGACCACCAAACATCTTTTTAGCTTTGAGTGATTTCTTTAGCAAAGAGACTAAACACAACTCACCCACTCTTTTCCAGCAGCCGCTTGTTTGTAGAGACCTCGGACGAGTCCATTACGGACTGCTGCGGGGTGGCGCAGCTCAAGGAAGAACATCTATGAGCATTACTTTATCATTTCCTTTAAGTAATAATCACTATATTAATCATTTTGCACTGCAGATGCAGTAGTTCTTCTGCCTTAGCGTCTCAGTCTGATTGCATTTCCATGCATTTCTACTGACTTCCAGTAGAAGCTCACATCAAACAGAAAGCCCGACTTCTTGCCAACTAAATCAGAAAACCTGCCTATCTGCAGTCCCTCAATCCCTCAGGTTTACACTCCTTCCCACCTGTTACCCTGTGCCAATGAAATGCACCTGTTGCTCCCATTAAACAAGGCCCTAAGTCACTGACTAGAGTCTTCTCCTCTGTTGGCCCTCGGCGGTGGGATGAATTAGCAAACTCTGTTATAAAAAAAAAGGAATAAAAGCAAGACTGCATCCTGGTCAGAGCAGAGCTGCCACCGCCACACACATCAGAGACCACCTCCTTTTTGTTTTAGTGTTCATAATTAAAGTGCATCAGGGCATCCATCAGGTTAGCTGGTGCTCTTTTCTCTCCAAGTTTGATGCCAGAAAGTCACCAATTTGCAGGGATGTGTCTCCATCAACACAGCTCTTCCTCCTTTAAGTTTTCATTTACTGATGACTTAGTAGTCTTGAGTCCAAAAAGATGGAAAGAAGTGAGCTTTGTTTGTTACTTTAAGTCAGAGTAGCAACTGTAACCCCTGCTAATAACGGCAAAATCATAGCTTCACTAAAGCTTAGTTAATTTGATGGTAAACATTTTCAATTTCCTACCAACTCTTCGCGATAAAAAGTCCTTAAATATTCAGATGCCTGAATACCTTTATTCTTAAACAGCCACAGGAACTTTACAAAACACAATAAAAATCAAAAGCAGGAGAGAAATGGAAACTCAGGTATTACAGATTCAGTTAGAAACTAAAATGTACCGAGTTCTTAACATACAGTAGTTTACAAAATCATCTTTCTCTGGTCTGAGGAACAGACATGAGTTGAAACTTATTGAAGAGGAAGAGGGTGGTTGAAATGAGTGGATATACGTTTCACCTTTTACATTTTCTAATAATACAAAGGCTGCCTAAAGTACCAGGCCTTTGATTGAAACAGGCTTTTATAAGAGACGGGCCTTTATATCATATTCTCAGATTGTAGCTGTTCATACTTTACATAAAGTGAGGGTCTCATTCACCAATTCCAGCCAAACAGACATCACATTTTCCCCAAAGCATAAAGGCTTTAACATGAATTTAAATGGTTCATTGTCTTCAATTAGCGCAAACAACACCTCTTTGTGTATAAATTAGCCTAATTACAACAAAAAACAAAGCCACGAACCATCATAGTCACATTTTAACCAACTGTTGGGTGTTCATAGGCATCATCACACTTCACTTCTGGTGATTAGAGCAACTTTACATACAATCCTAGCTCTCTTCAAAGTCTGACAGGTCTTCTATTGATCTGTGGGGCAGCTGTGGCTCAGTGGTGGAGTCGGTCAACTCCCAGTCAGAAGGTCAGGTGTTTGATCCCAGGGTAGTCCATATGCAGATGACCCCATCCGCCCTTGCTGGTTGTACCAAGTACTCCATTAATAGTCTTTTTCTAAAAATCTAAGTGCATAGATCCCTGAATGCAAATTCAACTTGCAGAAAACATAGCTATCATTGTTGGTGTCTGTTAACAGCCTACGGTGGACTACACAATGCCACAACCACAATTTAAGTCTTTGGAGGTTAATCCCCCTATAATGTTTAAAAACTGGTTAATTCATGACTAATAATGGAATCATCTAGCATCACCAGCACTCCAGAAGAAAAGAGGCGAGCACGTTAATGTTGTGAGATAGTTTATATGGAAAAAAATATCCTATTCCAAACTCTTTATCCAGAAAAACTGAGGGTCCACCAGAGTGACGGTATTCAGATGTACTACTCCACGACTTGGGAAGCTACAGATGGTCTACTGCCATCACAAATAAAACCATCCATCTCTGAAGACCAGACTGAATAAAGACCTTAGCCAAATCAGCTGGCAGAGTGTCAGCAGGAGAATCAATCAATTAAACTTTATCTATAAAGCACTTTTCATACACAGAATGTATCACAAAGTGCTGTTAATCAGCTGTGCGTCCATATATGACAACTTGGAACTCACTAATGCTTAAACTAATGCTTATACTCAGCACGCGCGCCCCACGGTGCAGCCTGTATGTATTGCATATACTGATACATACTGAGTCCGAGGTAGCGTGTAAAAAAAACTTTATTTTTGAGGTGTGGTGGCTTTTATTTAGCTGTGGCAGTGTGACATTACATGTAGGGGAAACCCTGCAGTTGATGTTGAATAGGCAAGACTGATCTGCCTACAGCTCTACTATCCCCTCCTTTTTTCTCACCGGTAATTCTTCGTACATTCTTGTTCCTCTTATTTCGTCTGTCAGGTTTTCTATGCTACTTTTGTCAGAGCTCATCTATTGGTTGTTGGTTGTGTTAAGTCACTGCGACTTGCAATAATATAAAACCCAAGACTAGGAGAAGACTAATATGAAACAGCGCAGATTACCATCTTGAACTTAACGATCGAGATGACAGGAGCACGCTGTGACTCCACTGTGACTTCAGTAAAACTCCTAAATTTACTTGAGACTTTCAGTTTTTAGTCTGGGACTGTGAAAATCATTTGGCGAAAGCCCAGCATAAGAGGGATAGTCAAGTCCGACCCTTGATTTACTAGCGGTGACTCAATCAAATGTACCCTTAGTCAGTGGTTATTCTAAACGAGCCTCATTTACTGGGTTCACCTCGCTCCCCTCAGCCAATCCCCCAGCACACATCCCTGCTCTCTGCACACAGCTGCTGCTTTCCTCTCCCCTTCCTTTTCGTTTCTCTCCATCTTTATTAGCAGAATCTTTATAAGTTACTAAAGTTGAGTTTTTCTCCACATGGATCATTTCGTACAGCAAACAGCATGTGGAGGATTATTAAACTAAACTACTTTTTACAATCTTGAATAGCATCAGAACAGTACATTTACATCAAAATGGACAGAACACACACTTCACACTCTTTATCTTACAATTAATTCAACCCAAAAACTTGAACAACTATGTGGAAGTTTAATTCAAGCATATGTAACAACCCACAAATAATAGAGCATAAAAGGAAGACATAATGTATGTAGATGCCTCATAGACTGATGCTGGGATATTTTCGTCCAAAAATATACGGTGGCCAAATTTTCAGTGCATCCCTCGAAAAATCGTTACTAAAACAGCTTATATTGAAAAGTTGAGACCTGAAAGATTTACGTAATTACAGCCACAGGGTACACACACAAGGTACAAGAAATGTAAATGGCTGAATATCAGATCAATGAAATAAGAACACAGGAAAGACAAAACCTAAACCTCAACCCTAATCCTAACCCTAACTGACTTTCTCTAGTTCTCTGACCTCTCAAAGCGCTTTTACATTATGCGTCACATTCACCTATACACTGATGACCAAGCCAGTAGGGGCGAGTGACACTTCTGAATGTGGACAGCCCTGCGATCAAACCCCCGACCTTTCAGTTGGGAGACAATTGACTACCACTGAGCCACAGCCGCCTCGCAGCAAAAGAATTGAATCTTTCTCAAACACCAAGTCTGGGAAACATACAAGCAGACAGTCATTTATGTAAAATCTGAAACCCTGACAGATAGACTTTCCTGCATTCACTTTATTTAGCATCAGTTACAGTAAAACAAATTAGTTATGCTTAATTACAAGTCTAAAAGGTAGATAGCTCTCCTGGTATAGCTTCACCACAATATGTCACAAGAAGCTGAGGGATAAGTTAACACCTTTTTAATGAGGGTTAATCATTGGATATGTAAAAAAAAATCAGAGATGCCTACTTCAAAAACAAACAAGCATGTGATCAATCAAGACCTATAAGTGTACTCAAATAATGTCTACCAGACCTGATCCATCTTCACCAAGCAGGTTTATTGAGCAAAGACAAACACAGGATGACTGTAGAAGAACATTGCATGTCACAGAGAACAGAACAGTCAGCTCTGATTAGCTTAGATACACTGAAGGTCTTTGATACGGTTAATAGGGAATTTTTGTACAAATCTTCATATAAATTGGATTTCTACGAGGAATTCAGAAAAATGATGAAAACATAATATAATAAACAACAGCTAGAATAAAGGAGAATGAGGACATTAGAGCTCCTTTTGAAGAGGAGGATGACAGGGATGTGCAGTCTTTGTGCTGCTTGGATTTACATTGACCCTCAAAGTCAATGATTCAACAAAATCAACATATAAAAGGAATTCCAACAAAAGAGACAAAAAATAGCTTATTAAAAAAATGATACTTCGATATTTTCAGAACAACCCATCCACCCCATATCTGATTTGTTGGGTTACCTGGAAGAATAAGCTACATGTCTGGTTACAAAGTTCATGTCTCAAAGTTTTAACATTTAAACTATCAGCCCACAAAGGATATTATTGAAAAATACCAGATGAAATAAGATGTAGGTTTAGTTAAATATCTGGGTATTTATCTACCAAAAGACATATCAAATTTATTTAATATAAACCATAAACTCCAAAACTCTAAACTGAAGGCAGACAAGACAAGATGAAAATTGATTCACTTTTTAAATTTAAGCTCATGAGAGAAATCAGTCAAAATTAGTATTTTACCACACTCGTGGACAGAGCAAATCCAGTTATCGTTGTATGTCTGTAGTTGGGAGGGAAATTCAAAAACTATACAAAAGCGATTACAAAACTACAAAGGTGGTGTGCAAATAATAGTGGCTTCTGTTCGAATGTAAAAATAACAAAAGATTTGATACTTGGGAGAGGAGACGTATCACAACCTAAAGGAATGCCTTACAAAAAGGTCCAGACTGTACAGGAAGAGTATTACCTCCAATTATGAGGAATTTCTTTGGATAAATTAGAGGATGAAAAAAATGAAAATGTCTATAGTTCTAAACTCAAGAGTAAAATTCAGACTCAAGACTCAAAAGGGACTTCTGAAAATATGAAGAAAAAAGTGGGATGACGAAAGCAGGGTGATGAATGTCACACCACATGCCTTATAAAGTGGGAAACTACATATTCACTGGCTTGGAGGGAGTTTTGTTCGAGGAGTTTGGATTATTTATAACCTCAGGACAGAAAAGTTACACATTTCAAAACTCTGCTTGCTGGAGGCAATGCAAAACTATCAATGCAAATCACTGTCACATATTTTTATCTTGCCCTGTCCTGACTAATTTCTTGAAAATACACATCAAACTTTACAGAAAGTGCAATCACAATCCTTTTTAGATTTGATGTTGTATTCTTAGGCGACAATAATTTTTATTATTATTATTATGTAAGCCTTTATTATAATTTGATGGATGAATTTATGTGTATTATCTTTTAATGCATTTGGTTTTCTTTTTTTCCCCATATATCTACTTGTCTGCTTTGATTCTCATATCTGGTGCACTTGAATGTTCAGGGCAAAATTTCCAAAACATGCATGCCAGATATTTTCATGATGTCACTACTGTATACAAATAAAAACAAGATTAAAAAAACTTTTTAAAATAAATGTAAGAGCTGTTTAAGATATAGCAGCCCCTCCTTCATGTCATACTGTGTCCTGAGAGCTACGGTAGCATCAGCTTAGGGGGAAGACCTGGACAGACTGAGTGTGATTTGTGATCATTCACACCTTAACTGTGTCCCTTACTGTGGTTATTGTAAAACTTTGTTCATTTTCATCCATTACACTACTCTTATAAGTGTATGATACATCAGTCAACAAATATGTTTACCAACTGACCTCTGGCTCCCAAAGTTTTGTTCTCAGTCGTTTTATCGTGTAACTGAAATGATCAGCTTCCTCTTCCCCTCTTCTCTCTCCCATCGCATGGATACGAAAAATGTTTTCTAAACTGTGATCTGTTAAATACAGTGAAGTACTACAGCATGTGTTAAGCCTCTACTTGGCAACCATCATGTTTTTTTTTTCTTTTCATAAAACTTGATTTGGTCAAAGTTCTTTGCAGTTTTGACTTTAATCTCCAAGTGCAGTTTCCAGACCTTACCTTTGAATTGTTTTTTAGGTAACTCTGCTTTTATTCATGTAATTTAACACACTAGCTTTTACAAAAACTTGATCTCATGTGAGTTCTCTTTTTTTGACAGTACAGTTGATCATGTTCAGTGTAAATGTGTCCTGTCAAGCCGATAAGAGCGATACACGCGCAGGTTCGTTCACACATCAAGGAAGGTACCACCTCCTTGAGAGCAATAATAACCCCAGCTTATGCTCAATACATCTTGTCTAGCTTCTCAGCAATCCCACAGGTTGGCGAAATGCACTATTGCATGCATCAAAGTATTGTTAGGATATTGCACCGTGGCTATACACCCATTATGAACATAAAAAAAAACAATCCCTCTTCCCCACTCCACCTCCTTTTAGGAAGCAGAAAATGTTAGTTGCATAGAATAAGATGATATGGATAACCAGACAAGGGCAGGAGCATTTGACAAAGTAATATTTTCCCATCAAGTCTGTCGATCAAAGTTGTCATTCCCATAGATTGCAATGCCATGCATCTACAACCAGCCAGGCAGGGGGAAATCGAGACGCTCAGACGACACAGAGACAGACAGTCAGAGAGAGAGAGAGGGAGAGAAAAAGAGAGAGAGAGACAGAGAGAGGAGGGGGCGCTGTGTTACCTTGTGGAAGTGCCCTTCCTCACATCGCAGATGCTGCATTTAAAAGCCTCGGCAGTGTTCCTGAAGGTGCAGACGCTACAGTCCCAGTAGCCTTCGTCAGCGGTCTGCTTAGCTTGTCTTTTTGGCCTTACAAGGAAGACAAATGGGAAATTCTTATTTTCATACAGAGTGACTCTTACCACCTACCTCTGTCATAAACAACATGAAAAGAGACTAAAAAAACACGAGACGCTTTGTAACAATAAAGCACATGCTTTACAGACAAAACCATCGTTGGGTTGTCATTGTTAAGAGGTTGAAGCCCCGGCTAGTTTGTATCCATGGAGACTATTTTTCTCTCCAAGTCGGGGGTTCAGACCGTCTTTAACTGCATTGGCAGCTAGGCTAACGAGCAGGAAGGAATTACTATTTTTTTGACATCGAAACTTAGACAGTCGGCTAACAAAACCGATATTAAATATGGTCCGTTTCGATATGGTCTCCCAAAAAGACTAAATCGTGACAGGAACGCATTTCAGGCAATGCCCAGCGTTTCCTTAGAAAAAATCCCTTTGTCTGATAAGTGACTGGTTATTGGGAGCGAGAAGCCGCCATAGTGACTGCACTATTCTAGCTAGCTATGACATACTAACTGAAAAAGGCAGAAAGGAGCCCTGACGCATCCAAATCCACAGCCCAACACGCACAAAACAATCATTTATTCAACACAGAGCACACTGTTACCTTGTAGGGCTCTTTTTGTCGCCCATGTTGAAGATCAATCCTCTGAAAAAAAGAAAGGGGAGCTCCTTCACTTGCTAGTAAGAGAAGTGGTTCCTAAATAGGTCCGCTGCTGAAGCTGTTGGCAGACAGGCTCCGGGCTGGGCTGGCTTCAGGCACGGCACAGCGACGGACTGCACTGCGCCACGTGACCGCCAACCAGCCAATCAGAGCGCACGTCCGTTTAAAAGCCTGGATTGATATTCAATAGCGATTTTAATGACTAAGATGGACATTTGACAGACTTCAACTTCACCATCTCACGCATACATATCTAAAGATTACAGTGCTGTGATATCAGTACAAAAAGGGTATGAATACACACGCGGCATGTATTGCAGAATTAACCAAAAAAGAAGGACAAGCTTTCACTGCATTTCCATTTGTACAATTTTGCAGTGGTTCTAAATTCTGCATTTTAATACAGTCACATTAAATAAATATCCAAGTTATGCATCACATACATCTATTTAACCTCTTTTTTATTCTTAGATTTTGATGACTTCTGCAATTTTCTGAAATTATAAAACTTATTTTTAAAGTCCTTAGAGGATGTCAGTGTTTACATCACAACACTTTTTGACAACAACTACAGCAACAAAGATTGGTTATGTAAATCTAGTTGCATTGAATTAAAAGTTACATGCAGTTTTAAAGGGATATTCCGGCGTAAAATTAACTTAGGGTCAAACACATCGTAACACCGAGTTAGACACCCCGCAGAGTGATGAATGTTGCCGACTGCTTGCTTCTCTAGTTATACCAACTTTAGTAACAACCACAGATAGCAATACAGAGAGCCACGTGCTCAACCAAAAAGCCACTCTATAGCCACAAATAATGCTCAGAACAGCACCTAACTTCATCAACAGTACATATAGGGTCCTAGCCATAGCACCAAACATCATAAATGTTCTTCCTAGAGCTGCGTCACCCCGCTGCAGTCGATGGACTCAGGCGATGGACTCGCCCAAAGTCTCGCTACAAACAAGCAGCTGCTGGAAGAGAGTGGGTGAGTTGTGTTTAGTGTCTTTGCTAAAGAAATCAGGCAAAGTTAAAAAGATGTTTGGTGGCTGGTACCATGGCTGGGACCCTATATGTACTGTTTGTGAAGTTAGGTGCTGTTCTGAGCAATATTTGTGGCTATAGAGTGGCTTTTTGGTTGAGCACGTGGCTCTCTGTATTGCTATCATGCGGTCATTACTAAAGTTGGTATAACTAGAGACGCAAGTGATCTGCAACATTCTTCTCTCAACGGGGCGTCTAACTCGGTATTACGGTGTGTTTGACCCTAACTTAATGTTACGCCAGAATATCCCTTTAAATACATTAGGTATAACACAGAGTTCATTTTAGGAACTTTTCCATTTGTGTAGACTTTGGCACCCCATGTGGACAAATTGGTAACCCTCATAGGCCTGTTGTTGCTGATTTCGCCCTATCCTTGTAAAAGTGATGTTTATTGACAAAAAGATCTCCTCCTGTTGTCTTTGTTTAGTGAAATTTGTCACTTACTACGAATATATACTGTGGGAGAACTAAGGCTGATTCTTCAGTGTACCTACCCCGTCACAGCAGTTACCGGCCTTAAGAATGTCATTGTTGATGTCTTAAAGCCTGTCATCAATAATATTATTTGCTTAAATATGTTATAGACACACATCCCTGCTCATTTCAGTCTGTTTTGTAACCTGTCAAAAACTCCTCACTGGTGCTTTAATGATACTGCATACAAAAAATCAGATTCAATAATGTAAAATGAAAATAGTTTATTGGTGTTGCATGGAGTTTCCTAATAAATCCAAATAGCATTTTAAAGGGAATTTCAGCTATTTTAGAGAGGGGGTTGTATGAGTTTTATGTCACTAGTTACTGTATTATCCACATTATTATTCAGCACTTTACTTTTCCATCAGTAGGCTCATTCACTTCCACTCTATTTGTGAAATCCTCCACCAGCAGCACCATCAGATTATTTGGATGCACTAGTCAATTTTATATTGTGAACTTTGATATTTTTGCATCTTAGTTTTGCACAACAGTAAGCACCAAAGGTTACCCAACAGAGAAAGTAATGGCTGGAAAGATTTAGCTCAGTCTTCCCCCTCAGCAGCTAATCCATTGTAGTTTGATAACGTAAACATATAGTTTGGATCATACCAGACAACTGCATGGCAGGTTGTGGCAGGTCAGGGTGGCTACAAGTTAAAAAGTTAAACCAGTGTGGAGTATGAGGGAGAAGGGACTGTACAACAATAATTGAAGTATAACCATTTTTCTGAGTCTGCCAGACGAAGCTATAAAGAACAAATTTTAAACAGCAGTGTGAAACTTACTGCAAAATAGCCCAGCTGTGACGATGAAATTACAGTGACGTGTGCACTCCAGCTAAGCAACAGATTCCTGAGCAGCACACAGAGGTGAGACCTTAACCCGACAAAGACATCTGCAGAGGCTGGTGACGGGGTATGTTGTGAAAGGGATGTTACCCATTTTCACAGCTGACTCACCCTCATTTTGGTGCATGATAAAAAAAAAAACACATCCACAGTGGGTAATACAAGGTCTCCATGGTATCCTCAAGAGAAAGAATCTGCAGTGGTGAATATAGGCTGAAGGTCATGGATGGAGGGGTAGACTTTGTTATCACAATAGTCAACAAATTTGAGCTCAAGACACCGACCAAATAGATCTGGTCCAGACCATATTCTTCATGATCAGTCATGATGGGATCCACCCCAACAGGCGGGGTAGCCGAATGCTCTCTTACAACATCCAGTACATGATCCAATCCTCACCTGTCTGACAGTCTGCACTCAGCAGCCCATCTTTCCACACTCAGGCCAGTCCCCCTCCTCCCCACAATAACCTCTGGTCATCTCAAAACAGCCCCACAATCCCCGCTCATTCACCTGCCAACCACCAACCCCCCAACAAAACATTTTTATGCCATGATTTTATTTCACAGAACAGCCTGGACTTTTTTATTCTGACTGAAACTTGGCTGACTCCGGACAATTGTATTTCAGCATGACAGCGTGCGTCCATCCTCCAGCTGCTTTCCGGCAAAGATCAACCTCTCTTTATCAGGAGGGATACTCTCTTTGCGAGGGGGGTTGGCTGTCATATACAAGAAGGATTTCAAATGCATTCCCATCACCTTCAGCACTTTTAGTTCATTTGAGCACCTTGCTTTTATTGTTAAATTGAAAGATCTTGTTTTAATCATAATCATTTATCGACCACCCAAAAACAACGCTGTTTTTATTCAGGAGTTTTCAGAGTTTCTATCCCTTTTTATTTGTAAATATGACAAAATTCTTATTTTGGGTGATTTTAGAGTACATGTCTGCTGTCCCTCACAACCCTTAACTGTTGATTTTATTGAAACTCTGGACTCCTTTAATTTTACCCAGGTAATAAAGGAACCAACTCATGTAAAGGGACATTGCCTAGATTTGGTTTTATTTACACGACTTAGTCCTGGGAGTTTTTAACTAAGGATATCTATCCAGTTTTTAACACTGAAGAGTTTGTCTCTCTTTTTAACAGTATGTGTGGAACCATCCTGGACTCTGTAGCTCCTCTGAAAAAGAAAAGATCTAACAAAGAACCCCAACCCTGGCTCACAGAGTCCACTCATGAACTAAAAGTAATCCAAGAAGAAATGAACGCAAATGGAAGAAAACTGGGTTAGTGGTTTTCTGCCAAATTTGGAGGGACTCCATGAAAAACTACCAGAAGGCAGTTAAGGATGCAAGGGCAAAATTTTACTCAAATTTGAATTATTCAAACCCCAGAGTTTTATTTAAGGTTTTAGAGTCTCTTTCCAACCCTTCCCACTCTTATTTTACTGATGCTTCTCAAGACACCTGCGAGAAGTTTTTTAATTGAGTCACAAAAAGTTTCTGGTCATCCAGGTCCTTTAGTCTCTCCGTCATGCTTCAAGTGAAGTTGATCTATTGGTTTCTTCTGGGCTCTGGTCCTTACAAATTTTATCTGATATTTCAGCCAAAATGAAACCAGCTATGTGCAGTCTTGATTCTATACCCACCAGATTTCTCAAAGAGTTTTTTAACGTGGTTGGGCCCAGCATTTTATCCATCATTAATAGCTCTCTAGTTGAGGGAGTATTTCCCTCTGCTTTTAAACACGCTGTGGTCCAACCCCTTTTAAAGAAGCCAAACCTTGACCCCTCTGATTTTAACAATTTCAAAACTTCCATTTTTATCCAAACTTTTAGAGAAGGTGGTTTCTAAACAGCTTTTAGGTTTTATGTCTGAAAACAACCTCTTTAAGAGATTTCAGTCTGGTTTTTAGAGCAGGTCACAGCACTGAGACTGCCCTCCTCCATGTGACCAATGACATTCTTTTAGCAGCAGATGGAGAGGAGGGCTCAATTTTAATCCACTTTCAGAGCTATGGTGGACTTTAAATCAGCTGATCATGCTATTTTAATTGAACGTCTTAAAAACTGGGTGGGTATCAGAGACACTGCACTTGGCTGGTTTCAGTCGTATCTTTTAGAACGAACCTATATGGGTCTCTGGTAAGTCAAAGTGCCTGAATCTAGTGTTTGATGGTGTGCATAACAGCTTTTGTGTGTGCGTCCGTCTCTCTGCTCCATGTTGACACAAATCATAAACTCATAAGGCACAATACAATGTTGTGTTTATGCAAATATCAACAATTAGTTCATTTTTTAACTGAATCTTTATAAATGGAGTCATGAAAAAAGTCAAGAATGAACTTTGGTATATTGAATGTTTTTTCCCTTTTTTTCTATGGGTACAATATTGTGCTGTTTGGTGCAGTGGATGGTTCCCTAATGGCGGTAATGTGTTAAAGTTGTGTCCATATTTTTGTTCATAGTCTCATTACTTAGCCAAAAGTTTTGAATAAATGTAAAAGGTCATTTAACAACTAACAGACAAACTTAAAATCGTTTAATGAGATGTTCACTTTTTCAGGCTAGGGGTAAATAAATTCTGAATTTGTTTTCAGACAAATATGATGATTTTTCTTAGAACAATCAATTTTTCAGATTCATAAGTATATTAGTACGTCACAGCAAGAAAGATTTATCCAAAGCTCATTTGAAGTTTGTCACCATGTCAAATTACACATGCAGTACCTACCTGTTACCTCTTTTCCTGGCATAATGTCAGCACTGAGAGCTCTAAGGCCAGCCATTATGATCTGCTACCATACCTAAAAAGTTCAAGTTAAATTTCTCCTGCTTCATTGCAGATCTTGTACTTGGATGTTGCAACAAATAACAGAGCAGCAACTGCACTCTCATTCTTTTTGAGCTCAAGCCAGGTTCATGGCTGAGCTAGCCCAGAGAAGTCTGAAATGGGTCTATGGTAAGTCCAAGGGCCTGAATCTAGTGTTTGAGGTTTGATCACAACTACTTTAAAAGACTGCTATACCCTGCCTCTAAAGAAATATCAATCATGTTGTGTAAAAAAGAGCTGAGTATGGAAAAATATCTTTCAGCGGCTTAGCAGGAACCTGGTGTAAGAGACAAGTTGAGGATTTGGCTGATAAAACAGTTGAGTTGAGTTCAGGAAGGTCGATGGGTGAAAAATGAACAAAACAAAGGTACACATTAAGTACTACAACTGTTTCCATGATTTCATAATTGAGTAGGGCATCCAAACCCAGTGGGGCAAATGGATTACTAGTTTTGTCTTTAATATTCAGGATTTTATTAAAGAAGCTTGTAAAATCATCACAAATGAGGGCTACAGGGATACACGGCTCAACGGAGCCCTGACTGTCTGTTAGCCTGTTAATGCTGAAAAGGGATTATTTTAATTTTCTTCTTATGGAGGAGGAGTAGACTATCCTTGCATGCCATAGAACTTTCCTTTAATCAGAGACTAGTAATTGATTATCAACCATATTACCTTTTTTTCTTATTTCTCATCTCTTCAGACATCTAATCTCTCTTAATGTTTGCAATAATTGCAGTCTGAACAACTGTAGCATATCTTGGATGTAACTCAAATATGTAATATTGAGATTCAGTTGCCATGGTTTCCCACACACATGCAAGGAGGGATCATAGCAGGACCCGAAACTTTTGGGGACTGCTTTGCTTGTTAATCAAAATCCTTCTTCCCAGCGTTCAAAAGAGGTTTTACAGAACAAGGCAGACACTACAATGCAGACGCAGAGGAAAAGCTTTACGCTCTGGTTAAAAAGTGATCAGTGGAAGTTAATTAATCCTGGTTTATGCTTCTGCATCAGACCTGCGCTGCACCTCCTTAATGCTAGCCTGCAGTGCCATGTCTTTGTGACATATTTCCAGTTTCCAGTACCGTTATGTCCCTCCTCGTTTGTGTATGGGTAACCATGGCAACTGAATACCGGCTTATATGGCGTTAAGCCAGTTCGAGATGTCAGAAACGAGAGAAAATTACTACATAAACATTCCATTTACTCTTGGTTTTACAATTTTAAAAATCTATTACAGCTGAAAAAAAATGACAAACCATCCAAACATAGATTTTAACTGTTGTGTTGTTGAAGACAAACTTTTCTTGTGACTTCTATTAATTGATGAGAAAAAATAATTACACTCACAGAAGGTGATATTTTTGTGGAATTTTTTGTCGGCAAAGATGATTGTTGTGTGAATAAGTTTTTATAACATTGCACCCTTTCCTGGTGATGTTAATAATTATATTTGTTGCACCTTTTCTTGTGAATCACACTTTGCAGACGGCCCCTTTGCATGAGACACATAGCATTTGATATAATTATGTTTGGAAAGAAGAACTTTCCCTAACGACAATGTGGTGTTGATGAGTTATTGACCAGGGAATGCAGATTTGATGATTATCATCCCAACTTTACTGAAGTTACTGACTCAGGATAAAAGTGAAGGTGACAGACTGACAATTTTAAAAAGTGGTTCAAACATGTCTTATCTAAGTGCAACAGTTCTAACACCCATGGTGCAGAGTTTAAGTGTTAAGAATCACATTTGTAGATTCAACAACTGTTTCATGATCAACTTATCCACATTTTCCTTTATATATATTTCTGTTTTGAAGTTGCAGAAAATGTGCTGTAAAAGTATACCCACAACCAGCGTCACAGTTAGTCACTGCTGGCTCTGTTTCCTGCTGTTCCTCTTTCCAGATGCACCCTGAAGCCATGGGGTGCTATTAACTTTAAACAGACTATAAAAGCATGAATATACTCATTGAAAACACAAAGTATGAAAATAAAGAGTTCTTTAGATTTTCTTAAAGCAAATACTCTGAGTAAAACCACTCAGAACAGTGGTGTAGTGGGCATTTTGTTAGAGGTGGGGGCACAGTTTGTGATAGCATCAAAAGAGAATTCACTGAAGGTCCCTTCATCAAGGTGGAGGAATCAGGTGCAACTGCAAGCTTAGAGACTGAAAGGAGGTAACTTTCTGTAACCATGGTTACATGTCACACAAATAATAAGCATTTTACACAAATGACGATTTAGCAGACTCAGAAATCCCTCCACAGAATGAAAAACATTAACTCTTTCTTAATGGCATGATTTTTTTTTATTTAAAAATACATTTTATTTTTGATCAGATTTTTAAATTTGATAATCAAACACAACAAAATAAGAAAAACTGCAGTTTGATCAGACCCTGATTCAAGCATCTTTTAAATGTTTACATCTGTGGGATTGCTTTTTTTTATTTTTAAATCTTGATAAGGGCAGTTTCCCTCTGTGTGAACTCTAGTACGAATTCCAATTCACAGATGACTCCGCTAACAAACAAACTACCTTGTCAATGGGCCAGCCCTGAGCTGACTCACTGTTGGAGGGTCTATTGTTGTGTTCACACCGAGCACAAGTAAAATCATGGCGCAAGTAAAATCCTGGCGCAAGTGAATTACATGAAAGGCAGTGCAAAGATGCAATAAGATGCGCATTCTACTCGTGAATTCTGAGCGTGACTAGCTCAAATTTAGCAGATAATACTCGCCAATGATATGGATATGCCCACTACACTCCTCACTGAGACGTGTTCAAGTTCTGTGTTGTTTTTGTGAGCAAATGTCACCCGTCAAGATCTTCATGCTTTGGAACAATCAGTAGTTGGTTTCTGCTTGGACTTATTTCTAAGAATGTCCTACTGCTAGACGAGTCTCCTTCTGCTTTGGAACTGGAGTCTTGAGGGGTTTTCGACTCCACTGACACTGTTGTCTCTAGCTCTTGGATCAGCTGTTTAGAGCTCCCACAGGCTGAGGGGAGTGGATTTGTGAAATCCTGGGGAACAGGAGAATCAGTCCAACTGGATTGGGGCTGTAGAGGGTTGTCCTTAGATGAGGGACTTCCTGCTTGGTTAGATTGGTTGCAGCCCTGTCCATTATCTTCAGAATCCTTGCTGCCATCTGCTGATTCACTGCAAGTGTCACTGGAGCAGCTCCCTTTGTCGTCATGGTCTTCTTCATCCACTACCATTGTTGCTGCCTCCTCTAGCTCTTCAAGTTCCAGCTCCAAATCTTTTTTCTGCAGAGATGCCTTTTGTAACATTGTGGCCAAGGCTGTCATCTTCTTTGACCTGAAAAGTTTTAGAGTAAAAAAAGGCAAGTCAGAGAAGATGACAAAAAAAAAAAAAAAAAAAAGAAAATTCCTCATTTTATCTTGTGTATGACTACACCAGAGAAACAGCTCCAGCTTTACAGTTTTATCTGTAAGCTTTTACAGACTGTCATTTTTAGCTGGGGTATTTACACTTCTCTTACACGCTCTACAATGTGTGATGCACATAGGTTTAGTGGTAGAGCAAAGACGTTCCACCTCTGATCTCCTCTTGGAGGTAGCAGCCGAAGTGGTATGGCAGGAGTAGGTGGCGATGTGTAGGGTTGTAATTGAGCACGTGTGGCTAGCTAATTCATTTACTTAATCCAAATATCCCAATAAGTGTGAATTTTTATGACAAGAAAAACAAGAACATCATTACGGTCACGTCACCTGTTGAAGAAGTATCTGCGGGATGAAGGATGTGGATCTGTGAGAACTTACTTGACCCTCTGGATCCAGATGCAGTAGTCTGTGATGTACAGATCGTTCAGTATGTAGGCTGGGTCGTTCTCACTGAAGATTTTGTGAATATGCAGCAGGCATCTGAGGACACAGGCTTTTCCTATAGGCACACAAATGCACCATCACAGGCAAATGGAAAAACTGTGTTATTTGCACACAGCACAAAGTGTGACAATGTGATCCAGCTGCTGTAAAAAGCATCATATACGGTTGAAGGCTCACAGTTATTGTTTAAACAGCAATGCTGCAGGTTGAGCAGAAATTCGATGTATAAAATAAAAAGAGTTTCTGATAGAAAATCTTAAAGAAGACAGTTTATGATGACTCTGCTTTTTCTTAATCATGAAGACTGAACTCAAACAGTAAGTTGAAAAGCTTCCTGGCTCAAAACATGTGGAGGATTTTCTCACTTATTTTTCTCCTCAGAGAGTCTCCTGGTCCCTAACAGGATACATGAACAAACATTGTTGCTCTATTGTGAATATGTTGAATCAGCTGACAGACCCTGAACTATTTGAGTGGATTTCAATATATGACTTCTCGGGTGTAAACAGAGTATTTGTCACCGTTTTAAAGCCAGCCACCTTAAATAGGCTTGTTGTGGGTTTAAGTGTGTTAGCAAATGGAAATGGCCGCACAACCGGGCCACAAAGTGCTCTGGCTGAATCTTTCTTGGGTTTGCCTTTCACACACTAACACTAAACTTACATGAGTGAGTTTAAATCACTTCTTCCAAGACGTACTTCCTCTGTATGCTTTTGTCGAAGAAAGACTCTTCCTACAAGTCCTTAAAGACCCGGTGACAACTTGTAAACAGTGATGTAACAGGTGAAAGACGAGCTTTTATCTCTTTGTGGTGTATCGGATATGGCTCACTACAGAGGCAAGTGCAAACAGAATATACGACAAGTGTCAATTCAAATATATGTATATTTAAAGAAATTACACAATACAAGCAGCAGTACAAGCTGGACTAATCTTGGGGAAATGGAAAGTACATATTAGTGGGCCTTTCCTCTCCTCCCCTCAGCAGGGATCCTTTTGTACAACAGAACAACTGTTACAACAAATAATTTTATACTTTTTGCAAAAAAAGACTGTTAAAAATATGGACTAATAGTGAGTCAGATGAATGTTGCCTCTTTTGGTTTTGTCATACTGACGTTCAAACCCCATCTGCAGCAAAAAGATCACTTTTGAGATAATTTTACTTCTACCAAAACAATCAATAGTTAACAAAATAAAATAAGCATTTCTGCACACCAAGAGTTGGACAGTGTGAGCACACACACATATCCATTCATGTGTTTGTGGAGGTTTGATAACACGATTACCTCGCACTTTTGGATATCAGGTCTGTTCTTGCCTATTCCTCTAAATCCGACTCTAATTACACCACCTCCAGAGGCAGGGGAGTTGAATCGTTGTGGCTGATCACTTTTGCTAAACTTATGCCTCTATATGCTTTTTTCTCTCAGCTCTGCTTCTGTCCAGGTCTGATTATACTCAGGATTTCTAAGTACCTGTATGATTATGCGATCTGACTTTGAGCAGCTTCCATTCACAATATCAGTGTTGCTGTTGCTGCCATGGTGCTTTTGACAGGGTTCCAACACAGATGGAATTTCCATAGTTTTCCATACCCTGCCTTTTAGAATTATTTTTGGAAATACCTACTTTTCTATTTTAGACAACAGCATTTCGAACTGTGGTAATAGTCTGGAAACATAAATATGTTTCCATACTTTATTTTTCACTTTCCATACTTTTTCAGACCTGGAAACTGATCAAATTTATTTCCATACTTTCCATACTTGCGTAGTAACCCTGTTCTAAACAACTCACCTAGTTTCAAAATCTTCACTGTGTCACGAACAGCCGCAGAGACCATGGCAAAGTGCCGATAGAGTGGGTAACACAAAACCCTCCGTCCAAATGACACCAAGACTTCTTGCAAGTTGTTGAACGTCTGCAAAACAATAGACATGGGAATCATAAAATCTACCAAATTTACAGTAACATTAGAAACATTTGATTAAGCCACTCGGGCACTAAAATATGTTAAGTGTGCAAAAAAAGAGCTTGCACAAAAAAAGGGGGGTATATTATAGATGGGTGAAAGCGCCTCTGCAAATAGAGGGACTAGTCTGTCAGAGCAGACAAATGATTAAGTCCATGTGCTTCATTAAGGCTGTTAAGGCATTACTTTTCTTCTGTCTCCTTCCTGAACCACCACAAGTCATCAGCGTACAAAATATCATTTATGGACAGGCCAGTGCTTTGCTAGTGCGAATACAAACAATATATGAACTGAGAAACAGTTCCAAATTTACTAACCTATAATTTGTTATTCTCGTCTTTATTCCCATGAATGCTCCGGCACATTCACTATGATGTCAAATTACAGAAAATACGCTTTAAATTTGTGATCATGAATATTTTGCGACCTGTTGTCGTTCTTTTGAGCGCCTGAACAGACTCACCTCCAGCCAGCAGAGTGTCCCGCTGAGTTTCCTGATGGTCCAGTGTGATTCCACCTGCAGTGAACAGGGGAACCACTTGTTATCACGAAAACAACCACAGAGAAAAAACGAAGGAGCAACTACTCTGATTGAAACACAACTTTGGAAAGTAAATGTTCAAACTTTTATCAAGTTAAACTAAACTTTTACAAAGGATCTTGTTATAGACTCTCTTCATACTGTCCCATACATGAATTAGAAAGTTTGCAAATAATGTCAAAGTTTAGTTTTCACAGTGAGGCTTGAATTTGATAAACTGCTTCCTCAAAAATCTCCCTGAGCCTTCATGACTTTGCCCCGTTCGTGTATTCAAGAGAAGAAACACCACAAGGCTTGGACTGAGCTCCTGGATCTGCTGGGGACACCCTAAGGAGTCTCAAGGATTTGAGGATACAGGATTTAGTCATCTATTGCTAAATGCTGCTCTACAGTAACACACACTCACTTACATTGTGCTCTCCTTCTGTAGAACGGACATCGTAGGAATAAGCCAGCAGGATGTCGACAAGGCTGAGCCACACTTGGCATGAAGCAGCTTTGTCTAACAGGTAGGAGCGATTGTTGAATTTTCTCAGCTGCTCCTTCTCGTTTTCAGTGAAGGATATGGCTGCAAGAAAACAAGGATTAGAGCAGTTTGTGTTATATTATAAATCACATGTAGATCATTCAAAGATACTGACGATTAATTACCCTTGATTTGACACGACAAAAGCCATAAACTGAACTTTTAAGGCTGGTTGGATCATGAGAGCACCTCAAATTTAATGTTTACGAAGCACAAATATTTAGTACGGCAATGACAGGAACCCTCAGACTGATATTTTATGTATTCTATTATGATTTTTAGGTGCTTTGTATATTTATCTTGCAATTGGATCAGTACAGAATATGAGCCCTTCTAGTGTCAATAAGCAGTTTGACTTAAATTAATAAATCTTTGTTTTAATTTAGTTTCTGTGGCGTTTTATTTTTATTATGTTTTTCTTGAAACCCCTAAAATATAATTTTTAATCTCAGCGCACAGAGTCAGAAAAGTCTGCTTCAACAACAGTTTTTACTTTTGGGTAATTTCAGGATGTTTTATGACTTTGACTCACAGTTTTCGTCCTCCTGATCCACAGAAGGACTCGTCTTTGCCCACCATGGCTTGTACTTCAGCAGCCTCTTTATCTCATCGTCTTCAAACAAATCAGCGCTGCAATGACATACAGACTTAAGTGGACCGCAGACAGCACAGTGGGAAGTAAAGCAATGTGATCAGAGATTTGGACTCACAGGTAATGGTCAGGAGAAAAAGCACACGCCTCTGCATGCAGCCGCCTCTGCCTCCGCTCCACTGCTGAAGTTTCCTCAGGATTCTTGATATCAATGACGTTGCCCAATTCCTCCTGTCGAGAAAAATCGGTCAGTTTTGCAGTGATGTTTAACATCAAACTGAATCTTTAAAAACAGACAAGAACCATTGTCTTTAATCCTACCTGTAATCTTGCCATCACTCCAGACCGCTGATTTCCAAAGCCGTATTTCTGCTTTTCCTCAGAGCTCTCCTTGTATATCTCCTGTTTAAAATACCACTCAAATTCTTCATCCTCGTCGTTTTCGGCACTTTCACTGCAATCTTTCAGAAATTGAGAAAGTCTGGTTAGACAGTGAATAAGGTTTAAATAACTCTGTGTAATTCCATCCATGCAGGGCTTCACAGTAACACTGTGACTGTCACTGCACACACACACACACACACACACACACACAGTAGCTCGAGCTCTGTGATTTGGGTCCAATACATGGTTAAACAACACTTTTTTACCTCCGCCAAGGAGGTTATGTTTTCGGTAGCGTTTGTTTGTTTGTTTGTTTGTCTGTGAACAACTTTACGGAGAAAGTTACAGACGGATTGACCTGAAATTTTCACCAGAGGTGCGTCTCAGCCCCAGGAGGATCCTATTAAATTTTGGTGGTGATCCGGATCGTCTTCTGGATCCAGGAATTTTTTGAAGGATTCTTTATCATTGTGAGATAGGGCAAATTTTGGAATTTTTGCATTTAACTCAATAAAAATGGCCAGAGTCTTTAGTAAAAAACACAAAAGGATCTCAATGAGTTTTATGAGGTATCAAAGGTTGATCCTGATCCAGACAAAATTCTGGATACTGTGATCCAGAACACACAAAAATAAGGGTGTCGTTGGAATTTTCAATCCTGAAAGATAACCAATGGGCGGCACAGTGGTGTAGTGGTTAGCACTGTCGCCTCACAACCAGAGGGTCCTGAGTTTGAAGGCATTTCCTGTTTTAGGAACATTATGAACAGTGAACATACCAGTTTAAACACAAATGAAAGTTAATAAAGACATGTAACAGTAAAAGTTTTGGTGTGAATCACAATATAAGGGGGGACACGAGCTGCTTGGTGGAGGTCTGAGCTCTCCGAGTGCTTTTCTAGTTTTTACATGTGGTGGCAGACAGACTCACAATCACACACTTCTTACTGAGGATATGTTTTGGAAATTTTAATAACTGTACAATCTGAGAAAGCACAATCTTCAAAACTCGAGTTTAAGATTGATTGTTCCAAATTAATTTAATTTAAGACAGTGGCAATTCAAAATTTACACGGTTAAAAGCGAACAATTTTTAAAGCTCCTATGAGGAACTTTTGATTTGTGGGATTTTGGACACGAAATATCCACAATGCACTTTAGACATTTGCCTTTTCTGATATAATCCCCAGGTCTGGTTCTAAGCTGATAAGTGAAGTTATTAACTGAAGCGTATGAGTCGACCAGCACTATAAGCAATGTATATGTCTCCCTCTCCGCCTCAGTATTTATTTATGGCAATGATATATTTTTACTTTATCTTATCCTTTGTTATCGATAAAATTATTTCAAAATACTTTGGGTTTTTTTTATAACACAAGTTTAACATAATTGAGCAAGAGAAAGAGGAACACACACACACACAGTGCGAGACAAGGACGAGGTAAAGAGAATCTTGAACATAAACTGAAGTTTTTTTCCCATCAATAAAAAGACAAAAAGAGAAGACAAGACTACCAAACAATTGCAACAACCAGTTCTTTAAACGGCTTACAATAACTGTCTGTTGCTGCCACAGGACTTTGCCTGATCAACAGAGAAAGACTACTGTAAGTCAGCTGAACTACCACCTGTCAAAACTCAGACAAGAGGGGGGGTGACACTGTCGACCTCCAGTGATATGAACACGTCAGTCCTGAAGAAACCAGCTTCTTTGTCCCCGAGTTTTACTTTCAGACAGTTTTATTAAGACCACTAACAACAGTGGTTTTTTTTTAGTACTTAGAGCTCTGTCTCACACTAATTTTGTTCATTGTCAACGGTCAGCCGACAGAAGACTCTGAGGATCGTTTCACCTTCAGTTTAGCTCTTGGCAGCAGCATGGCGGACCACCACCAAAACAGACGTTGAGTTGAGTTTGCCAGAGCAGAGAGCAAGTGCATCTGTAGACCTTCATCTCAAATATTCAATTGTTTGTTTTCTGTCCAAAGTACTACCATTGAATAAGAATGGAGTCAACTGTGCTGTAGACTAGATCAATGAAATCACCTGATAAATCAAAAAATGTAAAACCAAAAACAAAACAAAATTGGTAACAATGACACTCGAAAACACTGTCATCGTTGATTGAAAAATAAGAGAAAATAGAACAACCAGCAGTCACTCTGTGAAACAAGAGGAGTCTTTGGAGTCTAGTCTGTTCCGGTAGCCTTCAAAGCATTTTTAAGTTTTATTGGATCAAATTACAACAAACATGTATTAACCTCAACATAAGGAAGCTTCAAACTGGCTGTGGAAGATGCAAGACAAAATGCGAGACAAAGGAGGACAGACTGCTCTCAGTGTCACTTATCTAAATGATTCAACTTACCAGCACTTAGGACCTCTACCAGTGGATTAGCTGAACGAGCACCCTTAGGGGCAAGGAGACTTGTAAGCATCTGAAGTCCTTCAAAGTTTTCCCCTGGTGTTTCTTTGGGTAACTGAACAGTGAAGAGACCTGGAAGAGGACAGGACATGTTGTTTTTCTACTATTACACATCTGCTTTATGACAATATCTGTTCATCAATGACAGCCACACAATAAAGCCTGATATTCATATACTCAAATATAAATTCTCTTCTCAGACTAACAGATATGAAATTCCACAACGGGGATTTACTGAATTTTCAATGAGGAAAAGAAAAATAAGAAAAATCCCAGATGATCACAATCAGACATTACAATTTAAGCACAAGTATGTCTGAAGAACATCAGGCTGGTAGCCTTTCATGCAGGCACTTGTCCACACTTCTTTAAATATGCTGTTAAAACAAACAGGCAATTAATGATTGATCAATAAAACAAACTCAGCCAAAAGAAAAAATACCTTATCTCATTTGTGGACCACAAAAACTACTTAGTAAACCAGAAGCTTATCCCTTAATCTAACCACTCAAGACTCCACTCATCACTTCCAGATCTTGTGTTGCCCAAATATTGACTCCACAGGTAATTAAAACATATATTTAATTAGAGTTAATACTTTATTTACATTGCTGCTGAGGGGTAACAGTTTTGGGAGATTGTGGCTCCGTAAAATATCACAATAGTTGGTGAGTTTAAAGATATACTTTGGAGAGCATGTTGATATATGAGTCTACATAGCAGATATGACGGTCATCCGGCTTCACAATAATTTCTTTATTTGATCAACATATTACTGTTCTTCACCTTTGTCGATGTCAAATGTTGCTCTCTCTCTCCCGTCGGTCACTATACTTCCAGGAAGAGATAATCTGAAAATACAAATTCATTAAAAAGACATACATAGATAAACACATGCATACATACAGACAGGCAATCACAACAGGCCTGTGATGTCGTTATCTATATTATTGGTTAAATTTCCATCTTCATAGAAGCAACATTTCCTCTCAATCTAAGTTTGAAATTTAAAACTAAATAGATACCCCATAAATTTGATTTTAGTGAGTTTTCTGTTAATTCATACAGAAACTGAACTTTTAAAAAAAGGTGCTGCGTAACTCACCTGAGAAAATAAGGCTTGGCGTAGAACTTAAAATCTGATCCATCAGCATGAAGATCAAACTCAGACGTTCTGGTGTAAGGCACTCGGATGTTGATGATCAGATACTCAGGGTTTTGACTCAGGTCAAACGCAGGAGTTATCATTTTGAATAGAGATGTAATAGGAATGCCTGTAATGAGAATAACAGGAAGAAACTTGTCACAATGTTGTCAGCTTGAGTAATGAAGTTACTGACAGCGAATGACGAGGAACTGATCCAGCCTCTCTCATGAAGAACATGCTGACAGCTTGTGAAAAACATGTTCACACTGGAGGAATAGCTACTCCCATCCATCCTCTATTGCTCAGGACTTCCTTTTTCCAAATATTGTTCAGTCTGGGTATTAAAAAGGTTTACCTGAAGAAAACATGTGACTCATAAATAATGTGTTTTATTTGATTTCAGAAGTCAGAAATTCTAAGATACTTCACCCCTTACCTACACAGAAACACCTTTTTTTCCCTTTATTTTAAATGATACAATCAAAACAGAAAAAATGTAAATAAATTAAAAAGATTTTTTTTAAAACGCACAACATCACTAACCCCGAACTCAAAGTCTAAGATGGTCAAACAGCCGTACTTCTTAAGCCATTTGCTAGGACCTAATTTTAGTTTTGTACTGGGTATCTTTTTAATTAGTCAAACTTTGTTTTCACACTTTGGTCAAGCTTGTCATTCCTCGTTTTTCTCTAGTCAGCTTAGCCGTTCTTAAACTTCAAGTGCCCATATCAGTCAATCAATCAATCAACTTTATTTCTATAGCACATTTAAAAGAACCACGAGGGTAGCCAAAGTGCTGTACATTGCGACATAAAAACAAATAAAACAATCAAAGAACAATATAGAGTGAGCAAAAATATATAAATGCAATAAATAAATAAATAAATAAGCAGGCTCAAGTCAAGTGCTAAGATGACAACAAACAAGATAACACTAAAATGTATTAAAAGCTAAGGAATAAATGTGCGTTTATATATTGTATAGAATATGTTCTGACTCTGGAGCAAGTAGAAGTATGAAGAGCCCCTAATGTCCTTGGACAGGCGTGCTGGACACCCAGCTCACTGCGCTCCCACCCTCCTCTTTACCTTCAAAGTTTAATAGTTTATTTTTGCTATCTAAGTAGTTTTGCTCTGTAAGATGCCTCCGTAACGCTTAAAAAACAAGGCATGGACACAGAGCTGTTAAAGATACAAGTGGAAAAAAAACGTCAAACATCAAATGCTAAACATGCATGATTTGACAAGTCTACCTGTGGGGAAAAGTTTTAACAGTTTGTGTCCTGGGTGTAAAGGGTTTGCAGTGATGCAGCCTGACTCTGGACAGCTATAAGTCCTGAGTGGAGGGCAAGTTGGCCCTCATGACTTTCTCTGCAGCCCTGATCATACGTTGTAGTCTGTTCCTGTCCTGAATGGTGGTGGACCCGAACCAAACACTGATAGATGTGCAGAGAACAGAGTGGATGATGATGGTATAGGAATGGTTCAGCAGCTCCTGAGGTAGGCTGAACTTCTTAAATGCCATAGGAGGTACTACTTCCCGGTCCCCGGTCTCCTCACTGACCTGACACAGCTTCCACAGCTTTTGTAAGAACCTGAGTTTGTTGCTGTATCTGGAGATCTTGGTCTTCACACACGTGTCCTCACCAAAGCTGTTGTCTACTGTTAAAAACCTCTACATGAGCATGCTACTTCTCATTATAGCTAACGTGTAGGCCTTCATTATCGCTCATTGAGTTTTGATGTCTGCTGTTAAACTAAGTGGACAGATTTTAAAGGAAAAGTTTGTTGCTATTAGCATGACGCTCGTTGGTCTCCTCGTGCTCGGCTAACATAGCAACCAACAGTCAATGTGAACCGATGACAACCAACACACCTTATTATTAAGAGTGCTGGGGCAAAACCGAGTGTAAGTCACATCTGAGACAGCAAAAATAACAAAACAGGTACATGAATAACATGAGAAACACACTCACGAGGAAAGTTCTTCTTCTTCTTCTATTTCTTCTTCTTCTTCTTCAATGGCGTTTATTAGCGATTGGCAAACCTACTTGAAGGTGCATTACCGCCACCTACTGGACTGGAGTGTGGGACAATAAATTGGCGGACAAAAAAAAAAAAAAAAAACAGTATTCTTGCCACACTTTCTCCATATGTTTCTTGATTATTGATTTACCCTCTGCCTTACATAACAGAATTTCTGTATCTACAGTGTGCAATTTGAGTGTTTGGCCAGAACATCAACTCCTTCATTCCTTTCTATCCCTACATGGACAGGAACCCAAATGAAGCAAACTTTCAAACCCCTCTTGTACATTCTGTGAAGTGGATTATGTATTTTATATACCAGTTCTTGCCTACATGACTTCATGGTTTTGTAAGAGCTGCCCAACTGTCTGATGTTATTAGTGTATTGTCATGACTGTTTCCTTCTATCCACTCCAAACTTCTTCTTCTTCTTCTTCTTCTTCTTCTATTTCTTCTTCCTCTTCTCCTTATCCTCCTTCTTCTTCTTCGGATGCTTTTTGGCAGTTTGCAAAAAATGTACCTCAACCTACTGATATGGAGTATGGAGCAATATACCGTCCAACTATTAACTACTGTATAATAATAATAATAATAATAATAATAACAGTTCCACTGGCATTTCCCCCATATCTATCCGAACAGCTGCTGCAGGAGTTGTTTTAATAGCACCTGAACTCAGTCCTACAGCCTGATATTGAATACCATCTAACATTTTGAGAAATGAATCTACAGCAGAACAAAAAAACACATTTTCTACTCAACATAATAATCCTATGTCAATAGACCTCTAAGCTATTCTTTCTGCAACCCACACACTTCCCACCAGACATCAAGATATTTATGACATTATTGTTCACTTGTCCAAACTTCTGCAACTGTTGTCTGTATTTCCTACACAAAATATGAAGGTGTTCCACTTTTGCTCCTTCATTGCAGTCGTTACATACTCCAGACAGTTGAACGGAGGTGAGATTGATGCTGGTAGCTGAAGCAGATGGCAAGCAGGTCCACGTCAGCAAAACCTCTACAGCAGCAAACTAGTGAAACTCATGGTATGATGGAGCTCAGGGACTCCCAGAAAAGACTTTGGTTAGTGACTCTAAAGGGACGTGATGATTCAAGGTTGATGATACAGCCTGGAAGAGGTTGGAAAAGGAGAAAAAGGTGCTCAATGTGTCAGTCAGTCTAAACCTATAGCAGCATAATGAAGAGCTGGTCCAGGCCTAAACCAGCTTGAACTATGAGCTTTATCAAAGGGAGTAGCTTTAAACTTACTCTTGAAGGTAGAGAGGGTGTGGGCCCCCTTGACTGGTAGATAATGCCAGAGGAGAGTGGTCTGATAACTGAAAGCTCTACCACCCAGACCACTTTTCAAGACTTTTGGTACATGAGCAGGCCTGCATATTGGGACTGCAATGTTAGTGACACCAGGGACATGCTCCCGTCCCCCAATACCAAGTGATGACTTTATTTTTCAGAAATTGCCCATCAGTTTCCAGTCAGTATATTTGGTACACAAACAGTTAACAGAGTTTGACCTCCTTAAGTCCTGCCTCCCTGATCCAGTTTCACCATTAGGATTGGCTGTGTCTTTTTAGAGTGTGTCTGAATAGAGTTCCACAAAATGCTCCATAATGTTGATGTTCAGTTCAAGGACTAATTTAGTCAAACTCCACTGACTGGAGGAGTGAATGACTTTGTGGACCAGTATCCGGAATTGAACAGGGGAAGTACAAGTCCAACAATCCATGTTTTGGTCCAGAAACACTTTAAAATGTAGTACTAAAGTGGATGAACTCATAAGAGGAATTGCAGTTGAAGATTAATGTGCACTTTGTATGATAAATAGGCTCAAAGTACAGAATATAGACTGCTTTATAATTGCCTCATGTGGACTCCAATATCAACCATATCATATGGGTATGATGTTGTTTGTCAAGACAGTCTTGAGAGACTTTTACAAGCATTTGTGTGACTGTAGATTTATGTTTCAGAGGTTTGTCTCTCCCACTGGAGTCACAGCAGGCCAGGTGGAGTGCAGCAAGTGCTGGTAGAGTGGGGGATGGTAGGCAGAGGCATTAAAGAGGCTCAGGGACAGGTGTGTCACCCTTTTGTTACAGAGAGTGTTTGGTGGCATCACTTCAGGAGACCTCAGAGACGCCAATGGTGTGAAAATCTTAATTTATATCAAATTAACAGATAAAATAACTTAAATTTAGTGATTGAGAGGTTTGAGTTTATTGATAATCTAAGCAATGTGCACTTAAAATATAATGGTAAAACTAATATAGTTGTTTCTTTTGTTGCTTAAATTTATGTGAGCCGTCACAAAGTGATAGGTTTGATTTAAATCGTCCATTACATTTAATATTAAGTGTGAGTTAAAATGAATTCTAATAAACATTTAGCATGATTTAAAATAATTAAAAACTGTTAAAAAGCCAAATTGATTTTGAAATGAATTGGAATGATTTAGAACATTTAAATAATTGATAGTTTACCCATGCATTTGACTTGTTTAATTCTTAAATTGAATAACTCTTTTTGAAATTAGTACTGATGAGTTAATTATTTGTGCCTACTTAATGACAGCCTAATTTCATTCACTTCCTTTGAGGTTATCAACCTGCTCCTGCTACTGGTTACCAGCTACAACAAAAGGAAATCAAAGCAAGCTGAGTCGTCTACAGTGTCCTCTGTTGATCCCCAGGCCTTGAGCGAGTTGGTGCAGGCAATGATGCTGGAAAAAGGGGAATTTAACTCAACATTTTTGGCTTGCATAAAAACTGTGTAGATTGACATAAAATTGTGTAAGCTGTATTATTATGAATGCCAAAATCTGGAAGGTAGACATTGTTTTCAACCCCAAATAGGCCTACCACTTCTGTCAAACAGCTAAATCCCCTCGTCTTTCTTTCGACATTTGGCTTTAAAAAAATACAAGCAACCAAAGTAAGGGGTTGCTCATATGCTGACCATGAGCTTTATTGTGACACAAAGTTGTGGTTAGATGTTAAAAAGTTTTATGTTGTCACATGATAAGGTTTACATAATCAAAACTGTTTAGATTTACATGAAATTGTGTAAGCTGTCTTATAATAAGTGCAAAAATCTGAACTTTTATGTCCCCACCAATGTTATAATCCAACCTGTGCCCCAGGTAAGCATTATTTTCAACCCCAAACACCACTTCTGTCAAACTTCTGTCAAACAGTTAAATCCCCCTGTCTTTCTTTTGACATCCGGCTATCTCTTACTGAATAAAAAAAATACAAACAACCAAAGTACGGGCTGCTCATATGCTGACCATGAGCCTTGTTGTGACACAAAGTTGTGGTTAGCTGTAAAAAGTTTTATGGGGTCACATTAGTAAAAGAAATGTGGTTTGCGCTGTGGTGATAAGGACCTGAAATAATCTTTTCATGACACGATTTCTGCATATTTGTCTTCAACACATGGCTTTTCCTAACTTTGACTTTATTCCTCTTGTAAAACACATGTGCGCGGGGTAACTCGCGATTTACGGTAATAAGGGATAAACCCCGCCTCAGTGTTCATGGTTTATGAAAGACTCCTCTCCACACAGTCTTCCTCTCTAGTCTCTTACATTTCCAGATAGTTGCGCACAGGGAGCAGTCCCCAAAACATCACCCCGGGTTGTTTCCTCTCAGTCACCGTCATGAGTTCAACCCTGTCCATGTCTTCCGTCGTGAAGTCACTCCCAGCATGCGAATCCATGGGAAAATAGTGGTGACCGCCGCGTGTTTTGGAGTTTTCCTCCTTTTTTACTTTTTGAGGGGTAGTTACACTGCGGAGGACCCGCTGTCGAAAGTAGCTGTGGAGGAGGGGGTGGAGGAGGACAACAAGTCTTTCCCATCGCCATCCGAGCTTACACGCAATGTTGCAGCAAAGTTTGCAAAGAAGGGGTCCGCTGGAGTCGATGGTGGTTTGGAAAAGCCTCCCCGGGTCCGAGCAAAGTCGAAATCTATCGCTAAAGGAGGCAGAAATGAGAGGTGAGTCAGTGGTGATCCATGGTTCGGAGTTCCCGTCTCGTCCACGCCTGTTTTCATTTATGCACACACTGATAGTCGACTCAGTTCGCTTCTTGGTCCTGCTGACATGCAAGCTCTTTCGTCCTCAGAGAGCTTCAGGTTTATTGTGTTTGTGTTTAACTGTGATTTTAAAGTAAACTCGCTTTCTTCATTCTGTATGGGTACAAAAGCCTATTCTGTTAAGAACTGCGCTAAACTCACATCTGTTTCACTTCCACGATTGTCTCTTCTTTCTGGACTCTCAATCTCGCTGTGTTAATTCCTTCCAACACCCCTCATCTAAAGGTGTGAAGTTCCCTTTGACATAAACAAATAACACTAGATAGCTACACTGTAAAAACTGTGGGGTTAAAACGACCCAGTTAGGGTTATTATGGTAACCCACTGCCGGGACCCAGTAGGGTTGGACTGTAGGTCTGACTCAGCAAGTTAGGTTATGTTTATGGCCCAAGAGGGGGGTAAAAATGACCACGTTGCAGGGTTAAAACTACCAGACACTGGGTTGAAAAAATACGACGCAAATTCTGTCTTATCAGTGTCAGTACCACTTAAATTCATTAAATAATTCAAACCATGCATAGCAAAAAGTACATTGTGAAATAAATAAGTTAATAATGGCCTAATCCAACATGAAATGCAAATAAGAAGTATGTGGAAATACAATTACAAAATGTAATTAGCGCTTTACACCTTCAGATGTAAACCATCAAAATAGTAAACCCTCTTTAATTACCTTAGCCAACATCATGATGACCATAGACTGTATACGGGCTGCAGTAGAGGTCATAAATCCAGCCTCCTTCAGCAAAGCTTATAGAGCTGTGGACAAACTTTAGAAATTAATTACACAGAATATAATTTTTTTCCCCCCTGCTTGCGATGTTGACATGTAGTTACTGTAGGACTGGTTTTTGCTCAAGTCTTCTTTTTTCTGTACAGCTCCATTTTTAAAAGTTATTAGAGGGTTCATGTTTTCTATGATTGACATTTGATACAGCCCATGGGTGTATGAAGATTGCATAGCTCACCCAGGGGATACGCTGTTTGAGCCGAGCGTAATCACAGCGACTCTCGGCGACTCTCCCACCGAAGGCGCACAATGCTACTGCACAATGTTGGCTTCAGGAAATGGAGAGAAAATGCAGAATTACTGAGAGCTTTTCGGCTTCAAATCCATATACAGGTGGAAGGTGGAACCAAGTTGTCCATACAGTCTATGATGATGACTTGAACCATTTATTTGGCGGATAACCCACCTCAAAATCCTGCCTACATAGGTCTTACCGTGGGCCTTTGCCATATTTACTCTCCTCATTATAGTTTGCTGAGCTCTCATTAACTTTATGACATTAGATTGATTTCCAAGGATGTCAGAGATAATAGTCCAAAATTCCAAATGACCTCCCACACCTAGACACAGAGTTTTGGGTAAATGGAAGCAAACAAAAATACCTCGAAACACACGTCAACTTCACTCAAAAAGAAGAAGGGGAATGGTGCTTTATGACAGTCCCATTTATGATTATGAATGCTCAGAAACACTGTTCCAACCATAGACTGTATATAAGATGGACAACCTGGTTCCGCCTTACACCTGTATACAGATTTGAAGCCAAAAAGCTCTCGGTGATTTTGGGTTTTTCTCCACTTCCTCGAAACCAGAGCTGCGCAGTAGCGATGCACGCATTCGGCCGCGCAGTCGCCGATAGTCCCTGTGATGACGCTCGGCTCAAACAGCGTATCCCCCCGGGAGAGCTACACAATCCCTGAACGCCCATAGGCTGTACCAGGTGTCAATCATAGAAAACATGAACCCCCTATTAACTTTTAAAAACTGAGCTGTACAGAAAAAAGAGGACTTGGGCACAAACCAGTCTTACTGTAACTACATGTCAACATCACAAGCAGGGGGAAGAAAAATTTCTGTTCTGTGTAATAAATTTCTAAAGTTTGTCCACAGTCCCATAAGCTTTGCTGGCGGAGGAGGGATTTATGACCTGTACTGCAGCCCACCATCAGAGGGTGCTGTTCTCGGAGTGGCTTCACCCAGTGAGGAGGCAGACTCTGTCCATCTTATATACAGTCTATGGTTCCAACTCTTCAAACATCTGAATGAAGGAGGACTCTATGCGCCTTGGTCCATTGTAAACCATGTTCACTTCAAACTGAAAAAAATCAAAAAGATATCACAGAATACCTTCAAGTTGCCACAACAGTCAAGATTAAACTCCAGTGAGCAACAACATTGTGAGCAGGGAATCAGAAGTTTTTGTGAATTCAGATACTGACCCAGAAAGAAAATAACTGACTGTGACAGTATGTCTAAAACCCTGGGACGACATAAAGCATCTACTTTCTTTAAACTCCTTTAGCTAATTGTCAACAGTTGGATGCAGTTATGTAGAAAGTGTTCACACGCCTGTTAAAATGCCAGGTTTCTGTGACGTAAAAAAATGTCAGAACCTTTTCCACCTAAGTGTACTCTCCCTCTTATAACTTGGGATGTGGCTGTGTTCAGATTTAACAAATCACACTCAAACTCACGTTAAATAGGAGGTGGTATACAAACGCCATTACTTAGAGTGCTTCTGATTAACCCGAAATGAAGTTCAGCTGTTCTAGTGGGCTTTACCTTACATTTTCTTAGTCCCATTTTACAGCAAAAGCCATGAGGAGAGCTTCCAAAGCATCAGAGGGATCTCAGTGTTCGAAGGTATCAATCAGGAAAAGGGTATGAAAGAATTTCCAAGGCAAGATCAACCGTGGAGCGCATTGAAGGCAGTTGTCAAGTGGATAAAAATATGGTGCAATAGTGACATTACCAAGAACTGGACGTTCCTCCAAAACTGATGAAAAGACAAGAAGAAAAACTAGTCAGAGAGGCAGCCAAGAGGCTGACAGCAACATTAACGGAGCTGCAGGAATTTCTGGCAAGGGGTGGCTGTGTAGTACATGTGAAGACAATTTTCCATATTCTTCATTCTGTACATCCAGATCAGCAAAAGAATGGCTTCATTAGAAGGAGGTAAGAGTTTTAAAATGGCCCAGCCAGAGCCCAGACCTGAATCTGATTGAAGATCTGTGGGGTGATCTGAAAAGGTCTGTGCTCAATCTGACAGATTTGTCACATTTTTGTAGAGAAGAGTTGGAAAATATTGCCAAGTTAAGATGTACCATGTGGTTATTTTAAGGGTGTGCAATTTTTTTTAGCCTCATACATTTAAAAAAAAATATTTACAATGTGATGATGGATCAAAACGTTATTTAAATTCAAACTGTAATGTGAAATTAACTTTTAAATCCAGTCGATTAATCAAACAATGCATTAAGCAGTGTGGATGTTTTCTCTCGACAATACTGTGAACATTTTACTGTAGCTTGATTAATTTATGTTATATTATCAGAACTTACTTTACACTCACACTCTTAAAAGAGGCTCCAGAAGCTCTTGGGGACAGCAGTTTCACGGGATAGACCTCTCCATGCTATTTCCTCTGTATGTCTACTTCCTTTTATCTTTCTTGTGATTCCCTCTGATGCTAACATGGGAAGAGGTTGTGGGAGTCATTCGATATCTAATCGATCGATATCTCTGCCAGACAGCGAAAAAACTGACCTGCATGTATTTGTCTAAGTCTGCGGGGTAAGGTCAGCCGGCAAGTCCACCAGCTATGCTTGGCGATATTATAGTCTTTTTTGAATACTTTGGAGTGTTCTTGAAATCTGATACATTCATGGCCTGTACTTGCCACTTCAGAGTTTCATGAAAAGCACATTTCAGTATATCTGTGGCTTTTTTTGTAAGAAAGTCATTTTTTATATTTAAGGATCTTTTCCCTGAGGAAATAGTCGACTTGCTTCCTCGACCAGCAGTCAGACGCACAGTGCCTGCGGCGCAAGATATTCTTGGTGTCCTGGCTAGCACGAATGTCCTCCAAGTCATCTACTCCACAGTTAGATCCTGCAACAATAACAGTGGAAGAAAACTGTAAGGGTATCCTTGGGTGGTTCCTCTGTTCTTTTTCATTTTGGTAATTTTTGATCAATCCAGTTAATCAATGACATAATGTTGGGTTCTCTGAGACTGAAAGGCCGTCATTGGAGAATGCTTTTGTGCAGGATTAATCTGCACCTACCTTGACTCTTGTTGGCTAGTTAAACCCCTGATAATCCAATGGCACCAATTTGACCTGTCACATAAATGCTGCTCAGTGGAACCCACCCACGCTGGGCTCCAGTGACCTACCGGTACTCGATAAGATGTTAAGGTTGACAGGCTGACCTAACAGGTTGACAAAAATATCCAGAAATACCCAGTTCTGGTGAGTTCCAGCCCATTTCTAGCACAGGTTTGACCCACTTGATTTTTTAAAAACTTTGCAGCTATAAGAAACCTGCACGATTCAATTTCTTTGACCCCCCCCAAAGGATGTGGTGGTGTGCCCTTAAAGTTCCCTGTTAGGCCATTAGATAGGAAGTGTTTCCTTCTTAGCCATTCATGCTTTAATCCGTCTCTAATTCACCAGGAATACTCACTGCGTATCGTAAGGGTCAAGACCTACTGTAATTAGGTTCATGTGGTAATATGTAACCTGAGTTGTAGCGCCTCCAGGTGGCACAACACAATTCTATGCTGTCACTTCATGAGCTGAATCTTGTAAACTGTCGATTACATCTGCATTACTTTTTTTTCCTCCAGGTGTTTTCAAAATGTTGATCTAAGAACTATCAGCAAAACTGAGTTTTAGTCAGAAGGTGTGATCTGCAAGGCCGTTATAAAAGAAAGTATCTATAGCTTGTGCGCAAAACTCACTACGAATACTTGTAGGGGTATCACTGTCTGAAAACATCCTTTTATTATTAACTCAAATTAAGTTTCTGTTAGGTTTGAATCACTGCAGCATCTAATCAGTGGATGATATCCAGTATGGGGGTGAGGTCTTGAGTTACAATCTCCAAGAAGGCTGATGTCATGTGTCCTCACATGTTGCTTCATGTGTTTTCCTTCTCTATTTTGAATCTTCACCTTCTAGGCAGTATTAGGTCCTTGGGGTGTTTATTTCACCTTACTGTAGTAACCTATTGGAAAGCCAAATGCCATAGTTCTTGAACTTTCATCCTCAGTCTTATGAAGTAATAATAATAACTTTGATGGACTTCATCTGACATACTCAGGGGACAGATAATCTGATGATGCAGGTTTTTTTATTATATTACATGTTTGTTGTACTGAGGGAATGATCAGAAATGCATGTCTGTATATCCTTATTGTTCTGCAAAAATCACAGAATTGTTTAAGATGAGAAATTGTAAATCATAATTTCTTTGTAATACATTTTCTTCTATTTCCATCCTGTTTTTTTGTCCTTTCAGTAAATTAAGAAGTAATGTAGCTCGAACTGCTGCGAAGCATGGAGAGGCAGGTGAGATCATGCACCTGGCTGTGGTGGCTTGTGGGAACCGATTGGATGAGACCCTCGCCATGGTGAAATCAGCCCTTCTGTTTAGCTTTAAGAAGATCAGGGTCCACATTTTTGCTGAAGACCTTTTGGCTCCACAGTTCAAACAGCAGGTAAGAGTCGTTTACTAATCTGGTTCCTTACTGTAAACTGTTTTTTGAACTCTACAAAGTTAAAAATTTATTCATTCAGTCATCAGATTAAAGTGCTCAGAATCAAAGTGAATCAGATCAATTTATTCCACTTTTGGATGACATGTCCCAGACTCTGATTGTGACTGTTCAAAATGTAACTGGATCAGATCTTCTTGTAAAAGAAAGGGCAAACCCAAAATAACTGTATTATTTAGACAAAATCTTTTGGTCTAAGGACAGCTGTTTACTTCTCATGCAAAATCACAAAGAGCCGTCTTACAGGATTTATTGTTCTGAATAGCTGTCTTTACTGGCCCATCTACAATGATAAGCCCACAGTGGAATAATATTGAGATGTTTTCAGAATAACGTTACTTGATTATTTCTCACACCTCCCTGTTCCTGTTTATGTGATGTGCTTTCTTCCAGCTGAATCAGTGGCCGCGCTCTGCCACAGCCAGGTTCCAGTACACTTTATACCCCATAACCTTCTCTGTAGGGAATGCTGATGAGTGGAAAAAGCTCTTCAAGCCCTGTGCTGCCCAGAGACTCTTCCTCCCTGTAAGGCTGCTCCTCTCATATTCTTGTAATGCACAATGATTAACTAATTTCATAAATCAGGGTTTGCAAAGCATAGTTAATCAATTCAGTTTCTGCTTCAAGCATATTCCGAGCTCCTTCTCTTCTCATCTTAAAAGTATATACAGTCAAGTGCTTTGCTGACCAACTGCTTTGTACAAACTACTTCAAATACTTGTTGTCTCATTTGCTCTGCTTAATCTACATTTTTGCAGCTCTCAGATCTCAATTAACATGCTGAATGTCTTAGCAGCCAAAACACTTTAAAACACATCCTCATCTGTAAAAATCTGCTATGTGTGGATTATTCAGATGCCACTTTGACTCTTTATTTTATAGCTATACATAAAAGGTAGATACTTTAAATCCATACTTAAAATGCAAGTCCATCCAAGCTAAAAAAAATAAATAAATAAAAAAAACATGATAGTTAAATTCCTAACTTATAGCAAGCTGGTATCGACCAGTAAACAGAACCTCTCCATCACCGGCATGATAGAACTCTATGGCTTTTAGGTAAGTTAGGGGTAGCAAATAGTATTTAATAGATAAAATTATTATTATTATCATATTATAACATATACTGAAGATGAAAGCGTTGAATAGGCCACACAACACAGTGTTACAGTTGACACACTAGCAAATTTCCTGCAAATTGGACAATGCAAAGGGGTGAGGTGAGACTGCCTGTGGTCACTAGGTGGCAGAAGTAGACCCACTACTTATGCATTGTGGTGGGGCACACGGAGTTCAGGCCACACTGTGACTATTTTATGTAGTTTGAATGATACCTGTTTGTATGGCTACTGTCTTTTATCACCAGATAGCGCTATGACTATGACAATTAATATGGAGACTTGTACAGGGCAGCACTTACATTGCATCTTTGATTAGACTAACCCTAACCCAGCAGAGTATGTACAGGGTGTGGATTGCTCAAGACTATCTCCTCCTGCGAATGTTCCTTGTGTCTTTGGCTGTTAGCACTGCAGGCAAAAGTGACTCAAATCCGATTTTTCCATGTTTTATTCTGTCTGTTTGTCATTCTGTGGGGTTATATTAAAAACAAATTGACCAGAAATTGTAACAGATCAAACTGAGCACAAAAAGGATACAGCAGTAGTTGGTAGGAGAACCTAAAACTCTGTCTGCTGAACTCTGAAAGGCTTAAAAATGGAAGAAATGGAAAAACAATTCCTAAAAATAGTCACTCCACCACTACATGTCTCTGTGGAAAAGAAGGGAGAAGTTTGAAGAGGTTCATATCTTGGTTTTTCATTTTGGGGGTTCACAGGGGTTCCCTAGAGCTAACTGCAGGTCTTCACTTGCTTTCACAACTTGTGAACTACAACTGGGCATGCTGGGATACTGAGGCTTTGCTGTTGCTTTGTTTAAATTTAAACATTGGGTTGGAAATAGAGGCTAATGCAGGTTGAAAGTCTTGGCTCATTTAATGTCCACTGCATATGAGCTGATCACAACACCTGTTCTACCCTGTTTGTTGGTCTTCCTCTGGAGTCTTATCAGAAACAAACTAACCATTGTCTTTAGTGATTTGATGAGTTTTACTTTATCTATATGCAAGTTACTGTCTGATAGAGTCAGATGGTTGTGAAAGATCTGAAAGGCACTAAAAATATGAATGTAACTTAACATATCACACCCAACAGTAAAATAATGTGAGAAAATCTTTTTTTAAATAGTTTTAAAGGTCATGAACTACATCAGCAAAATAAACACTGTTCAAGGACTAAATGTTCAGTTTTCTTGAAAATTACACTGTGATATTATTTACTTTATGTACAAATATTCTGATTGTGATCTTACCAGGTCATCCTGAAAGACGTGGACTCTTTGCTCTACGTTGACACTGACGTGCTGTTCCTGCGGCCGATGGATGATATCTGGAGTCTCTTTAAATCCTTCAATAGCACCCAGCTGGCAGCGATGGCTCCAGAGCATGAGGTTCCAAAGATTGGTTGGTACAGCCGCTTCGCACGACACCCTTTTTATGGAGTTACTGGGGTCAACTCTGGGGTTATGCTGATGAATCTCACCCGGATCCGCAGCACAGTATTCAAAGTAAGCTCATGACACAATCATTTTTGTACGTTCATGATCAAAGAATATGTTGATTTGTTGATTGATATCAATACTGTATTTCAGAACAGTATGATCTCCACTGGCCTGTCCTGGGAGGATCTTCTCCATCCACTCTACCAGAAATACAAAAACCACATTACATGGGGAGACCAGGACCTCCTGAACATTATCTTCCACGACAATCCAGGTATATTCCTCTTAATGGTGATATATGGGAAAGGATGACAACACATATTATGATGTATTATGTAGTCTTAGTCGGCTCACTTGACGGTCCATTAAAGATGTAAATGTTTTCACCAACCATCAAGTAGTTTGCACACTTTCATTAAAGCACCCTGTAGGTTTTTTTATGAATTATTGTGCTAATGAATAATAGTTTAGTTCTGGCTCCAGAAACCGGACAAAAGGCAAGGAACTATTGAGTGGAGCTCACTGAGTAAAATTTAAAGCTTTTTAGAGGAGCTTTTGTTTTGCCTTTTCGTTTTAGTGACTCCCTGCATCTTTTATCTGCTGATCTTGTCCTGCATAATCATGTTTTCTGGCAAAAACAAGCAAAAAAAAAGTTTGCTGTCCTTTCACATTTGAAGTGTGAATCTTCTCCCTGCAGCGGTGGTTTAAAGCAGTGAAAAGAATGTCATGGATGTTATCAGCCCTGTTTGTGAAGTTTATCTTTGATTTTTAATGTCACACCAAATATGAGGCAGGCTAATGGCCACTGCTGATGACGAAACAGTTTTTTTACATTTTAATTGTAAATTTTATTTGAATAAAATCAAATATTCATCATATATAGCAATTAAGCAGACTTCACAGTCCCCTCAGAGGAAAGTGGAAATGCTGTGTGACAACTTTAATAGCTTAACAACAGGTGGTGTCGATGAGGAGTGCTCTGAAAGTGAGGCAGTCTCTTTCTCACACATAGCAGTTCTGTTCAAGACAGGACTGTTGAACCCAGGTGTCAGGATGTACAGGATGGCAAATCTAATCCTTAAAACCCAAATTGCTGGTTGTGGTGAAAAAGCTGATGGTTCCTGGACCTAGAGTCCTCCCCACAGAGGGTTAGAAGCTGATCCTGGACTTTTAGACACAGTTAAACACCAGTCAGCCTCAACAGTGAAACCATCTGCTCAATATGGAGTAGTTGCGATCTTTCCAGGTCAGGGAGCAACCAGACCTGTGACGAGGTGGCCGAGTGGTTAAGGCGATGGACTGCTAATCCATTGTGCTCTGCACGCGTGGGTTCGAATCCCATCCTCGTCGAAGACAATTGTTCTTGGAATTTCCCCTTTGTGGAACTATTTAAGGAATGTTGTATCTTGACCTGGTGAGATATGGACTCCACTCGATCTCTGAAGGTGTGCTGTGGTATCCGGCACCAAGATATTAGCTGCAGATCCTCAAAACCCTGTAAGATGAGAGGTGGCGCCTCCATGTATTAAATGTGGTTGTCCAGCATATCCTTCAAACGTTCAATTAATTTCAGATCTTGGGGCTTGGCAGACCAAGTCAACATCGTCGTGTTCCACTGGACCACTTTTCCATTGCCCCATAATCCAGTTCTCATGCTCACTTGTCCATTTTAGGTTTGTGCTAACTTCCCTGCTTACAGTCTTCTGTTCCTCAGACACATGCTATGGTAGAAGGAGATGAGAAATGTCACAGGGTTCATATCTTAGTGGAAAAAAAAAACACAACTTAGTCTCTTCTGTTCAAAAATAGTGGTGAGGGCAAGAACCAGCTGTAAACTCTCAAACATGTTGATGAGGGTGAATGTAGGTGTTAATTTTCAGTCACTTTAGTGGTGTTATGTGCTTTTATGCAAATCATACAGCCACTGATAGCAGCTGACAGAGAGAGAGAAAGAGAGACCTGGACCTGAACAAAGTAGTTATAATACTACTGATATAATAACAATATAAACAGGATTGAAGACTGCTATAATAGTTTTAAGTCATTAGTGTCAACCACACTGCTTTTCCAGGTAAGTATAAGCTTTGGAGTTTTCAGTTTGCTTCTCCCCTTCCTCTTATTTAACCAGTTACAGATTTCTTACCGATAAACACTGCGCAATGTGCAGTTCTAGCTCTTGCTAAAATGGAAATGCGTCATTCAGTCAGTTTAAAACAATCTTTGTAGTGGATTTCAGCAACAGAAGCTGATTTTTTTTAGAGTAGACAGTGGAGACTGTGGTCAAATGCTGATAATTTGTTGTTGGTCGACCATCTCTGTGGTAAGGCTGATGTGATGTACCGTTTATCTCAATACATTGTTAATGATCCAGAACATGGAAGATACACATGCAGCTACTACCAGGCGATATGAAATGGCTCACACCCTAGTTAAGATGCCTTTTCTTTTAACACAATCAGACTCAGTGCAAAACAATGTGATTCGACAATTAATGTTGTTCACTTGGTTTTATTTCCTAATCAACCAATGACTTGAATTTCATTGAACTCTTCTTTAAGTTACAAAAACCTTGTTAATTAATTAAGCATTAATAAAACACTCAAGTCTAAATAAAAAGGTCTCGATAATGAAATGTAACCCTGCAGCTAGCTTTTGTGGAATCCTCTTTATGTTGTTGTTCACCATTTTAATGTTCACTGTTTATATTGTCATATAGCTTAACATGCCCAAAGGCATGTGAAACCATACTTCAGCTCATAAGAAGTCCACTAACCACTGCCATCTCCATCCACTTGGTCATCTGGCATTTCACCCACACGGGATGGCTGCTCTGGAAGTTGAACAACACATCTCTGTGCTGTATTGTGCACCATACAGCAGGGCATTGAAATTAACATGCTTTTACAGTAAGGTTGCATTTACCAATCAGCCACCCAGGTGCACCAGCTCCTTATGCAAAACACATCCCCAGTGAGCTGTTCTGCAGTACAGAGGCGAGACCCAGAGGTGCCCGACAGACATGAGACCACATATGACGCAGCTAACAGTAGTCTTTGATTAATCCTCTCAAACCATAAAGAAATCTAGATTTCATTACATCTTCTTATCTTTGTAAGACTGCTCTCTGGCACTGAAACTTCTCTTTCTCCTACCAAAAAGGAAAAATAAAATGACTCCAGTGACTCCTTGAAACCATGGCGTACCAACAAAGTAACATGAATATGTTTCTATCAGGCAAGTGCCTGGTGAAACAATAAGCAGCACTATGTTCTTGTGTGTTTGTTTTTCCAGAGTGCCTCTTCATCTTTTCCTGCCAGTGGAACTACAGGCCAGATCACTGTATGTATGGGAGTAACTGTAAGGATGCTGAAAAAGAGGGCGTGTCTATCCTTCATGGTAACCGTGGAGTGTATCATGATGACAAGCAGCCTGCATTCAAAGTGGTCTACGACGCAATACGTGAGGTAATTACCCCGGGCATTTCTTCATTTTGCTTCAGTATAGCACCAGAATGCAGATTTTGAACCTGCATCATGAATCACACCCAAACAAGTTATTACAATCCCAGTCTTTAACATTTCAGGGGCTTTTTGTCCTCATTTTATTAGCTCCTCTGTTGTCTTATTCAATATATGTTTTTCAATTGATTGATTACTTTGTTATTAATATTGTTGTAATTTTGCCCACAAACCTGAGTCACCCATGTGTATTTAAACATAAATACATATAAATACAGTAAAAATGCATATAGAAATACAGACATTCAGACATCTAGTTCCACATTTAGTTGAGCCTCTTCTTCTTTTTGATTTTTCATTTCGATAAACAAAATATATATATAAAAACGTCTTTGCCTTTCGACAATGTTGCTCAGTTTTTAAAATTCTGAATTTGTTTGTACAATGTAGGATTGATGTGACTGATGCAAGGACAAATTGTCTTTGTTCTTACAGTTTCCCTTTGAAGACAACTTGTTCCAGTCCCTTTTCTACCCCATCCAGACAAAGTTCCTGGACACAGTCAACACCCTTTGTGGGCGCATTCCTCAAGTCTTCCTCAAGCAGATAGAAAAGACCATGAGAAGAGCTTTTGAGGACAAAGTGGTCCATCATGTGAGATCGCACAAATAAGAGAAAAGTGGATTCAGTTTTTTCAAGAACCAGCTTGTTGTGGATCAGGTCTCCAACCAGCACTTGACGAGCCTTGAACTGTCGGTGCCATGTTTGCACTATATTCAACTCGTACTGGAATAACATTACAAAAACCACTAACCGCTCATGACCAGACTGCTCTTTGTAACTGTAGCTTTGTAACTGATGCATATTGAGTCAAAAACCTTGATGGTCAGGTACCAAAATACTCAAAGAACAATCTTCCCTTATCATCATGACCCACTTGTGCAGTCCCTGTCCTTTGCTTGTATATTTGAACATTTTTTGTCATACTGTGTTCAGGACACCTCTGGGTGTCATTTTTTGGCCAGTGGTCTGCAGCCCATGACACTTAAGGGTACCTTGATCTTACTATGATGCCAAAGGGGCATTAAAAGATGGTTGCAAATGACAACTGTGTAGTGTCAGGGATATGGATAATTAAGGGCAAAGTAGGGGGCTTACAAAGCAGGCAGTTTTCAGATGAAATGCCCCACCTTGACTCAGAGTTGTGCAGGGGTTTGTCAATCTTTTCTTCAGAATATAACAGGCTCTAAACATTTTAGAGCAGCTAAGTTAGGGGTTTGTTCACAAGGCTTCAACATCTCTGTTCTTGTGATGGCCTCCTTCTATCGATAGGTAATAGGTAAAACCAGCTCTGGGTGAACTCTGCAGTCGTCAGAGCCACTGATCATATCAGTGAGGGCTTAACAGAGGAAATGTGGAGTACCATGTTACACATCTAGTTTTATATTGCACTTTCAGCACGATTGAGGAATGGTTACGTGTGCAAAATCCGCCCACATTTGAGAACAAAAGTCCCAGCCTTTGCACTTTTTAACATACTCCAGCTCTCATTTCAATACAAGGAAATATGGCCAATAGATGTCAGTGTTTTATGATTTATGATCTGCTGTGTTCACACAGATCATATGTTTTTAGTGAAATTTTCATTGCCATGTAATTTTCATTTCATGTAGTAATCTTAAAATGTTTGAAAATGTATGCCACTTTTGAAATTTACTGGGACTTTCTAAGAAAGCAATGCAAATGGCTAAAATCTAGTGATTGCCAGCTGATGTGTTTGTATTTCTGATAAAGGGCTACTGCATTACAAAAAATACCCTCAGTTTCATCTTTTTTTCTGTGTGTCTTGGTTACAATTTTAGGGGGTAATACCATTAATTCAGAATTTAAAATCTTTGGTAATTTATACAGTAAACTTGCAATCTGAAGCTTGGAAGGTTTCAGGAGTTAAATAATAGACTTGGAATTCCTAAAACTTGAAATCTTAACTAAGTTGTATATCAAACTTGAAACTCAAAACCTGGACATGTTGAAGGAGTAGAATCCTAGTTTGGAATTTTAAACTTCGTATCTTAAGTGATTTATACAGTAAACTTGGAATGTTTAATGAATTATATAATTAACTTGGAATGCTGTAAGTTGAAACCATTAGTAATTTGGATAAAAAACTTGATAATCAGATCCTGGGACGTTAACACAGTTATACCTTGAAAGGAGGAATCTTTATTTATTTTGTAAACTTGAAATTTAGAACGTTGAATGTTTAGTAAGTTGTTTTAAAGACTTGCATTATAAAAACTTTATTAATAAGTTGAATAAGAACTTGAATTTCAGATCTTGGAATGTTTAGGGAGTTGTACTGTTGATTTGGAATTTTAATGTGGAATCTTAAGTGATTTTTATTGAAAGCTTGGAATTTATAACTTTAAATGTTAGGGGAGTTTTACCGTTAATTTGGAATTTGAAGCTCAGAATTGTTAATAATATTAATAGTATACTTGGAATCTAAAGCTTGAAACATTAAGGGAGTTATAATGTAAATTTGGAATTTTAAATGTGGAATCTTTAGAAATTCATACAGTAAACTTGGAATCTAAAACTTCCAATGTATAATAAGTTATTTTAGACCTCCAATCTTGGGAACAATAGGTGCTAGAGACCTGGGACTGGTTGGTTACTTCCTAATTTGATTATTCAATTTGGCTGTAAATGTGGATATCCTTATTTACACCTGTGGGAGCTTCAGGTGTTAACACTCAAATCAAACATGAATCAGCCAACAGAGTTTTATTATAGTTTTTATTGTTCAGAATACAAAGAAAGAACATCACAAACACACAATAGGCTGATACAAACAACAAACATTCTTCATGGAGAAGAATGGTGAACAAAACTGTGATGTTCATAAAAGACATAACGAACTAACCATATAGGCTTTTCACATAAGAACGCTCTAAAATATCCATAATCATGGATGTTTGCTTCAGAGAGATGTGTGTCTGTATGTATTTTATGGTAGACTTGGAATGAAAGTGTTATTGTAATAACGCCCCGTCATTATCTTTGGTAATACTGACCAAAAAAATGTAATAATAATAAGAATAAAAATAATAATAATAGTAATAACAAACAAAGGCCTGGTGTCATCCAAAGGGTCTGAGTCTGCAGTAACTTTACCGTGAAGAGTCATTTTCACTTTAAGTCTACAGACAAACTATGATACCTGCTCAGGTAAATTAATTCTATTATTTTTCTTAACTAGTAGGAAGGCTTTTTTTTTTCATTTTACTTAGAATCTGCCATCTGCTCTGCTGTTTAAATAAATCACAATGGACACAGAATAAGTTAGTGTTTTTTTACAGAGTACCTTTTCAATAGTTTTAAACGAACTTTGAATGAACTGTGTGGGTCTATATGTATAATCTCTCATTTGCTAAACCAGATTTTACTTTAAAATAAGACTATCACAGCTTTCAAGATATTTCTTTCTATTTTGAAAAGAAAGCAAATCACTCCACAGGGAAAAAAAAACTTATTAAACATCAGTAAGAACCATGACTCTTCAACATCAATTCACTATTTGGCTTTGTTCAGTCACCTGGTTATAGCTGTGCAGGAATACATAACTCTTGATTCTTAATTGGTTTAAGACACTCACAATGGTGATTCATTCTCAAAACAAAGAATAACACCAAAGACAACCTGATCACGTAAGTCATATCAAATCAGTCTGCCAAGAGGAGTCCAGAACTTTGATCTCTGCCTGTTGACACTGTGGCAAAAAGGTAAGTCTCAGCTAGCATGTGAAATGATAAGGCTGAAAAACATACCAATTTTTAAATTCGTGATTCTGTCCTGCAATCTGTGCACTGGCAACAGAGATGGTGAGGGCATCTTCAAGTTGCATAAGCAGAGAGCAAGGTCCTCCATGAAGAGATTCTAAATTGCAACCCCCCCCCACTTCCATCATCACTCAGTCATATCAGTAAAATAGTGGAACTCATATGATTGAGCAGCAGAGCTCATTAAAGCGTTAGAACTGATATATGTTAAAGGTAATGTAATCTAAATATCCAGCAGACTTGCTTCGTTGAGGGTTGATTCATATACTACCTGTTCAAGAGCAACTTTATAATCATAAAATAATTTTGAAAAAAAAAAAACAAAAAAAAAACTGAGCTGCCGATGAGATGCCAATATGATTATTGATTTTCGACTGGAAATAGGTTTTACAGCGGTGGTGTGTTTGCTGTAAGTGTCAGATCAAACCAAACTAAACTTTACGTCATTCAGGGCAGATCTACTGTCAAACAGACCCTGAAGCCCTTTTTTATTTCAGCTGCACAGTTTAAATACACACATGCACAGTAAACCACAGACATTTTTGCATAGACATAATCGAAGTCAGAGTCATGCAAATGAAGAAAGAACACAGAAACAGAGAAAAATCAGTGAGTGTGGAAAGATGGGTTAGATACTAGTGGACAGTTTGATTAGTTTAGTTTTTTTTTTTTTTCATTTTGAAAAAAATATAGATATATAAAGTTACATAATTCAAATGATTTTTTTTCTTTAAATGAAGTAAACAGAGGAATTCCGACATCAAGGATCTGTCAACCTAAATCCCACAGTTTATTTTACTGATACAGAAATTCATCTGTAAAGCTGCAAACCCAGTAGTTTAGTATTGCTTTGATGTGTGTTTGCGTGTGTGTGTGTGTGTGTGTGTGTGTGTGTGTGGGGGGGGGGGGTGTTCAAGTTTTGTCTACAGCCATGTTAGGAAAAATACTTCTAATTTAAATGAAATAATATAATAATAAAGTCAAGTATCAAATCGACAGGCAGTAGATATGCACACAGATACATCATGGGATATAAAAGCTGAGTGACCTCAGTGTTAGTGATTTTAACTCTCTGAGATATTGTTCAGTCATAAATATAAGGTTATAAAGAGAGTCTTTATGGCTTTAACACATTGAGAGAACCTGCAACCTTCAATATAAACATCATCCTCATCAACACCGTCACCTTCAAGCAGTCAGATCAGAGTAGAGCTGCAGACAAAAGTAGTTTAAAGACAAATACAAATTCATTATATTAAATTAATCTCTTTAAGGGCTCATTACAATAAAACTATAAGTTTAATTAACAAACAGACTCATTGTGGGATTATTGGAAAAATGAAGTTTGTCTTGACTCCAAGTGTTTCTATGTTATGCTGATGTTATCATTCTGTTAAGATCTTGAATAACAATCTGAAATCATCTCACGGATTACCAAACAAATCTACACTACACACTGGTAGTCAATAGACAGTAGTTTCTCAGGACGTGCACAAAATCATCTCTAATGCAAAAGTAAGAGAGTCTGCTGTAGACTAATATCAAGGAGAGTCGTGTCTGTTTCTGAAAACACTCCTCTATGAAGAAAACAGGGAGGGTATGAAGCTGTGACCCTGAGCGCTCTGTGAAAGTAGAAAACATCTGAAATCAGTCATTTACAAAAAACTCTAACTCCACCTCGGTCAAAAAATCTGTACAGGATTGTCTTCTTTGTAATCAGCTCCAAGGAATGACAGGATAAATATCCTGGAAAGATTTCTATTTCAACATTATTCCAATCATCCCACTTTAACATTCAGAAAACCAAAGAAGTGAAAGTTTAAACTAAATAAATAAAAAGCCATAAATTAAAATTCGCCTGTCATCTCACACTGTCTGAATTGTCCTCACAGCTGTAAACTTATCCACTGTCCTCCATCAGTATGGAGAAAACTTCTGCCTCTCTGGCTTCTTTAAACCATTGGCTGATGAAATCTTTGCCGTGTAGGATGCCAGCGCTGCGGCTGTTGTATGAGCCTGAAGCGGGACAGCTGCTGTAGCTGCGGTCTGCAGGGAGCCATGCATCATGGGAGCTCCAATTGCTGCTGTGGTTGTTGAGGCAAGGGGGTTGGACAGGGCCAGGTAAGGGAATGATTTCACCCCCAGCAGGCTAGTGAGGGGGACGGTGTATGGAGCACCCACAATTGGGGCATGGGAAAAGGAGGAGCCCATCACTGCCAGAGGGGAGGAGGAGGAGGACGAGACAGGGGGGGCAGGCTGGGTGAGGCTCATGGTCGGGTCAACAAGAGACGACATGGGGGAGGACTGGGCAGTAGACTTGGCAATCTCTAAACTGGAGGATGGTGGAAGAGGGGGGAGAGGAAGAAGGGAATTCAAATGGAGAAGGATTAGAGGATCAAATTAACATTAACATTAGACATGTTTTAAAGAAGTTTAACATAAAAAAGGAATAAATTAATATTTTTAGGTGGAGGATGAAGTAAAAAAATGACAAAAGGTGGCATTTGTTGCTGGGATGGATGGATGGAGGGGTTAGCTGTTGGGATGGAGGGGGTAGTTAGCTAAATCAGTTAGGTGATGACTGAGAGGGGTAGGAGGGAACAGAGCAGATAAATTATGATGAACAGTGTGTCAGCTGTACCTGGAAACATAGATTTAATGTTTGAGTTGGGCTGCTGAATTAATGTTTTATGAGTTCCTATGATAACTGCAGTACAACAAACAGCCAGAATATTTTGAACTGTATTAATAATATGATCTGTTTTTTTTTTTTTTTACTAAATAGATAAAACCAGGTGATGTTGTGAGCATCAGACAGACATACTGACCATGACTCTCAGGTGTCTGTAATACGTCTGAGTAATTTTTCCTGATCTAAAATCTTTAGTTTGGCTATATAATGAAAAAAGAAAAATAAAAAAAGTCCAGACTTCAGAGCAGACAACTCATCCATCCCACAGCTACCTCAGAACACTCAAAGCAGCTGCTTTTGTCTGAGTTTAACACTCTAAAGACAGAAGTGCCAATTCAAACAAAGACTCTGTGTTTGTTCTGTATGTATCATAGATTTTCTTGTATTTGATCAAGAAATATATCACACAGCAATTGACGATATTTCTTACAAGATAGATCTTTGCGGAGAGAGGCAGTGAGGCTGGTATTAACCGACAGAAAAGAGCTGCTGCTGCTTCATCTTCTTAGACCCCTGGTCCCATATGCTAAGGATCCACAGCAGTTTGCATACCAGGCAAAGCTGGGTGTGGAGGACTCACTCCTGTACTTGTTACATAAAGTTCACTCTCATCTGGACAAAGGGAGCAGCGCTGTGAGAATCATTTTCTTCGATTTTTCCAGCACCTTTAACACCATCTACCCCCTCCTACTGAGGGATAAACTGTCAGATATGAGTGTGGACTCACACCTGGTGCTGGGTTATGGACTATCTGATAGAGAAACCACGTCAGGCCCTGTAGCCAGCAGCGTGGAGGCACCACAGGAGACTGTGCTCTACCCTGTCTTGTTCACTCTGTACACCTCTGACTGACAGTATAACTCTGAGCTCCGCCTCATGCAAAAATACTCAGATGATACTGTGATTGTTGGTGCAGGTGGTGCAAAGAGGTGCAGGTTGAACTACAATATGAGGTAGCATGAGGTAATGAGGTACTGGTCATGAGTACTTTGATAGTACCTGCAGTACGTTTCTTCTGTCTCAAGTGGGTATATTTACCATGAAGTGATGAGGTACTGGGCCAGGTTGATGGCGATGGGCGTGCCTGTTATGGTGACGTGACGGTCGCTGCTGGTCTCCATCTGACTGCTGATCTTAATTTGAGCTCCTGAGAGCTGCCGGATCTCACTGATCTTAGAGCCCTGACGACCGATGATCGAGCCGACCAGCTGAGGGGAGACATGAAACGATGAGTTAAAGCAGAGGACATTTTACTGCAGCCACACCACTGCAATAAACACAATTATACAAGATTACTACAGTACAGATTGATATAAACATTACAACAGTACACAGAGACAAACATTACTGTAGTACCGTGTGAAATAAATGTGTAAGAATGTTTTCATGGTTTGAATCAGGTTAGTTTTGTACACTTAGTGCATCTGTGTTGTGAACTGTATCTGTTTTTGTGTCTGGAAATTGGAGGAGGGGCTGAATGATGAATGGTTACTGCCTTTTTGGGGGGGTGGGATGAGTGGTTTGTGATGAATTGTGAGAGGTCATAGTTCAGAGCCTTCAGCAGACAACCTCTTCATCAAACATCTGACGTCCTTGAAGGCCACTATGAAATATTCACAGACTCTGAGACGGTCGACAGATTCTCGCTGAAAGAGTCACAGGTTTTATTCTGAACTAAAAGACTGATTTATTTCTATGAATTCATCTGATACATTATATTTATACTCCATATGAGTTATTTTATAAAACATGATGTGTTAAAAGTCTCCAGCAGGGGGCAGCAGGCTCATTGAAGACAAGAGCATCATCTTAATGCCCTGGCAGTCTGAAACAACCTGCAGACCAGCCACAGCTGGCGGCAGCTGTAAGTGACAGTGTTTACCACTAAAACTGTTTACCTGTGACCTTTTTGCTGACTGACTGTGTGGTTATAAAATGGTTAACTTTATTTTGAAAGGGGAAACAGGAAGCCACACAAGCAGAAAAATGCTGAGCTTACTGATGCTTATGAAGGTGATGGTATATTTTTAAAAATAAAAACACTCACTTCATTTGGAATTAGAAGCTCCTGAGATGTCGTCTGAGAGGAAGTTTCCACACCTCCTACAAGTGAGAGGGGTAATGAAAAGGGAGTTAAAGAGGAAGGGGGAGAGGGAGGGAGGGAGAGAGAGAGAAGGGGCAGAGAAAAAGAAGGAGACAAAGAGGGACAGTAGGAGTGAGTGTTTAATCTATAAGTAAAACAAAATGTTGCTCTCAACAGGTCTCTGTTATAAGCTCTACTATAGTATCAAAATAATCTGCATAATAGAATCAAAATAAACTATACTGTACAAATCAGAACAAACTACAATACTATGAAAATATACTCATTAATAGAATTACAACAAACCATAAGAGACTCAAAACTAAAGTCTATTACTTTATTGAATCAAAACACACTCTACAAGTAAATGAAAGTAAACCTTAAAAATAAATTAAAATTATCTCAACGTGAATCAAAATAAACTCAAAAAGTCAATCAAAATCTCTATAATATAACGGAAACTTATTCTGTGATAGAACCAATGCATACTTTATTAATATGAACTCCATGATAGAATCAAAATAAACTCTATATTTAGAGGTCTAGAGCCTCGACAGGTGTGCTGAACAGAGCTGGCAGACACTATGAAGGTGACTCCAACCGTGACTCAACAAAACTCCGCCCACTGAAATGACAGAAATTTTTATATTCTCTGTCATTGATCAGCAAGGTTGGCCTAGATAACTAACCTACCCTGCACTTCACATAATAAAATTACTGTAACATTAAGAGCAACAAACAACAGACCGCAACATCCTATGGTGCAGATGGACAGCTAAGTTAGATTCAAAGGAAACACAGCAGGCTTTTCTACACTAGAATACCGTTAAAATAAACTCTATTAAAGGAACTCTATGAGCTGGGTCTCTATGTCTGACTGAAAGCATCACTGATCAGAGAGCAGAGTGAATCATTACAGAGTGAACACATGAATACATTTTACAGAGATCTGCACTGATCCAGAGGATGATGAAATTCACTGAAATCAAAACTGAAAAATAACAGCTTTTAGTATCAAACTTCAGGTTTGAACACATGACGAACTGTGAACAATCAATTCACACATCTTATAAACAGTGTGTGAGAGAGTGTGTGTGTGTGTGTGTGTGTGTGTGTGTGTGTGTGTGTGTGTGTGTGGTGGTGGTGATGGGGGGGGGGGGGGTAGTTCGTATGTGCAAACGTACCTGATACCACCTGAGCAGCTGATTGGCTGATGGAGGGAAGGCTCTGTGGCTGCAGAGAAAGCTGCTGGAGTTTATTTAACTGATGGTGAAGTGCAGAAAACAAAGTCAGATCACCTCAGAAATACACATAATGAAATTCAAATCCAAAGGTTTTATTATTTTTATTCACTCAATTTTTATTATCAATAATAGAAATGATGATTATAATTAAAATAATTATATATTTTTGTGTATTTTGCTGTGCTTACCTCTGACTGAGGGTTGTGTCCATAATGACTCTGAACTGCAAAAGTCTGAAATAAAGAAGAAAAATCATAAAGGCTGTGTCCAAAAGCGGTCACTATACAATCCACTTTATCTCTCGGTGTCAGCAGTAAATTAAACACAGACTCAGATTAATGCAGGCTGAAGGTCGTTTCTCAGATTAACAGCAGGTTGAAGGTCGTTTCTCAGATTAATTGCAGGCTGAAGGACGTTTGTCAGATTAAAGTGTCCCCCCTGGCTGTTTCAGCCTGATCTCAGACCTGTGACTGCCACTGATTGATGGTTCAATCTTTGCTGACCCGTCCTTCACATGAATGACACCAAAAAGTATTTTACCTGCTGAGATCAGTATGTTTATTATTGACATCTATTCACAATGACCTCTAAGAAGAGACAATCTAGTTAGTGGCAGTATGACATGTAGCAGTGAGAGGAAGAAGAGAGCAGTTGTTGTGCACTAAAGATTCTGTATTGAAAGACATGTTTCATGTAAAAACTTGCCAATGTAGGATCAGAGTTATCATGCATCACAAAGGCTTTTTGTCCATGAAGGCCACCATCACTTCGATGACAGGAGGGTGAGCTAGGGAGCATTTCAATTCAAAATCTGACGGTCAGACATCACTAATGCTGCGTTTGAGTTACCTCAGAAGTCAGAAGTCGGAGCTGAAAATGTCGTCACACCCGAGTTCCCAGCGTTTCAGTTACCAAGTCGGAGAAAAGTAAAATCGGAGGCAGAAACAAGACGGCTACATCTATGAAAGTTATCTTAGCGCTTGCCTTGTCTGAATACAAAAAAAAGCAAAATTGGAGGCCTGAAACAAGATGGCAACATCTACGAAGGTTATCTTAGCGCTTGCCTTGTCTGAATATAAGGCAAGCGCTAAGATAACCTTCGTAGATGTTGCCATCTTGTTTCAGGCCTCCAATTTTGCTTTTTTCCGACTTGGTAACTGAAACTCAGGTAACTCGGGCGTGGCGTCATTTTCAGCTCCGACTTCTGACTTCCGAGGTAACTCGAACGCAGCATATATATTCAGTAACCTTTGACCCCCACTCACCTGCAAGTCAACTCCTCCCTGTGGCAGCGAGAACAGGTGAGAGCCAAAATCTGAGGCTTCAAAAACCTTCAGCTGAGACACAAACAGAGAAGCTTCCATCACTCATTATTCCTTTAACTAATTTATTACTGATCTGTCATTGACTCGATATATACCTGTTTTAGATGTATTACAGATCAGTCATACATTCATTCCAGAGTCAGTGGTTCATTTCTCTGTAACAGAGTTATTATTTTTCATAAAGCCCCTCAGAGCTCTGAACAGACAAACTTTATTTAAGGTTATGTTCAATCAGACTGTTTGATTCAGGTGTGCAGAATCATGTAAAGGTGAGAAAAACAGTCAAACTGAGCAGAATCTATTTAACACAGCCGAACAAGAGCCCACCAAGGCTCCAGCAATTTTGGTTTGCAGAGTATGGCTGCCATTAGCAGAGCTAGTACCAGCAGCCTTCAGTCTTTCCAGCAGGTTACTCAGTGCTCTGGTGGAGTGATTACACAGTATAACAAGATTAACCCAACACAACCTACAGACATCTTTCTTCAATTAACAAATCAAAACTACACTACCATCATCTCACATCTGTGCTTCTTGACATCTAGGTAGTAGAGCATTATATAATTATGGCAGTAGATAGCAACTAGAGTAACAGCTCCCCTAGTGGCTGATTCTAGCAACCAGAGTAAGAGCTCCCCTAGTGGTTGATTGAAATCCTGCAGATAGGACTGGACAATAAAACAATAATGATATATATCAAAAATGAATTTCCCTCAATATCAATATAAAATATGGTCAATATGCTTTTCGACAGTCAGCATTCTGCCATGTTTTGGTAGACTATACGAATAGCCAATGAAAAGGGGCGGTGCTCCAGGTCTGCTTTGTGCTGAACTAATCATGTGTTGAATTAGAACCAAGTAGCAAACAACTGTGTAGTAGCAGGCTGCAGCTACACACAACCATAGTACTTTAACACGTGAAGCTGACAGTACTGCCGGTGAGAAAAAAAGAAAATGAGAGCTACCCCCGGCAGAAATGCAGATGAAGGCTCAACAGATGATGACATTGGCGACAACACTGGCACGAAAACGTCGGTTGTGTGGAGGTATTTCGTTTTTTTGAGGTCGGACATGAAGCAGAGTAATATGCACTGCAAATTATGTTGAGAACATGTTCTCGCAAAGTTGGGGAATACCTCAAATCTTTTTCATGACCTGAAGCAGTGCCACGCGGCAGAGCAAAAGGTTACAAACCCCGAGCCAAGCAAGGATCCCATGGCGCCTGTGCAGCCAAAACAGTTGACTATTCTGCTTTTTCTAGTGCAATGCCTTATGACAAAACATTGAAGAGACACAAAGACCTCAGAGATGCAGTAGCTTATTGTATTGCAAAAGACATGCTACCAATAAGTAATGTTAAATTTTATTTAAGAGTAACAGGGAACATTTAAGATTGACAAGTGATTTTATATATATATATATATATATATATATATATATATATATATATATATATATATATATATATATATATATATATATATATATATATATATATATATATATATATACACATCAATATTGGCCGAAATGAAAAAAATATATTGTGATAAACTTTTTCCCATATTGCCAAGCCCTATATGCAGGTCATCGAAACACTGGGTTTCATCTTTTGTTTGATCCTTTTACATTGGGGAGATGCCTTTCTTCACTTATCCTCCTCATGCGCACACACACACACACACACACACACACACACACACACACACACACACTCCCCTTACCTGGTTTCCTGCCAGCAGAACTGTTCCTGCAGTCAGACTTGGTTTGTAAGGAATGGTCGCTCCTTTTGGTGGAGACTGAAGAAGAATAGAGAGATGGAGAGAGGGGATTGCGTGTGAATTTACCTTTAACATCAGAAAAACATTAAAAAAAAATAGAGTTCAGATCAGCTGTTTATCTGAAAAACAGGTCAGAGCCGACACCACAGAGTGTGTGACTATCAAACACATATATACACACACACACACACACACCTCCAAGATGACAGCACAGATGAGCTTCACACACTGGATAATGGTGTCCTGAGCGCCTGAGATGGTCACCTCTCTCTCTGTTGAATTTGGGAGGAGATCACCTGCTACCTGCACCTGAGCACCTGTTGACTGCACACACACACATACACAAAGATGATATAGATGATATAGATGTCACAGCAAATTAATAGTGAGTTTATCTAGGGCATTGTTTTCTGATGTTATTCACAGTCTTTATTTTAAGTGACAGGTGACAGACACTTACATTTCATATCATATCATCTTATATTATCTTATATAATATCATATTGTAAGATGTTGTCACCTCTCTGATCTCTTTAATCTTGGAGCCTCCCTTTCCAATCAGAGATCCACACTGGCTGGCTGGGATCACCAGTCTGAGGCTGACTGGAGCTTTACTGGAGACTGAACTGTTAGCCAGCAGAGCCAACATGTCCTGTAACACACACACACACACACACACACACACACACACACACACACACACACACACACACACACACACACACACACACACACACACACACACACAGAGAGAGAGAGAAGTTGGGATAGTGTTTCAAGTATTTGAATAGACAGTTTTTATTTATTTTTTTTATGAAAATCTGCTGATTTTTAAATTTGATGTCAACATATTTTTGATAAGTATTCCTGGAGTTGTTACTCATTTTGTGTCAATAGCACTTTTTGGTAATGGAGTTACCTCTGTAACCAGTTGTAGATTAACCTCATGGGTTCCAAAGCTATTGTCTGATTGTTCTTCTGAGAAACTTTTTATGTGTTCGGTTGTCCCTCTGACAAATTTTTCAAACATGCTGTAACATCAAATTTAAAATGAGAAGTGATTTTTCCCCAAAACAGTTTCCAGTTTTAACATTTGCTGTGTTCTCTTTTCAATTAAATATAGACTTTAAACAATTTACTATCAAATTCAGTTTGTAACACTTTACAAAATGTCCAAACTCTTTTTTCTTTAGATTAAACATGGAAGAAAAACACTGACTGGAGTGGCAGAGCTAATGCACCATCTTAAAGAAGGTATATCTGTGTGTGTGTGTGTGTGTGTGTGTGTGTGTGTGTGTGTGTGTGTGTGTGTGTGTGTACCTCCTCCAGCTTCACTGTGATCATTGTAAATGCTCTGAACACACACTCTGTTGGTCCACTGATGGTCACAATTCTCTCCAGACATGAACCCTCAGAGATTGTGACTCTAGCTCCACTCTGTGAGGGAGGAAATGGGGGAGGAGTTGGGGGTATGGCAGGGCAGGGGGAGTACCGTGACGAATACAGGAAGGGGGGTGGGGTAGGGATGGTAGGAGGGGAAAAGGGGATAATTTGAGGGAGGGGAGATGGAAGGGAGGCAGAGGGGTGAGTTATGACAGAGGGAGGGGAGGATGGGGGTTAATGGAGGACGGGGAGGAACAGGGGAGAGAGATAACAAATTAGTGGGGGAGGGAGGGATGTGGCAGAAGAAAGAGAAGGAGGAGTAGAGAGGAGAACGTTTCTCTAACACTGCTCCTCTCTATCAGAGAAGAGGAGAGGAAAAGAGAGGGAGATGATAGATCAGAGGAAAACAGGGGGGTAAGAAGAGGAGAAAGAGGGGAAAAAAGGAAGGAGGAGGGAGTAAGGGAGGGGGGTAAGAAGATGAGAGTTTACCAAGGTTAAAGTTTGGAGGAGGAGGAGGAGAAGGAGGAGAGGGAAGAGGAGGAGGTAATATGGAAAAGGATACAGAGGATGGAAAGGGAGGACAGGAAGGAAGAGGAAAAGGATGAGGAAGAAGAGAGAGGCAAGGAAGATGATGCAGAAGGGAGAGAGAGAAGGAGGAAGAGGAAAGAGGAGAAGAGAGAGGAGGAAGAGAAGGAGGAGGGGGAAGGAAAGGAGAAGGATAAGGAGAGGCGGAGGAATAGGAGACAAGGAGGAATAGGAGAGGAGGAGGAGAAGGAATAGGAGAGGAGGAAAAAGGAAGTGGGAGGAAGAGAAAGGGAAGGAGAGAGGAGATTTGGATACAGAGAAAACAGTTTAAAGGAGGAAGAGGAGGAAAGAATCAGACGTTAAAGTGAGAGAGGAGTAAAAGGGTAACACGTTATCTTTTAAAAATGTAATAACATTATTATAATTGCCGAACTTTTGAAGGAATTATTAATCACTTCTTCTGGTCAAATACCCATCAAGTATAACCAAATTAGGCAGTATTTTACTGTTTACACTCCGTGAAGTAGCTACAGGAAAATATGTCGAAAGGAAAGCAAAGTTCATTTCTTTAAACCTGAATCAGAGCAACAACAGCAAAGCTCCAGAATAACAAGGACGGGAGACGAGGGCAAAAAGCAGGTGGATGATTGGAATGACCGTGAGTTTGGGAGTGTGATTTGTTGGAAACAAAGAGCTTATTACTCTCTAGGACTGTATGGACCTCACAGAAGAATGGACTAATAGTGAAGTTTCTGGTCCTGATGCATGGAGCCTGTGGAGAAAAAGATCTACAGACTCAGGACAGCTAAGCCCAGCAAGAAAAAAGTCTCCCTTCACTTCTTTTTGTGGACCTCCTGTTCACACATTTGATCCAGGACTATTCTTGAGATCCAGCATTAAAATAGGATATCAACTCTTGGGTACCAGAATGGTAATGAAGAGAAGCCCGAGTCCTCTAAGGTCAGAGAGAAATGTTCTGATTTTAAGTCCATGATTGCTCTAACTAAACTGTGATACCCCCTGCTGCTTTTACTGAGCAAATTAACAAAACACCAGAACAGGGTCATGGTTCATTATGGGCGATCTGTAGACAACTGAAGCAAGAAGTATAGCATACATTACAATTTCAAGTGACTGAGTTGAGACTGCTGGGGAGGCAATATCAAGATGCAAGACGTCAGAACAAACTGATTAAAAAAGCTGGCTATGTAGTTGGATTCAAGCTGGACTCAGTGGAGGATGTGGTGAAGAGATGTACACTGAGGAAGGTGGAGACTATTCTAAAGAACATGGATCATCCACTTCACAACACCTTAATGGACCAAAGGGCCAATGGTGGTGGACGGCTCCTCTCTCTTCGCTGCAGGACAGAAAGATTCAGAAGATCTTTTGTACCAACAGCCATCAGACTTTACAACTCTTCTGTAAATAGCAGATGACTTGCATGACACATGAGACGACAGATAATTGAATTTTCCTTCGGGGATCAATAAAGTTTTTCTCCTTCTTCTTCTTCTTCTTGTTCTTCTTCTTTATTCAGTCACTTTTAAAAAGAGGCTGGAGTCACAGAGAGTATCGTCTCTGAAAATAATACTGTTTGAGGGGAGGTCTTTGCAGGCTGAGAGTTAAAGGGTTTGGATCTGATCAGCTGTACATTAAAACCAAACAGAGGAAAAGATGAGATTTTTAAACATGTAAGATACTTCCAAGGAAACAGCTTAAAAACAAACATGGTCCATGAGGAAAACATTCATTCAACTCCCTCCATGTCTCCCCCTTCACCCATCTTTCCCTCTGTCTTTTTTCCTACTGTTCTTGTCTCTCAGTGTTCAGTCAGCCCCCCCCCCCCCCCCCTTCCTTTTGTTTCTCTGGGGACTCCGCTCTGAAATAATCCTCCCTGCAGATTGTGTTTGTTGAGTTTTATTTTATATTTTTCAGGCAGCAGGAGGTAAACTGAGTAAATTTAGACTTATTAAAACAGTTTTCTGTTTGGAGGAAATCTGTGGCCTATTTTTCTCTGGAATTATTAAAATATTTCAGCCTGAATTTATTTCCAAACAGATTTCATCATCCTACACGCTGATGCATCTGTTTCTCCTAAGACTGTACTTTAAATATGTAATTTAAGATGAAATGATAGCTTACGTCATTGTTCATTTTCTTATGTGAAAAGGAGAAATGAAAGTGTTTAACCCCTCCCATGACTTGGGTGAAATGTTGATGAAAAGAGATTTTGGTGTGTTCCTGATGACACCCTGATGACATTAATCTCCCCTTGGACAGAGCAAATCCATTTATCCACCTACTTTCTACTTCTGTTTTGATCTCATTCTCCCTGTCTCTAAATCTCAGTCAGCTTGTTCCTCTCGGTTTTCTGGTATAGAGAGGACAGTTACTCCAGAGGGAAAACATATTTTTCCATTTCACAGATTTCTGACAGCTAAAGATGTGAACGTCAGCAGACAGACGAAAACAAAATGTCCCTTTAGATGTTTGAATTCAATCTAAAAATACCAGGATATGAATCTGCATGCTTAAGCTTTTACTGCACTACCATGATTGAAACCTGAAAGGTTTAGGGTTAAGAGAGCATATAAAATAAAAACAGAGTAAGGTAAAGAGAGTATGATATCGTGCTGGTGGGCTGCTGATAGTCTTGTGATTAAGAAGGCCTACATATGGAGGGTATGGTCTCTATAGTGACGTTAACAGGAATCACAGTAACGCTGAAAGAAGACAAAGATGAAGCAGAGATGTGGGAGGATGGGGGACGAATCAGGGGTGAGGGGTGTTACCTCTTCTCTTATCCTCTTCACCGTTTCTCCTTTCTGAAAAAGAGACAAAAAAATTACACTTTTCTCTTTTTGGTTTGTTAATTCTCAAAAAAAATGTTTCTGTAAGTCAGAAATGAAGCTGCTGATATCAGTCTGAGATCATATGGATGTCTGTAAAAATATTCTGAGGACTAACTGACCCAAATGTGAGGCAAAAAAGAGGAAATGAAAAGAATAAAATCTCTTCACTGTGTCTGATTCGTCTGTTTCAGTTAAAGAGAAAAAAATATCTGAAGTATTTTTAGTTTCTTCAACTCTCCCCCTGCTGAACAAGGTCTTTCTGTGGAAACAGACTGACTGCATAAAAATAAACGTTATTCTTATTAATAACAATTGAAGTTAATTTATATCCCAGCGGCAGGTTAAAATGAAAAGAAGATATAAGCGCTGAATCCCTAAACTGATGTGTTTTATTTTAACTCATATTATTGCGGTGTCATTCTCATTGGACTATGACAGAAAGAGTTAAAAAATACAGCTCACCTTTCCAATTATGCTTCCTACTTCCTGTGAAAAAAAAAACAAAAACAGGAAATGTTTCTGTTGTTATCATCAAAGACACTTTTAGACAAGAAGACTGTAAAACATGTTTTAAATTCAGCCAATCAGAGGCTTTTATTGCCTCCTTGGGCTCTATTTTCGTGTCCGCCGGTGAGGCTTTTGCCCCCTGGTTGTGCACGCACCTAGTATTGTTTGTACACAAGAAACCCGTCTATAAGGTGGAGTTAAGGTTTACTCCAGAGTATTATTACCTCTGCCAAGGAGGTTATGTTTTTGGTAGCGTTGGTTTGTTTGTTGGTTTGTTTGTTGATTTGTTTGTTTGTCTGTTAGCAACTTTACAGAGAAAGTTACAGACAGATTGACCTAAAATTTTCACCAGAGGTGCGTCTCAGCCCCAGGAGGATCCCTTTACATTTTGGTGGTGATCCGGATCGCCTTCTGGATCCAGGAATTTTTTGAAGGATTCTTTATCATTGTGAGATAGGGCAAATTTTGGAATTTTTGCATTTAACTCTATAAAAATGGCCAGAGTCTTTAGTAAAAAATTACACAAAAGGATCTCAATGAGTTTTATGAGGTATCAAAGGTTGATCCTGATCCAGACAAAATTCCGGATACTGTGATCCAGAACACACAAAAATAAGGGTGTCGTTGGAATTTTCAATGCTGAAAGATAACCAATGGGCGGCACAGTGGTGTAGTGGTTAGCACTGTCGCCTCACAGCAAGAAGGTCCTGGGTTCGAATCCGGGTCAGGGCATTTCTTGTTTTAGGAACATTATGAACAGTGAACATACCAGTTTAAACACAAATAAAAGTTAATAAAAGACACGTAACAGTAAAATTTTTGGTATGAATCACAATATAAGGAGGGACATGAGCTGCTTGGCGGAGGTCTGCGCTCTCCGAGTGCTTTTCTAGTCTTTACTATCCAGTCAGAACGCGTAAGCCCCCGCCCCACATAGCTCCACCCCCAAGCAAAGTACTCACTTTTCCTTGCATGAGAAGGCGCAGAGTAAGTGTCACTCCCACAGTCTGGTCGAGAAGCTCACAACTCATGGTGCAGGTGGAGGTGAGATGGCTGGAGTTGTGGGTGAAGTCTGCTGCTAGTAGACACATGAAGGCTGAGGGTCCTCAGAAGAATGGAGCGTGTCTGTGACTGAGGAGAAAGAAACTTCTGATTACCCTTTGAAAACAGAATATAAGCCCTCTGAGAACCAACAGGGAAGCAGACCAGGAACAAAGCCAAGACATGCACCAAAATGCACCCAAACAAACAAGAACCAAATCAAAAAACAACAACAGGGAATCACACAAACCAACAACCCAAAAGAAACAAAAATCGGCAACCAAACCATGAATCAAACCAAGAGCCAAAAAGGAACTAAACCAGTGACTAAGCCAATAACTCAAAGGGAACCAAACCAAAACCCACAGAAAACTAAACCAACAAAACAAAACAAACAATAACAAAATATATAAATTTAAAAAAATAAAAAAACAGAAACCAAACTATTTATTTGCAGGGAACCAAACCATGAATCTAACCAAGAACCCACATGGAACCAAACCAGTGACTAAGCCAATAACTCAATGGGAACCAAACCAAGAGCCCACAGAAAACCAAACCAACAAAACAAAAACAACAACAACAAAAAATAAAAATAAAAGAAAATAAAAAAGCAGAAACCACACAATGTATTTACAGGGAACCAAACCAGGAACCAAACAAAAAACTCACAGGGAACCAGTCAAGGACCCAAGCCAAAAACTCACAAGGAACCAAACCAAAATTGCAAAGTAACCCAAACCAGGAACCAGATTGAGGACAAAACCAAGAACCCACAGGAAACCAAAAATACAACCAGACCAGGAACCAATAAAAAGTCCTTACAGGAAACCAAACCAAGGACCAAACCAAGAAATGACAGGAAATCAACCTGGTTTCAAACCATGAACCCAAAGAAGACCAAATCAAGAACCAAACCAAGTACCCAAAGGGAGCTACACCATGAACCACATCAAGAACCAAACCAAGTACCTAAACAGGACCCAAATCAAATACCCACAGGGGACAAAACTGAGAACCAAAACCAAACCAAGAATGTAAAGGGAACCAAACCAGGAATTCAACCTAGAACCAAACAGAGAACTTACAGGGAACCAAACGAAGAACCTACTTGTCCCTACTAAAGCCAAGCATTGTCAGCTGATTATGTGTCTACCTGATAGCAGTTATGTGTTTTTCTGTCATTGATTTTTCACACATCTCTATGTTGTGAGAATTTATGAATATATTATGGTTGTGCTTTACAATGTAGAGATAGGTCACTCCTGTATATTGCAACTACGCTTTACTGGGTCACTACACTGTGGTATCTTAATGTTGCAGCCTCTCATTTCTGTCCACTTGTTACCATTTAACTGTCTGTCGACGACGCAGCATGAAAGAAATTATGCATTTAGATTAAACTTTTATTGGACCTGCATCATTGAGACCCTGTCTGTGCAGCAAGAGCAGGTCTCTGTGATCTTAAGTAGGTCAGAGTCTGATGCAGCTGACTGCAAGATACTAACTGTCCAATTACTGCACAGTGTACTTTGTAACAGAAAACACACATTTAGAAACACACACAGAAACACAGACAAAGACACATTCAGTAACACACACACGTACACACTCCGAAACATGTACACATATACAAACATAGACAGAAATAGGCAGTCAGTATAAGGTAAGGTAACTATAAGGTTAAGCATGTATGTGTTGGTGTGTGCGTGTGACTGTGTGTGTGTTTGTTGTCAGTAGAAAGTCATTTTTGTACCTTCTGATCAGCAAAAGGAGGGGCAGTGTCCCAAAATAGAACCAGCTAATAAATATTTTAGTTACTGAGGCTGAGGAGGAGGAGAAGGAGGAGGAGAAGAGTAGGGCAAAGAGGAGGAGAAGGAGGAGGAAAGGAAGGAGGAGGACAAAGAGAAGACAGAGAGGAGTAAGATAAGGAAGAGATGAAGAAGGATAAAGAGGAAGAGGAGTGGAGGGAAGAGGATAAGAAGAAGGAGGAGGAGTACAGACAATCTTGACATCAAGCGGAACAGAAAAATTGCTGATGAGGCAGAAAAAGTTTCATCAAAATTTATTTATTCTCCAGTTTAAATAAAACAACAAAGTCAACAAAGACTGTGTTTGAAATGCACACACACACACACACACACACACACACACACACACACACACACACACACACACACACACACACACCACCTGAATCTGCACCTCAAGCACTTCAGATCCAAAACCAACCTTAAGTTTTGTGTTTGTAAAAGTTTCCTTTTTTAGAACAGTAGAAGGACAGAGCCAGAACTAAAGAAGAAAGTGTGACAGAGAGGAGGAAATAATAGAAAGAGAGAGAGAGAGAGTGATACAGTTGGGAGGGCAAAAAAGACAGAGAGGAGAGGAAAAAATATGAGCAGCAGAGGCAGGAAACAGACAGAGCAACTTGAGAGCAGAAAAACAGAGAGGAAGAGTGATGTCATTGAACTGCTGCAGGACACACCCACTTTAATGACATCACATATACACAGTATTGATCTTTTCCAGGAAGTGCAGTCAGCGGTCAGTCTGATAATAAGATATTTATGACTGACAGTAAATACCTCCTGACATCCATCAGCTGACCATCAGCTGAGCATCTTCATCCTTTTTCTCCTTCCTGTGGTCATTACTCTCCCCCTGTTCTTGGTTATTTTCATCATACACTTATTTTCTTCATCCTCACTTTGTCATTTCATATTCTCACCTGGTCATCAGTCATAGTTTCCTTCTTTGTTTGTGTCTGATCCTCAGTCTGCAGTGATTCAGTGATTCTCTCCCTCCTGAATGAACTCTCTGCTGCTCAGAGTGAACAGAGACAAACCTCAGGGATGATGTGATGATGCCAAACTCACAGTCAGATTCAACCATCACTGGTGGACTTAAACACACACTCATATAAACAAAACTCTGTGTGTGTGTGTGTGTGTGTGTGTGTGTGTGTGTGTGTGTGTGTGTGTGTGTGTATACGCCTGTGTGTGTGTGTGTACGCCCGTGTGTGTGAGAGAGAGACACACAGAGAGAGGATGACCTCTGAGCTGCAGCATGATGGAGATCATTAGAGACACAGAGAGCTCCTACTAATGGACCTGAGCTCTCAGGAGAAAAGAGGAGTGTGAGTGTGTGTGTGTGTGTGTGTGTATCTATCAGTCTGTCTGTCTATGGTCTCTGTGTTTGTCTGCAGTCACAGGTGATAATCTGAATTCACAAGTGAGAATATAAAGTGATAACCTCAAGTCCCAGGTGTTAATCTGAACTCATAGATGATAATCTCAAATCCAAGATGATAACATGCAGGCTATAATCTGAAGTCACAGGTGATAATCTGCATTTAAAGGTTATGACATGTTAAACTGATTGTTTGCAGGCGGGGATCACGCTTGTTAATCCAGTTAAATACTTGTTTCATTTACACTGCAGTTGTTTAGATGTCTGAGAGTGTGGGGACAGAGAGAGCTGCAGATGTGGTCATTTGATCTGACTTGTCCTCTCCTCTAACAATTCTTCATTTCATAATTTAGACCTGGTTTTACAACAACTTTGGCACCTCAAGATTCAGTCCCACTATCTGAACTAAAGGTCATGTGAATACAAAGGGAGAAGAAGAAGAAGAAGAAGAAGAAGAAGAAGAAGAAGAAGAAGAAGACGAAGAAGAAGAAGAAGAAGAAGAAGAAGAAGAAGAGGGAAGAGTAGAAAGTGTGTTTCTGTGTTCAGACTGAGGCAGAGGGCGGGTTAATCACATTACTTCTCTGTCCTCTCAGACAAACGGTCTCTGTCTGTCTGTAATATGATCTATCTAAAAGTAATGTAATAACACTGTGAAGCAGATACAGCAGGTTTTCCTATCGTGTTCAGAGTGAGAAAAACACCAAACCAGATTTAGATTTAGATCATATTAACAGCTACAGTATGACATCAATACGAAACAAAAGTACATATAGATACCAACAAAACTAAAAAACAATCAAACATCAAAACAACCATGGACCAACTAATTGGTACGACAATCAGGCCCAATCTCTCCCTGTAGTTGTGGTTCAACACCTCACACCTGGCAGATGAAGATTTTTTTTATATACTGTATATATCTTTCATTGACGTATCTGACCAGAAACAAGCGGCTGCTGGAGGAGAGTGGGTGAGTTGTGCTTGGTCTCTTTGCTAAAGAAACCAAGCAAAGTTAAAAAGATGTTTGGTGGTTAGTGCTATGGCTGGGACCATATATGTACTGTTGATGAAGTTAGCTGCTGTTCTGAGCCTTATTTGTGGCTATGGAGTGGCTTTTTGGTTGAGGTTTGCCTGTGGAGACGTAGACTGCTGTGTATTGCTGTCTGCAGTCGTTGATGAAGTTGGCATAACTAGAGAGGCAAACAGTCGACAACATTCATCTCTTGAGCGGATGTCTAACTTGGTGTTACCGCATGTTTGACCATAACTTAAATTTATGCCGGAATATCCCTTTAAGAAGAAATACCATTTATGTCCCCCCCAGTTAAAAACCATGTTTTCTTAATACTCAAACATAGCAGTAACTCTGACAACCTAACTGAATAACCGGAAAAACCATATCACCTAGCAAATTTACCACACTATAGCATAATCCAGATGTCATCATCCAGAACAAACCAGTCAAATTCGGCAACTGTAAACACGTGGAACACACACAACAATTCACTCACTTTAAAAAGTCTTTAAAAAGAAAGACATGATATTGGTAGTAGTAGCAGCTTTTACAATACACACAACTAGAACGTTGTCTTGGGAAAAAAGCCTGAAAGATAACACTCCATCAGCCCCACTAACACCACCACCATCACAACCTCCCCCAACATCATCATCATCATCATCTTCACCATTGTTAGTAACATCATCCTCAATACCAGCTTCAGAACTATTAGCATCACAATTACTGTCATTACCATCATCATCATCATCATCACCATCATCATCATCATCATCATCATCATCATCACCATCATCATCATCATCATCATCATCATCATCACCATCATCATCATCATCATCATCATCATCATCATCATCATCACCATCTTCACCATTGTTATTAACATCATCCTCATACCAGCTTCAGAACTATTAGCATCACAATTACTGTCATTACCATCATCATCATCATCATCATCATCATCATCATCATCATCATCATCATCATCATCATCATCATCATCATCATCACCATCATCATCATCATCATCATCATCATCATCATCATCAGCAGCATCACCTTCATCCTACTTTCATTATCATTATCACTTTCACCCTGTGCTTAGTTTTTCAAAGCTGGGCCCAAAAGAGTCTCAGAAGTAGCAGGGGACTGTTAAGAACAAAGTGGTTGTTTTACCCATTCTACCTCTGGGGATTATTGAGGGGAAGAGTTTATTTTTATTCAAATGTGCATTTAGCCATTGAGCACTGCTGCTTTGCTTAGGATAGGAAATGATGAGGTTGACTTATAACAGCCTTGAAAACAGAGAGACAGAAATGAAGCAGACAAAGTGAGACAGAAAGAAAGAAAGAATGGACAGACCTCAGAGATACAAAGACAAGGTGAAAAAAATGTATGGAAGAAAAGAGCAGATATGAACAAAATACGAAAAGTATGGATGGAATAAAACACTGGAGGACAGAAAAGAGGACTGAAGATGCACAAATAGAGACAGACAGAGAGAAAGACAAGTCAGATGCAGAGAGACAGGGATGGACAGAGACAGGGTCTGAATAATAGTTTAGGTTTGTTTGCTGTAATAAAAGCTGACCTGAATCAGTAAGGAAGAAAAGAAAGGAGACAGAGAGAGGAAATAAAGACATACTATTATTTTTTTAAAATGATGAGAGGACACACTCATAAGGATCAGTGACCTAAACTGAACAATGACCCTGATACCAAAGAGAGAATCAGAGCAAGCTTTGCTCACTGTGTACGATTAAACTCACTGTGTATGATCAAAACTACTGTGTCGGCTTTGCTGCTGCTCCCCCTGCCTTGGCTTTACACGTTCGCATACTCATAAAACAGAGGGCAGGTGCTCTCCCTGCTGCAGGCTTTGGGATTCCATGTCAGCTTATGGACGGGCAGGAAGCCCTCAGAACAGAAACATACCCCCAAATACAGCTAATACACACAAGTAATGAACTCTTTTAAAGGAAAGTGGTCCTGACTGAACTTTGATCTGTAAAAAAAAATATGTTGATTATAAAATTTTTTATCTTTTATGCATTTATCCTCAGGAAACATTGAGTTACATGTTTGAAAGGGTCAACACAGAGTCTGTGAGCCTCTGACGGACAAAGCAGTACAGCCTGATTTGGTTATGCTAAATGTGACCACTGATTTGTTTCTTTCTCTCTCTCTCTCTCTCTCTCTCTCTGTGTGTGTGTGTGTGTGTGTGTGTGTAGCTTAAATAAATCAGTGATAACAGGTGTGACAGAGGCGGCTCCTCCTCATCCTGCTGAGTGACTCAGGCATGCTGTTCTTAACTTGTGTTCTATACATATAGTTGTTTTGTAGTCGTGTAGTTGTATAGTTGTTGAACAGGAGTTGTGTAGTTGTACGTCTGTCGCCGTAAAAAACAGAATTATTTATTTTTTCTTTAAAAGAAAACTCACCTCAGGTTTTACTGTGAGCTTCTCCTGCAGGATTATAGCTGACACACACACACACACACACACACACACACACACACACACACACACACACATGAACATCTGTGAGTAGGAGGAAGCAGCCATATGCCTCTAAAAGGGTGGAGAATAGAGGATGGAGGGGTGGAGGAGGTCCCAGGGATGGACACAGTGGATCTATGTGAGACCCCCCCCCCCCCCCCCACACACACACACACACACACACACACACACACACACACACACACTCACACACACGTTGCCCTGTGTGGTTCTTGTGTTATATGTGTGTATGTGATCAAAGCTGACATGATTCTGAGTGTGTGTTTGTTTCTTCAAAGTGAAACTGATCTTAAACACACACTCAAAAACACAAATACAGAGCATCATGGGTAAACATCACACACTCATACTCACACACTCATACTCACACACACACACACACACTCAGAAACGAGTCTGATATGATCGCATACTGAGGGTGTTCTTACCGAGATGAAGAGGAGGAGTAGACGGCGAGGAGGAAGAGGAAGGAGGAATTATAGATCCTGAGTTTAAGTCTGCATCATCTGCTGGAGAGGAAGAGGAGGAAGAGGAAAGAGGAGGCACTGCTGCTGCTGCTGCTGCGAGGATATAACCCGACTGTCAGTGACAACAACCACAGAGGAGGAGACAGGAGAGGAGGGGGAGGGTTATCCCATCCAATCAGACAGAGAGGGAGTGATTGTTTCAGTAAGGCACACAGACTGTGAGAAGGGTATCTGAACTTCTGTTTTATTTAGGAGAGGGTTGATTAAAATATTCAGTGTTTAAGATTTTCTGCAGGCTGCTTCTGTTTTGAAGGGGAATGATTCAAATATAAAGCATTTGAGATGTTTTGTAGACATGTTTTTTTTTATTTTGAAGGGGATGGTTAGAACATAAAGTGTTAAAGTTTCTTTGCATGTTGATATTGATGACCACGGTGTATTGAGTGTTGAACACTGTTTAATGAACAGATGAGATTTTTTTCGCAGCTTTGCCTTCAAAAACTCGGAATAATATCTGTTCACCTGCTGCCACCTGGTGCAGCCCAGAGGTTACTACACGAGACTCTCTGAGCCGGTCCACGAAAACCAAATCTGTTCAAGTTTATATGTCCAGATTATCTTTAACCTTTCTCCTGTGTTAGCTTTTACTACACAATCACTTTGTTAAGGGTCGGTTTCAACCCGTGTCTTAAATCAGCTGTAAATTACACTAAAAAATATTCTCTATCATCCAATTTGGTTCTCATCTCCAGGTTACCTTGTTGGGCTTCATTATCCATGAAAATATTGCTTATGATATTTTTGTAGTGAGCCTCTGGGCCTGTTTTTTTGTCAGTATACCCCTCACACAGAGGTAAACTGAATTGATCTCACATGTCTGGACATGCCTGATATTGTTTTTTAACAATATCAGGCAATAACATGGCAAAATGAGAATTTCCTAAATCTCACATGATCGGAAGATGATCTGACTGTCAGTGTGGTGCCTGACAGTGCGCATATGATTTTAAGTTTTGTTCTAATTATTAGATATTGAGCTAACCATGTCGACAGCAACCCTAACACGAGAAGTGCCATAATTTTAATAAGAGCGTTTTATAGTCAATTTAATTTTTCTATTTTTATTTTGTTGAAAAGTGTTGATGCAAAAAAAGCTAATTTTAGTGGTCCTTTTAAGCATTCAAAACAAAAATGGGTTGGTGCTGAACCTAACACAGGAGGAGGGTTAAATGTTCCCCTTTGTACAGTCACACAGTCTTCAAGTTTAGACCCCGTGTAACATTGTAACAAAATTTTCAAAGTACATTTTGCTCCACAAAATTCTGAGGAACAAGAATCATCTAAATAGACAACAACTGCACCTCAAATAAATCAAAGATTAAGACAAAGTATATACGCCTGTCATGTGAGGGTTCATGGGCTTCAGCTCTGACTGTGGACAAGCGTCTTGTCATTAGTTACAACTAATGTTTCACACACCTCCTTATGAGTGAAAGCTGAGGTTCTCCTGAGAGCAATTGTTCAATTTAGTAGACATGTTCAGGAATGTATGAAATCAGCTTGACAGATTTTGACAACTAGTTTAACAATTTTGTATGTAATGACTCAAGCAATGAAATGAGGACTATTAGTTTTATAGGGGATGACTATTCAGCATTCATAAGTGTGTTTCATTTTAAATGACAGGACATAAGCAATTGACAGTTATGAAACAGCAGATAATTGTATGAAAGTAACAGAAACATGTCCAAGAGCATTTGAATTTGTTAAGAGGGATGAGAAACTGCTACAATGATGTGCACAAATGACTCAATGTTGTGGAGGTTGAACTAGTAGTTGTGAGAACTTTCATTCTGATCTGATAAATGCACCAAAGCGACAGAGAAAAACTATAAAGTAACCTAAAATGTTCTGAAGTTACCTTGAATATGATAAAATAACCTTTAAACATTTAGCTGATAGTAATGTGAGATTTCACATTTTTTTAATGACTAAAACCAGGAGACTATGTAAGAAGTCTATATAAAACCACAACTCAGCAAGGGAAAAAAAAAACCAGTTAATCTCAAACTGTGAGTTTGTTGTAGCTCCCTGAATGTCCTGCAGAGAGCGCCCTCTGACCACAAAAACACCTGGAGAACTGACTGACTTCAGACTGCAGATGAAGAGACTATAAATGAAAGTATGAAGATAAAACAATTTGCAAGAAGACTCGTATTTCTGTAACAACAGTTAATAATATTTCCACATACTGTACTCCTAAATACATAAACTCACAACATGATCAGGTGCAGTGATCCACACGTTTGTCTTTCGCTCGGTTCATCAAACATGTCTGTTGTCTTTCTCCTCCTACGTAATATCAATAACTGTGATGGGCCTGATGTTTGTGCTTATTCAAAGAGGAGGACTGCAGTGCACGTGTCAGAGCAGGAGAATCTGAAGCCGAGGAGGAGAAGAGTAGAGGAACAGCTGTAATTAGTTTAAGTGTTTTACGTTAATGTGAGGAGACCAGCTGATATAACTCTGATCTGTTTTTATGCGCCGTCTCTCTGCATCAACAGTGTAGGTCTACTGAAGCTATTTCAGTGCACTCCATGACAGTGTTTTAGAACTAAGTCATTTGTTTTCTACACATTTGGATGATCCCACAGAGAAAGTCAGTGGTAAGGGGTCAAAGGCCACCATGTTAGTAATAAACAATACTGTATACATAATTACAACTTGACCTGGACTCTGACACAGGAAGTGAGAAATTTATTTTGTCCATAATCCGATGTAAACAAGTGAGTTTAGTCATTGATCTAAAGTGAACAGGTGTGTTTAATCCTTAATGTACATGGGAGTTTAATGATTATTTTTTATATAAACAGGTGAGATTAGTCTTTAATCCGAGGTAAATTGGTGAGGTTAGTCATTAATCTAATAATGAATAATTCAAATAGCTGAATTCTTCATCAGTTTAGCCTGCACAGTCATCATGAATAGAGAAATGATCCATACAAACTACAATTTTAACATCTAACGGAAAATTGTCCTTGCACCTCTCTTCACCCTCTGCCTTTTCTTTCTTTATGTCTCTGTAACTGTGTATCTCTCTGTCTCCATCCTCCATCCTCAGTAATCTGGATGTTTGCAGTCAGTCGGATGGAGGACAGAGTTCTTGTGTTAAAAGGTCAGAGAAACAACAGCGATCATTGTCGAAGTTTCCAGACTCTGCAGCACACACAGACTCAGCAGAGCTGAGTGGGCTCCACGGGCTGCAGACTGATGCATGCTAGGAGTTTATGAGAGGCTGGATAAGGGACTGTTTGTGTTAGGGCCGATTTTTGGTAGATTACCTCATAGTTCATCTTCGTCCTTTATAGGAGCAGATTGGGTTGGCAGGACAGACAGGCTTGTAGTGTTTTATAGCAACACAGTCTCACTCCAAAACGTGCAACACCTACAGTATGCTGATCCACTGTGCAAAACGTAGTCATTTCAGAAAAACGGCTCTAAAATTGTGACATTGGTACGTCAGTGGAAATTGCAATATTTTAAGATAGCTCAAGGCTTTATCTTCGTTTTGATAACTTTTCTAGCGAAAAATGTACAGTTTGTTTTTATAGTATCTGTTTGGGTTATCTTAATGCTCCCTGTTTTTTTGTTTTTGGTTTTTTTAATTTCGTTTTGGCGTACATTCTTTCAGTTTTCTTATCAAAATTGTTTCCACTACGTTTGTATTGTTGCTACGGCGGTAGCTATATATGCTATCAACAACGAAAATGAAAATTTAGCAATATAGGAATTTTCACTGAAAATAGAAGGGGTGTCCTCCATGTTTTTTGCTAATGCTGTCAGAAATCCAGCAGTTACGTAAGCTGAAGTCTGCTGGCAGAAAAGACTGGGCAGATGAAAAGTACCCATGTCACAATTTCAGAGTCGTTTTTGTGAAATGACTCCGTTTTTGTGTTGTGTACAATGTAGATATTGCACATTTTTGAGTGTGACTACACTGTTTATAGTTACTGTGCTGAAGAACTTTAGCACTACTGTGTCTTTAGTCTCAAGATATGAAAGCAGATCCAGGTGATACTGTTTAAAGACAATTATCTTAAATACCACAATACACTGATTAAACACATCTCTGATCTCAAAGATCTCTAAACCTAGTGTTTGCAGCTTTGATTGATTGATTTCAGTCACTTTAAACAGAAAAGTATATAAATATACATACAGTATGTATACATATGACTATAAACATTGAGAAACCTTGTTTCTGTCCACTGATAAGTATGTTTTTGGTAAACTGTAGAGATCTCTGCAGTCAAGTTAAGCTTATTTCAGCAGATACTTGTCTGTTTTACTCTTGTTAATGGGAAGCAGACTTCAGATGTATGAATTATGAAGAAACTCTCCAGTATAAAGATAAATATATAAATTTTTGCAGAGGAAAACTGCTGTCTCAGGACTGTGCATGTTCCTCTGTCAGCATGTTTTTTCTCCGTCAAGTTTTTGGGAGTTTCTGTAAATATATTGCTAAAAAATTATATCCAAATGAACTTGGGGGTTTATTTCTATAACTAGGCCTGACATCTTGACATGTTGAGTGAGTGAAAGTAAATCTGATCCTTTCTTTTTTTAGAGTTAGAACTCAAACAGCTCTACAGACAGCAGAGTGTATCGATGTCATTAAATCAAAGCTGAGCCTGAGGCTGCAGTTTGCCCTCCTGACATCAGGTCAGATCTCAAACATTCATCACCAAACCACCAGTGAGCTCAAAGGACCCTGAGAAATCATACATCACACTAAAGACTGAAAGACTCAGAAAAAGACAGACTGAACACAATATAAACATGCAAACCTCAAACAACTCACTGAAAATCCTGACACCAAGCAGGACAGAGGAATTTAGATATCGAGTTAATTTAAATGGAGAATATAGAAGGAGTAAAAACGTATAACTACCTCCACACCTCAACGCAACCACACCCCCGTATCTCCACACCTCAACACCACCACACCTCCATAACCTCCACAGCCTCATACCTTTACACCTTCATACCTCAAAGCCTCCACACACCGACATCACCATAGCTCCATAACTCAATTCCTCCATAACTCTACACATCAATATCCCTGCACCACCACACCAACATTCCTTCACACCTTATATCTCCACAGAATTATACCTTCATAGCTCCACACCTCCATAGCTCCATACTTCTACACCTTTATACCTCCACACACTTATAACTCCAGACCTCCATACTTCCACTGCCTCATACCTTTGCAACTTCATATGTCCACACCTTGACACCTCAGGACCCCCACATCATCATATCTCCAGCCTCTGTGCATGTATACCCTCTAAGGAACAGCAGAGACAGAAACAGACTGAACGTAGTGAATTAAACATCAACCTGACACATCCATTTTCTTGAGTGTGCAGCAAGTCACACACACGCACGCACACACACACGCACACACAGTGTTTTCCAGGTGTGAAAGAGAGTCCAGGTGTTAATAAAACTGTGCAAATGTCAGTCTATAAAAAATTCAATGGCTCACATCAAGTACACAAACATATACCCTCATACTTTCTCATATGATCTTATTGATCTCAGATTATCTCCTTGACTCCAACATACTCTCCTATTTTTTCATACACCCTTTAGTATCATAACATTTACAATCATATTACCTCTTTTTTTCTTATATTCCCTCATGAACTCTCACCGCGCCTCAAACTCTGATAAACTTTTGCCTGAATGAGCTATTCTCATTGGCTGCTTTCAGGTATGACACTTAAAAAAAAAAAAATCATAAAGTCGGTGACATATCTGTCAGGAAGCAGACTTATGACGTTATTTATAGTGCCATCCAACAAGCTCAACATCAAGATCTGTATATAATATATATGCAGGTCTGTCAGGAGGAGAGCTCACTAACAGAGATGCTAACAGCTCATCTCTAATCAGACCTATAGAAAAAGTAGATATAAGAGTGTTTGACTATCATCACAGATGAATGTTTAATGGTCAGACTGATAATAATAAAGGCATATATTCATGACTAATGAGAAGAATAAAGTGATGTTTGCAGCTGCAGCTTCTTCTTAATAAATTCAGCCCCCCAGAGAGGGGAGTTGAACTTTCTTCTGAACTCTGCTTACAGCTCATCAGCTCATTGACCGCTCGTTGGTTTAAAGCTGCAGAGAGGAGCTCTGTGATTGGTCAATACTTTAACTCTATTGGACAACGCTTGCTGATGCTGAGTTTTTAAAACTTACAATTATCAAAGAGCAGCTTTTTCTCTGTTAAACTAAATGTTTGCTCTCTCCTGTCCTCAGTTTACCTTCATTTACCTCCATTGTTTTTTTTTTAATTTCAGTTTGTGTGGAGTCTCTGCAGAACTTTAACAACTCTTACTTGACACAGAGTGAAAAAAAACATGACGTTTAATAAAAAAAAGTAAAAACATGAGATGAAATAAAGCACATGTGTTGTTTGTACACTGCAGACTGAAGCACATTATAAATAAAATGTATTATTATTATTACTATTATTATTATTATTATTATTATTATTATTATTATTATCATTATTCAGACTGATGTTAAAGAAATGAAAATCCGCTCCTCTTGGTTGCACTGTTAGGGTGAATTTTATGAGCTCTGAATTTAGAGTCAAAGTTGAATAAATGGGAATAATAAGTGTGAAGCTCTCTGCAGGGTCATAAAGAGGACTTCTGTGTGTGCATGTGTGTGTGTGTGTGTGTGTGTGTGTGTGTGTGTGTGTGTGTGTGTGTGTGTGTGTACAACAGTAAAATCAGACTAACCCCTCACTCTCTCATGGATCATTTAAGACGCTGCTTCAGAGACAGAGAGAGCAGGAGGACAGTAACACTGAATTGATGTCTCTTCACGATCTCATACACACACACACACACACACACACACACACACACACACACACACACACACACACACACACACACACACAGAGCATTTCTGAAGACAGGCACAGAGCCATAAAGGCACTGAGCATGCTCCAGAGGGTCAGAGGTCGGCTCAGTTTAATGCAGAACAGGAAACGATTTATTGGGATAAAACTGGACCACAGGCTGTCAGAGCAGTAAATATCTCTGACTGAATTATTCAAGAAGTCACATCTTTAAAATTTAAACGTGTCACAGTCACGTTTGGTCAGAGGCAGCAGATTAAACCTCCTTATTTTCACTGTGAAACACAGAATTACAGATCAGACTGAACCTAATGCTGTTGTTTCAGCTCCACATGGAGGATATACAGTATACAGACTGATGCGAGACACACAAACAAACTAATAGACACATGACTGACTAACTCGCTCACTGACTGACTGACTGGGCAGATATGTGAATAACTTAGAGTGTGATTTTTTTATTTCTAAAATAATTCAACCCTCTTGTATTTGAGGAAATGTTCTCTTTCTGGTCCAAAGACACAGGATTAAATGAATCTTCTGGTAAGAGATTACAGAGTGACCCACCAAGGGATTCATCCAAACCACCTGTTTTTCTTATTAATTGATTTGAAGAGCAGAGACAGAGTTGTTAATTACCTATAGACCTGAATCCATTACTAGATTTACTGTTTTCACATGGAAACCCAATAAAAGGTCGGAGGCCGAAGCACAAACATATGCACACAAACGCATTCACATACACACTCTCTCTCTGCTGCTGTTGTTATCCTTTATCGTTCTCAGTCTGACCTCACTTTATTTCTGCTGGTCACTGAGTCTCTGCTTCAGTTCCCCATCACCCGTCTCCCTCAGACTCTATTTCCTGTGTTCACTCTCAGGTCACTCGTCTCTTTCTCCTCATGAGTCACATGACTCCACCTCGACCATCCAGAACACAAAACAACAGAGGACCCCCCCCCACACACACACACACACATACACACATACACATACACACACTCATCCTCTCCTCCTCCATCTGCAGTCGTGTAGGAAACATCTTTTTTCAGGTGTCTGTGGTTGTTCAGAGGGTCTGGGCGGTGGTCCTGAGAGCTTTGCCTCCAAATGTACAGATTCTGGTGTTTAGGATGAAGAACAGGCCAGTGTTAGAAGACTGAAGATAAGGGAAAGGAGTCTCCAGAGGGCTAATGAGCGGTGAGGGTGTGGAGGGGTTTGTCAGAAGTAGTTTTTTGTATTTGATCCGGGATTTTATTGGGAGCCAGCAGAGGGGGTTAAGGTGCTGGTTTGGTTTGGTGCAGAGGTATTGCTGGGTGTCATCTGTGTAGGATTGGAAGTTGAGACTGTGTTGGCGGATGATCTGTCCTAGGGGCAGCATGTAGATTACAAAGAGAAGGGGTTCAAACACAGAGCCCAGATGTACACCATGGCCGACTGGGGCCGAGAAGGAGTGGGAGTCCCTGAACACGACAGACTGTTTTCTGTTTGATTGGACTGAAACCAGGAGACAGCAGGCTCTGTGATGCTGGGATGGTAGGATGGGCGGTGGAAGTGGACTGGATTGGAGATTGTGTTTGAGGCTGCAGAGAGATGAATTATATACACATGTACTCATAAAGAGCTAGCTGGAGGTCTTTCTCTGAAACATTCACAATACTGTAGAAAACAATTTGTTCACCCGCCGACTGTTATTATTCTGATTGGCACGTGTGAAGATGCTGCTCTTCAAATATTATCCTGTTCACATGTTCCAGTAAACAATGAAGAGTAAAACATTTCTAGACACTGTTATTTATGAATTCTGTTTAATATATTTTTTGTATATTTTCTGTTTTTTTATATTTTTTATATGTGGGTTAAAGGGATATTCCAGCGTAAAATTAAGTTAGGGTCAAACACATCGTAAACATCTACCTGTATCGTAAACAAGCGGCTGCTGGAAGAGAGTGGGTTAGTTGTGTTTAGTCTGTTTGCTAAAGAAATCAGGCAAAGCTGAAAAGATGTTTGGTGGCTAGTGCTGTGGCTGGGACCCTATATGTACTGTTGATGAAGTTAGGTGCTCTTCTGAGCATTATTTGTGGCTATAAAGGGACTTTTTGGTTGAGCGCTTGGCTCCTGGGACCGCTGTGTATTGCTATCGTGCGGTCGTTACTAAAGTTGGTTTAACTAGAGAAACAAGCGGATCGGCAACATTCATCTCTCAAGGGGGTGTCTTACTCTGCGTTTAGGTGTGTTTGACCTCAAATTAATTTTACGCTGAAATATCCCTTTAAATCCTTGTCTTTCACTGTCATCCCCTCTAATCCATCATCAGGGCTAATATAGAGTTCTTATAAAGTTAAAGACAGAAATGTTACCTTGCTAGGTCTAACCCTAACCCTGCTGTTTATTTTTTTTAATTCTGGTTTATTTCAGTGTTGATCATTTATTTTGGTGAAACAGTCAGAAACCAAACTCTCCATCTGCTGTCAACATGTCACAACACTATAATGAAATACATTTCTTTATCGTGACGGTGCTGCGTGACTCGCCCCCATCAGTATTCCCTCCCGACCACAGAGATTGGATGATTTATAGCATCAGTCTGTCATATAACTAACCCACAGTCTGATTTATTACCACCGGTTGGAAACTAAACTCACTCAGGGATCAAACTTAATGTCTTTGTTTTAATCAGTCAGCTGAGTTTTTCCTCTCAAAGTTTATAAAGTTCTGTTCTAATAAATATGTTCAATCTGACAGTTTACTTTTTAACGAAATAGTGTCATTGTGTTGTTTTGTAGATGTGAATAAAGTTTGGATTGTGTTTCTCCTGTGCCACTGATTTTCATGTGATTTCCTCCTCAGCTTCAGAAACGCTTCAAGTCCTCCTCACTTCTCTAAACAGTTTTCCACTTTAGGAGCTCCTAATTGACTTTAATTATCTCTAAATAACTCTATCTTTACAACGATCCAGCCTGAAACTTGGCCGCCTTTTTTCGTCCCGAAGCGTTTAGTGTAAACTTCGGCCTCTGACCGTACAGCGTCAGAGCTGGACACAGAGCACGTTCAAAGAGAGCAGTAGATGTTAATCTGTGAGGAAATAAACCCTCTGAACTTTAAAGTCAAACGACTTAAACTATCAGGCTGTGAAATCTACTGCTTATTACTAGACGTCCTCCTCTTTCTTTGTAGAAATTAGAAAGCAGATGAGTTGGCTGATAACTTTCCAGTTTTGATGTTTGGAGAAAAGCTGCTGCTAATCCTCAAACACTCAGATTAAATCTAATCTTTCAGACTAGGAGCGACCTCAGAAACATCGTCTGAACAAAGAGCTCTAACAGTGAGGACTGCTGAACTCTAACAGAGTTTAACCAGCAGATACTGAATGTTAAAGAAGCACAGTGATCAAACATGAGAGGATAATCTCCTAATCTGAAAACCAGAGTTCATTACACTCACCACACTGTTAAATATTAGGACAGAAGTTCAACTGTTCAGGGTTTATCTGAGAGGAGGCGGAGGAAACAACTGACCAGATGAGTTTGTGTTGGACACTGACAGCTGAAGAGCACTGGCCAGTTATGAAGAACCATAAACAAAGTTGACCCTCTCCACTCATGGTCATTTAACACTAATAAACACTTGACTCCTCACTCACAAAGCTCTGAGCAGAGAAACCTGTACCTGTCTGCTGACCTGAAGTACTTGGACATGTTCACAGCAAAGTCAGAGTGAAGTATGATCATCCATCAGGGATCATACTGCAGACACTATAGACTGTTTACCTGCTGCAGGAGGAAGATAAACAGGCTGGATCAGACAACCAGTCTGTATGTCAAACCCCAGCTTCAGTCTGATGTAGTCCACACTGCGTGTCCTCCTGCAGGTAGAGACTCAAGATAGAGACATATGGAGGATGAAGACAGCACCAACAGTGTGATTCACTTATTGAAGTTATTACAGTTACTCATTCAGCAGCAGCAGCAGCAGCAGCTGTGTGACTCCGGTCCTGCAGGCTGAGATTTGCTGGATGTCTCACTTTATACAGTGGGTCATACACATGAACACAGCCTGAAACACACACTAACACACACTTATGGACAATCCCACACACACAATCTATAAAGTCTTTTCATGTGTATCAGCAGCTTCTTTTTTTTTTACACTGATTCATAAACAGGAAAAATACTGACTGACCTCTGACCTTATGTAACTCCAACATACAAATAAACTCAGTTTTTATTTTCTTGTTCTCTCTCTCTCTCTCTCTCTCTCTCTCTCTCTCTCTCTCTCTGTATTTCTCCCCAACCCAGCAGCGGCCTGGTGGCTGTCTAATATGAGTCTGGTCCTTCCCAAGGTTTCTGCCTGTTAAAAGGAAATTTTCCCTTGCCACTGTTACTCATGTTAGATGAGATGGGCCAAATCTGTCCCATCTCTCAGTTGGGTCTTAATAATTCATCAAACAATGAGCGTGGTCTAGACCTGCTCTTTTTCTTTGGAAAGCGTATTAGGATGGCAACTGAAGTTAATTAAATAAATATAATTGAATTGTTATATTATTTTTCACTTGTTCTATTAATTTTAATGTGTCACAGTTACTGTCAGGGCATTGTTCAGGAGGAGCTGGTAGTCAGAGGTCAAAGGTCAGGGTGTTTTTGGTGGAAAATTAAAGTTAAACTTATTCCCGCCTGTTCAGAGTCTCTGAAAACTCTTCTTTGAGTCACTGACACATTCCCTCTCTCTGTTCCTCTCTCTGCTGCCCTCACGATGTCCCACCTTCTGTTTTAACATTAAATAACTTAAGTTTCTGCAGAGGGAGAAGAGACAGATTTTCTCATAAACCCAACAGGCAGTTTATCCTGATCACAGCAGAATCACATTTGGACTCTGTGACTCTTTGAACAGTAAGAAGCTGCAGAAAATGCCCTCAAACATGATTCAGGTAACTGTTGGACAGCACTGCTATGCAATAGAGATAACCAATGTGGATATAACTAGGCTAACAGGTTTGCATTGTTAGCAGTACAATAGGGGGCGCTGGTGTTAAACTGTGGCCATTACATGGACTAACAACCACTGACCCCTGTATGACATTCAGAGTTTGATTTGAACATGAGAGAATAATCGACATCATCTAAAGCTTTCAGGTGTTAAGTTTATCTGCAGGTTTACTTTACTGTTTGACTGTGTTTACACCAGCTCTCACAGACTCTAACCTCTGTGTATACTCAATGATCAGGTTATGATATCTAATAATAACCAGGCAGTTTCAGTGTGTTTAGTGTCAGACAGGAGTCCTCTCAGCTCTGAGATATTTACTCTCTGAGTCTGAGAGTATCAGGGACACTCTGAGAGCTAATTTGACTGAAAATAAACCTCCACTGTAGAGTTTTATTTTTAAAATAAATCAACAAACTGTAAATAAATCAGCGCAGACAAGCCTCTCCTCTCCGTCAGCAGCTTTCTGACAGGACCATTCATGTTTTTATCAAACACTCGTCTGCTCTTTCCCACGCCACATAGAGAAAAGAAACAAATAAATGATGAAAAATAAACTTTATTTTGAAAGAAACAAATGTATTTTTAGCAGCAGCCTGGTTCCACATGTTCTTCCTCTTTGCTTTATCAATAAATATAGTTTACATTTCATATTTCTCTTCTGCGTGTCAGATTATTATAAATATCACTGCTGGATCATCTTTAACTTTGGTGTTCTCTCCTCTGAAAATAAGTATTTAACCAGCTCCATAAAACAGGCAGATACTGAGCCTGGTCAGCTGGTGACCTTAATGAGTTCATGATCTTGCTCTGCTCTGCTAGTTGGTTTAGTAAGCTCATAGGTTAGTTAGTCTTGCCCTCTCCTGTCTCCTCATCATCCATCTCCACTTCACCTTCATCGTTCTTCACTTGCTCAACTTCCTTTAACATCTCCAAGCCTTTTATTCTTCAGCTCCACTTTTTGTGTCACCCTTCCATCGGTTCGCTCTCTTCAACTTCACCTTTGAAACTTCTTCACTGCATTGAGAAATATGTTCCCATGGCCTCCAAAGCACCACACAGGTTCACAACTAATCTTTTACCTAAGTTCACCCGCAGGTCCAGAGTCGTGTTTGAGATCGCTGGAGTTTGCTTTTGTGTTGTCACCTCTGCTCCGTAAGTGTCTGCACAGAGTGTAGCTGCAGAGTTTGGTTTCTCACCCTCCAGACTGGGTTCAGGGTCTGTGCTGTATTGTTTGACTTGTAGAGGCTCAACCTAAGACTGTGGTTAAAGTTCTTTGGGTTTGACAAAGACTGGTTTTTGATTGTGCTACTATCATGGCTGGTCTTTTAAAGTTTACTTCAGGCTTGAGTGGGTCTTTCAGACACTGATTTGGACCTGGTTTATGTGTGTCATTCTTCGGCTGGTCAGCCATGGATTTGTACCTGCGTTTTGTCATGTTTCCAACCCTTTGGCTCTTTGTTTTTGGTACAGATGGTTTGGGAGCTGCACTAGGTACACTGGCACTTGACTCCCAGATGGATGAGATTTTTGACTGAACAATCTTGCCTTTGTACATGCCAAGAGAAGGTTTTGATGATGGCCCAGCAGTGGAAGGCTTTAGAGCTTCTGCATCCATTTTCTTGTTTTTGACAGTGTGATCAGAGGAAGGCCTGGCAGTGTGTTTGACACTGTTTGTCTTTAGTATCCACAGCTAATTTTTGTCTTTTCTCTAGAGTCATTTTAAAAACCTCAGCAGACGTCATCTTCAGCTTTGTTTGTTTTTTCTTGGCCTTGATGAGACAATTTCTGACGAAGGTTTCCTCTTTAGTTTTGCTTGTCAGTTGGAAGAAAGGAGCTGATACTTTTCCCCTTTTGATGAAGCCTTACTACAAATACGGGCTGAACATTTTCCTTGATTTTCATCTGATCGGTTTAGCTCCATGGCAAAGCTTCTGTAAGGTTATTTAATTAACCTGAATAGTCAGTTAGCTTGGTTAGTTAGTTGGCTCGGTCAATGCTTGGACTGGGACCTCCAATAATTTGGGAGTGTTTCTATGAGCTTTGGACAAGCAGCAGGACCGTGGGGACCCTGTAGGAGGTGCTGATGTAGAGTGAGGTAATAGTAGAGGCAATTGAGCAGACAGCAGAAACACAGCCACCCAACGCCAAGTGAACACGTGTGAACCAGGACCAACAGAGTGCAGTCTGACCTCAGAGACAGTGGCTCAGGACAGGACCACAAATCCAGGACTGATCGGAGTCAAAGGACATAAAGAGACAGGGTCTGATCCTTAATAGTGTGTTGAGATCATAGACTGTATACACTATGGACAAGTTGGTTCTGCCTCCCGCCTGTATACGGATTTGAGGCCAAAAAACTCTCAGTATTTCCGGGATTTTTCTTCATTTCCTGAAACCAGCGTTGCCAGTAGCATTGTGCGCATTCGGTGGGAGTGTCGCTGAGAGTCGCTGTGATGACGCTCGGCTCAAACAGCGTATCCCCCGGTTGAGCTACGCAATCCCTGAACGCCAATAGGCTGTATCAGGTGTCAATCATAGAAAACATGAACCCCCAATAACTTTTAAAAATGGAGCTGTACAGAAAAAAAAGAAGACTTGAGCATAAACCAGTCTTACTGTAACTGCATGTCAACATCACAAGCAGGGGGGAGAAAAATGTATGTTCTGTGTAATAAATTTTGAAAGTTTGTCCACAGCTCCATAAGCTTTGCTGGCGGAGGCGGGATTTATGACCTATACTCTAGCCCATCAACAGAGGGTGCTGTTCTCAGAGTGACTTCACCCAGCGAGGAGGCAGACGGCGTCCATTCTATATACAGTCTATGGTTAAGATCCTCAGCAGAATTGAAATAAAACAGTGATCTATTCTTCGCACTGCTAGACGTTATTCAATTCACTGTTTCTCTCCATGTTTCAAAAAGACTGTAATTCTATAAAAACAGTCACAAACACATCAGCTTTGGTTTTGGTTTGGGTGAGGCGTCTTTAAGTGTCACAAACATAATGAAATGTTGAGTTGTTGTCAGAGATCCATAAATATTGTTACTGTAAATAAGTGGGTGGTAATCTCCTGAGATATTCAGCTGATGAAACCTCTAAATGTAGATTTACACCTCAGAGCTGAACTCTAAGCAGAGCTGTCACAGAGACAAGCAGATTTATGGATGACAAACCACCAACTGAATGTGTTGTACATCTGTTATATCTGGAAACACACACACACACACACACACACACACACACACACACACACACACACACACACACACACACACACACACACACACACACACACACACACACAACAAACAGTATGATCCTCATACAGTATCTCTTCTCAGCTCGGGGGCTTTCACAAAGTTTTCTCGTCTTCATATCCTCCTCTGTTGATGGCGTGCTAGCGCTGCCCCTCGCTGACTTTCCTCCCGGCAGGACACGGCCTGGACCCAGCGAGTCTTCAGAACATCCCTGAGAGGCTGAAGAGCAGAATTCTGGGTAATTAGTGCCTGTATATCTGTCAGTGTTTATTAACAGAGCCAGAGGGAAACATGCAGCTGATAGCACCTCTATCTGTCTGTCTGTCTCCCTCTCTCTCTCTCTGTCAGGCAGTCTCAGAGATGAATGAATGATTCATCAGATAAATCAATTCCATCTGGTTTGTGTTGCCTGTAAACTTTAATGAGCTGAGTGGTTTCTGCACAGCAGCAATAGAAGTGTGTCTCTGTGTCCTCTCCTGTCCACTACAGTCTGTGGCCTACAGTGAGCCAGTCCTCATAGAGCCCTGTGTTAAAACTGTTTGGGTTTCTGTAAATCATTTCTCTATTCATGACAACTGAAAAAAGGACTCACCTGTTAACACCTGAAAAAGGATTAAACTCGCCTGTTTTCATCAGTTTAAAGTTGAAATTCACTAATTGACCGACCTCCTTCGTAACCAACAACAACAAACAAAAGAACAACAACAGCAACAAACCAACCAACCAATAAACCATTCAATAAGCCTTATGTCTAATGGTGCGTTCGAGTTACCTCAGAAGTCAGAAATCCGAGCTGGGAATGGCGTCACACCCGAGTCACCAGCATAAGTCGGAAGAAAGCAAAATCTGAGGCGGAAAAAAGATGGCTACATCTACGATAGTTATTTTAGCGCTAGCCTTGTCCTTTCTTATATTCAGACAAGGCAAGAAGGTAAAAAAAGTTTTGGAGATGTAGCCATCTTTTTTCCACCTCTGATTTTGCTTTTTTCCAAGTTATGGTGGTAACTGAAACACTGGTACCTCGGGTGTGACGTCATTCCCAGCTCGGACATTTGACTTCTAAGGAAACTCAAACGCAGCATAACTCACCCATTCTTGAGAGTCGGGACAAAACATGTCCTACATAAAAAAGTCTAATTTATTCAAAACAATTAAGAAATTCTAAATGTTTGACATACTCAAAAAGTTAAATCTAATGGATTTGTGTATACCAATCCTATTTTTTAGCACAGATATTTACTTTTTTGGGGGATATTTGTTTAAATGAAACGTCTGTGGTTAGAAGGTCCATGTTATTGCTTGTGTCCTCAGCAAGAGGTCACAATATTGACCAGCCCCAAAAAACTTTAAAAAACTCTATAATTGTGAAAACATATACATCAAATAAAAATTCAGGGCTATAAATATATAAACAATGAATGGCCTGAACATCAAATAACTTTTTGCCTAAAAATCTGCCTATCAAAGTTGTGTCCTCAGTTTCTGTCAACTCCATCAGATTATTCTATAAACCTCATTAAATCATGCAATATCATGGTCAGCTATATCCCTGGGGACCCCTTTTCATTTCCTGCTTCTGGTGAATGCAACACCACCACACATGGTCTGGTAGGTTTTACAGTTTTTGATATTTTAGAGAAACAATGTCAATATTTTTATGGTCACAGCTGGACCATGTCAACACCGTCTCTCCATTATTATACTTTTTTTTAAACCATAGTGAGTTCAATTAAAGTATTTTAGTGAGATTATCAGGACAGCTAGCAACTGCCAAAAAAGTAGCTAGCTGCACTGTACAATAAATGTTTTGGAGGGAAAATACACGCCCTTACGTCAACTCCGTCAGGCGTCAACTCCGTCAGATTTTGTGTCTGACGGAGTTGACATGTAAGCTGATGGAGTTGACAAATCCAGCTATAACCTCTTAATGTGCTGACATTATGCTATTTTTGAACATGGTTAAGGATAACAATGTTATTCCAGGGTCTTATCTGCACATAAAAGTACATATATAGCATATATTACGTTATTTTACCATATACTTCTGTTTTGTAGAGTAGACCATGGGCAGGCTGTCTGCTTAATTATAACTGTCAAACTTTCCCAACACACACACACACACACACACACACACACACACACACACACACACACACACACACACACACACACACACACACACACACACACACACACACACACACACACCTAATCTCATTGATTGATTGATTAATGTCCAATCCTAAAGGTGCAGTATGTAATTTTCACTACCTAAAATCTACACACTGGCTTCTTATAGAGTGCGCAAGAAGTTCTATGTTGCTCTTTTAAACCCCAGTGTAGGTGGGATACCAGATAGAAGAAAAAGGTTATTATTTTTACATTGTTAACTTGGACCCTCAGACCTTGGGCTCTATTTTTGTGTCCACCGGCGACATGGCGGAGGGTGGTGAACCCCGCGCAGTGGCATTTTCGTCTGGCGGAGCTCAGCGTACAGCCAGTTTGGTATTTTCGTGGACTGAGGTGCACCGAGGTCCGCCAGGCTGGGCGTGGATGTGTGGCAGGGTGAGGTGTCCACAGAATCAGCTGGTGCAGCGACATTTTCGTACTTGTTGCCGGCGTGTAAAGTGCGCTGAAAGCTTGCAGATTCAAACCTGGTCAGCTTTCAGCACAGGTGGATCCGGATGGGCTAGTGGTATTTTGGGAGACCGGTGGCATATCGGCCTCACCAGCAGGTTTCCACAGTGTCAGGAACATTTCCGTGCAATAAATAATCAATAACAACTAATAATCTGTGTCAGCACATACATTTAGATCTATATCGATGTATTCTGATCTATATCTGATCTGATGAGCGCATTTGGCACGCGTTTGGACACTCAACCTGACCAAATTAACACAGCTGCTGAATCCGCATGAAATTGAATCAAATATCTAGTAAATAAACACGCATTATGAAGTTAACAAGATATTTAATTTGTCTGCCCCCATTTCTAGCTTCCTCTTCCTCTTATTTCTCGCGCAGCTCAACCTGGACATGTCTCCGTGTCCTCTACCCGTCCTGCTGCAGCTGCTGCTGCGGCAGCTGAACAGATGATTTGTTCCAGTGATCAGATGAGTTTTTTACTTTAAGCCTACATACAAATATTATAATAATCAGTTTTGTGAGCCAAATTTATTTTATATGCCAACATCTATGAAAGAAAGAGCCAGGCCACGGAGCGCGATTTACACACAGATTGGTTCCGTTTTTAATGCCATTATTAGAATTTATGTTGTGACCTTTGCGCACAACCCACCTTTGTCACGTGAGGTTTAAATATATGCAATTTAATGTGATTGTCTTTATTTGTGGAAAAGGGTGTTTGTCTTACCAGTGGGTCCAACATTACACACACCAAATCCATCTGTGCTTATATGAGACAGTGTGAAGGACGCCCAATGCAGCGCTTACAGTGACACTTGTTAAGGAGCTGCCTTCTGTCTCCATCGTGTGGCATTGCTGTCTTCAGACATCTCTTGATCTCTTTGACTACTTCATGAAAATGGTAATTCGCCTCGCTAGTGGCGGATTCAAAGGCGAGAAGAGCTGATGTTATTGGTCAATACAGGTCTCGGCTGTGTTTAACCCACTCCACGCCCTCTCTCCTCCCTCCCTATGACCTACGCCGCTGGAAGGAGCTGAGTTAGGGGAGGGGGGATACTTATGCCGGGCTGCACAACTCACCAAAATACGAAAATGTGCTTGGAAACGCCTTGTCGGCGCGGTGGTTAATTGCATTAACGTTATGTTCAGTATGAAAACAAGGAGTTATTAGTTCTTAATCTATTTTCACCTATTGACCTATTGTCAATCGGTTTAAAAACACATTTGTTCAATAACATATGCAATGTCATTAACTCCGTCAGTTTCTCGTCAACTCCGTCAGGTGTTCGTCAACACCGTCAGATATATGTTTTTCTTCAATTTTGGAGAAAAAAAAATTTGTTTCTTCAGTTTATATTGTTTAAGCAATAAAGGAGCATTGGCGCTACATCCTCTTGTGTCTTATTTACTTACAGAAATTGTTTGTATAATATAAAAATTAAAAACAAAGTTTGAAAATACAACTATTTAGAAATCTTGGTTTTCAAAATAGTGTGAAATCACACATTAGGTTTATATATTATATTTCATGGCATATCAGAGTAACTAAACACTATTACAACATACATCAGAACTTTAGATTCTTGTTGGACTAGAATTATTAAAATTATATTCTTTTTTTGTGTGTCTGATGGAGTTGACACAAATTCACTGTCTAAGGGAAACATGTTAATTTATAGAAAAAATGTTTTTATTTGGAGCCTGTTCCTTTACGGGGTTAAATAGCTAAGACCTTTCTCTACAGTAATAAATAACTCTAATCAATATAGTGTGCATTCTCAAAAAAAGTTTTTTAGGAAGTGTTTTGTCCCGACTCTCAAGAATCCCTGAACTAACTAACTAACTAACTAACTAACTAACTAACTAACTAACTAACTAACTAACTAACTAACTAACTAAATAACTAACTAACCTCCAGCTAATTCACCAACTACAAAACCAACTATCTAACCAACTACACAACCAATTTTTATTGTTACCAAGTTTACTAACTACCTTTCACCCAACAAACACACTTAGCAGGTAATTTACCAAACAACCAGTTCACCCAGTTTTCTCACCAACCATTTAACTATATCAGTAACTTACTTACAAACCACTTAACAAACCAAATCAACTAACTTGCAAATAAGCTCACCACCAAACAACAAACCAGCCAACTACCCAACAAACCAACCAAACTTGCTAACTGATTGACCAACAAACCAATTAATCAACTACCCAACCAAGCAATTAAATGATTAACCAGTAAACTAACAGACTGTCTCACCAACTAGCTTTCCAACCAACCATGCCTTTGAGCTTCCTCTCACTAACTGTTTTTAAATATATACTTGTAAATTGATTATGCTGGTGTGTGTGTGTGCGCGTGTGTGTGCGCGTGTGTGTGCGTGTGTGTGTGTGTGTGTGTGTGTGTGTGTGTGTGTGTCTGGTGAACGGGTTAAAGCTCAGCCCAGTGTATGGTTGGATTAGTAGTAGTTTA